TACTTCTGCAAGGGTTACATGCCAATATGACCTGTATATCTCCTTCGATGGTTTACATGCTATAATGTATTTTTGGTCCTTAGCAAAGACAAATATGGTTTCTTATGAACGTTCGCGCTCTGCAACAATATTTCTCATTATTTTCTTAGTGTGAATATAATTTTTAATTTCAAAACAAAACTTCTTCTAACTGGAATATTTTTTTTAATTTTTATGATTTAGCACTAGATACGCGCTTTAAAGCGCATGTGCCCATTGAGTTTTAATTCTTAATAATAGAATAAAATTAATCATAAAATAAAACATTACAATGTTCTTAAAACTGTAAATTTATTTTAAAATCGTGTTAAAAAACTACGAAATTATAAAAAATTTTAAATATTCTTTATAAAGTAAAAATATTTAAATTTTGAAAAATGAAAATAAAATTATTCAAAATTTGAACAAATGGAAAAAAATTCTTTTTAAATTTAGAAAAAAGTAGTTATTTAAATTTTGAAAAATGAAAATAAAATTATTTAAAATTTAAGAAAAAAGTATAGTTATTTAAAATTTGATAAAATAAAAATAAAATTATTTAAAAGTTTATAAAATTTTTTTTTGAAAATTAAAAATAATGAAGGTAAAATAATTAAAATTTAAAAAAATATAATTAATTAAAATTTTAAAAAAGAAAATTAATAAAAATTTTGATAAAAAAAAATTATTTAAATTTGGAAAAATAATATTATTTGAAGTTTATAAAATTTTTTTTAAATGTAAAGTAATGAAAAGTTTAATAATTAAAATTTTTAAAAATAAATTTAATTAATATTTGAAAAAATAAATTAAAATTGTAATTTGAATAAAATAAAAATTAATTAAACTTTAAAAAAAATAAAATTAATTATAAATTTAAAAAATAAAAAAATTTAAATTTTTGAGAAATGAAAATAAAATTATTTAAAATTTGAAAAAATGAAAATAAAATGAATTAAAATAAAATTTTTGAAAAGTTTTAAATAATTTTTTAAATCTTTCGCAGGTAATAAAAGGGAGAAAAGCTCCCAGAAAATATACAGGACAATAGCAATGACGTTGAGGAGATTATGACGTCATTTTGAAAAAATAATATTATTTAAAGTTTATGAAATTTTTTCAAAATGTAAAATAATGAAAGTAAAATAATTAAAATTTTTGAAAATAAATTTAATTAATATTTGAAAAAATAAATTAAAATTGTAATTTTAAAAAAAATTCATTCAACTTTAAAAAACATTAAATTAATAATAAATTTGAAAAATAAAAAAAATTAAATTTTTGAGAAATGAAAATAAAATGAATTAAAATTTGAAAAAATTAAAATAAAATTTTTGAAAAGTTTTAAATAATTATTTAGATCTTTCGCAAGTCCCAGGAAATATACAGTACAAAAGCAATGAGGTTGAGGAGATTATGACGTCATTTTGGAAAAATAATATTATTTAAATTTTATAAAATTTTTTCAAAATGTAAAATAATGAAAGTAGAATAATTAAAAAATTAAAAACATTTTTTTACACTTACTGCGGACTATCACACTCTATGTCTGACCTTTATTCTGGAGTGGTACTCGTTGATGTCATCTTTGGGCACTAAAAAGCACTATCTCACGTGGTTTCAGCCCCAACCACAATTTCCAAACGTTGAGGTGTTACTCGGCCCAAGGTTCATTTCCAACTGAAGAAACGTCTCTCACTTCGTTGTCAATTACCGTTAATTGATTATTAATGACTTTTAAATTTCTTGGAAATTTAGTCATTTTTCGCACTTATGAGCAAAAATAAAATTTTCAAAATTTTCGCGTGTAAGAAAAGGGACAAAAGAGATGACGTAGAGAGGGTAATGACGTAAATTTTTTTTAATTTACTCCTTCTCTCTCTCACTCTTATTGATAAAATAAAATTTTTCAAAAATAATACAATATTTGAAAAATTATTTCCACTTTTCACCGGAAATAAAAAGGACAATGAAAATGACGTAGAGGAGTTAGTGACGTCACATTTCTTGTAAATTTTTTCCTTTTCTTTCTCTCTCACACTTATGGAGAAAAAAAAATTTCTCAAATGTTACTATTTTTTTCTTTAATTTTTTTAGAAAATAATCAGGACAATGGCTATGACGTAGAGGAGATAATGACGATTAATTTCTTTGAAATTTAATTATCATTTGTCTCTCTCACTCTTAGGGAAAAATTTGACTTTTCAATCAAGTTTTCAAAAATTTGAATTTTTGTTTTTTATAAACGGGACAAAAAAATGTAAAAAAAATTATTTCAATTTTGGAAAAATGTAAATAAAATTATTAAAAATTTAGAAAAATGTAAATAAAATTATTTAAATTTTGGAAAAATGTAAATAAAATTATTTAAATTTTGGAAAAATGTTAATAAAATTATTTAAGCTTTGCAAAAATTAAAATAAAATTATTTAAATTTTGGAAAAATGTAAATAAATTATTTAAATTTAGGAAAAATTAATTCATAAAATTATTTAAAGTTGGAAAAAATAAAGTTAATTAAAATACAAATAATTTAACATTTGAAAAAATTAAATCACTGAGAATTTTTAAAAAACCTTTCAAATTTATAAATTTCAATTTAAAAAAATAAAAAAAATTTTAACTCACTGCGATGTCTCAGCCCATTCTCGAGATCATCCCTGAAGCTGCTCTCGTTCGATGATGCACTTCCCAAGTTAGCACTCACAAAAAAAGTGTCAGCGACACTTTCCAATGTTTTTGAAAAAATACACTGTTTTTTGGAAGATATCCAAAAACGTCCAATAGAATGAAATTTACTCAAAAATGTCAAGTGTTTCCAAACTTTTCAAAACGTATCCAAAAATATCACCAAAGATATCCAGAAATATCCAGATTATCCAAACGGATCCACACGGCCCGAAAATAATCCGACAGCGAGATGTTACACGGCCCGAGGTTCATTAATAACTGAAGAAATGGCAGTCCTGTCGACTGATTATCAGTGATTCTCTTCTCGCGAGTTGAATCAGTGACATTTCATTGACGATCTATAAAAAATGATTGAAATTTCAGTCATTTTTCACAAAAAAATAACAATAAAAAATAATTACTATAAAATAGCCATAATTAAATAATAACTGAAATTTTCAATATTCGTGACAGAAATTTTTTAATTGGCTAATCAGTGAAAAATCACTGATAAAAATGACTGAAAAAGTCTGATTACAATTTACTTAGTCTCTAAATTTGAATTAGTAAAAATGTTTACTAATTTAAATTAGTGACTGACTTTTTGTTTTTGAATTAGTAAATTTTACTAATAAATAGTCATTTTTGCTGAATTTTTAGTAAAATTTACTAATTCAAAAGCAAAAAGTCAGTCACTAATTTTCATCTCTTTTAATTAGAAAATAAGTAGTAGATGTCAACATCAGTCAGGCAGGCGTTTTTATTCTATAATATTTTAAACTTCAGGGAGTAAAATAATTTTTTAGACCGGAAAAATTTTGTTCAACTGATCTGTGAGTTTTTAGGCCGGATTTGCTTTTTTTTCGCTTTGTATTTTCAAATTAGTAGTACATGTCATTTTTAGTCAGACATAAAATACGTTGTTTTAAGGGCATTTGAACCATGATGACGTCACAGATTTAAAACTAATGCTTTGCACAAACTGTGACGTCATCAAGGTTCAAATCCCCTTAAAATTCTTAACTACTTGAGTTTTAAGTAGTACAGGTATTTTCTAGTCAGACAAAACTGATCAAGACTCGTTCGACATGCAACACTAAAATATTCGAGAAAAATTGGTAATTGCTACTTTTCTCAGTAGTAAAAAATTTTTATGTCAGACGGAATGTTTTTAACCTGTGGACATCAAATGAGAGTACTTTCTGATAGATTAATAAAGTTTAAATAAATTATTTTTGGAATTTTAATTTTGCAAAAAAAAAGTTTTTTGCCCATAACTTTAAAAAAATGTTAGGACACCTATAAATGTTTTTCCATAATTTTGTAGAGTTTTTTTAGACGCATCTTTTGAGCCCTAATTGAACTTTTTTCGTCTATATTAACCGGAGTTATTAAACTTTTAAAAATTTTGATTTTTAAAATTTTGGAAAATAAGACTTTTTTGAAAATTTCGTTGAAAAACGTAGAAGTTTATTCAAGAAACAATTCAATTTTTTATCTGAATTTGTTATAAAATTTTTGAAATTTTTCGAAAGAATTCAATTATTTTCTAAAATTTTTATAAAATTCAATAATTAAATGTTTAATTTCAATTATTAACAAACGATTATTTTAAAAAATTTCAACGATCACTAATACAACAATTATTAATGTTGATTTTCTAATTAATTTAAAATAATTATTTGCAATTAATTCAAAAAATGTTTATTAATTTTTTGAAATTTAGTACTTTTATTTAGTATTATTTATTTTTTTATTTCAATTTTAACGGTCAGAAATTAAATTACGCCTAATTACACAAAGTAGGTACTGTAATACAATAACTATTTCAGTTAATTTAATTTTTTTTTAAAAATGTCATTGAGAAAAAAAAATTTTGCAAACTTCTTTTCTTTTTCTAAAAAATATTTGCATAATTTCCATTTTTAATTAAATTTTAGACAAAATTCTGTTTTTTTTAAAAGAAAATAATTTGTACTATTTTTTTCTCAGTATAAGAATAAATAGAGATATTTATTACATTTTTTAAATTATGAATCTAAAAAATGTAATAAATCTGGTTTCTATTTTGATTTATTCTTTTATTTTTTTGCATTGACGGTTTAAACTTTGAAATAAGAAACATGATGTCGTTACAAGTTATTAATTAAAATTTTAAAAATTATAAATATTCATAAAATTAAAATTCAAGAAATTAAAGAAAACTTGGAATATTGTTAATAAGTTGTCTTTAAATATATATTAATATTAAAATTAGAAACTACACACGCGTTTTTTAGCTAGTAAATAAAATAATTTTTAACATGTTTCAGAAATATCAAATTCACCTTTCTCTCGGCGTTCTTCAATTCGCAGCAAGTCCACAACTCAAAGCAAACTCACAACTTTTCTTAAGAAAAAAGACGTCGAAAATAATAAACAAAGTGAATTGAAAGAAAAAGAAGAAGAAGAAGAAGTGATAAACTCAAAAGAAAATTCAACAGTGACAAGGAATTCCAGCCGAAAGTCTTCGAAAAGTTGTACTGAAATTTCCCAACCACCGCCGACGATCACCGCTCATCATACAGGCGAGCAAGAAAATCAAAAAACCAAAACTCTAAAAACTCGAGAAGATGTAAAGAAAAATTTATCATCAATCATAAGTAATGTCGAGAGGAAAGATGTGACTGAGGACAATGACGATAGAAGCAATTTTAACGAGAGTCACTTCGATTCGGAATTAAATCTCTCAAATGTGTTGGCAGTGGCGCAAAGTACACAGTATCCAGTCGACATTTCCTATGAAAGTGCCGAAAACGATGATTGTCGCCAATCGAAAGATTCTGGCGTTTCTAACGCAAACAGTGTTTGCAATGGTTCCAGTAATGAAGCACTCTCTGAAAAAAATAAAGATCCATATTCGAGTGAAAATGAAACATTGAAATACAGTGATATTGAACAAAATTCTAACAAAAGAAAAGCGAAACCGGTGAAAATAACAAATACTCAAATTGTTAACAATAGAGTTAAAATTGTCGATAATCAACAACTTTCTTATAATTTTGACAAAAGAGAGTCGAGAAGTTTGGAGAGTAGTGACAGTTCTAGCAAGAGAAATTCATTGACAATTTGCTTCACAGAAAATCCAGTTAATGAAGAAAATTCTGATAGAAATGAAACGTTACGGGAAAAATCGCCGAAAGGAAAAAAAGAGTTCGAGGAGGTCGAAGAAATCGAAGAAATCGAAGAGAAGCAAAAGAGTTCAAAGTCGGTGAACAAAGATAGTGAAAAGGTCCTAGAAGACGAGAAAATTGAGTCAAAAGATGTCGTTGGAGAAAGTGAATCGAAATTCGACGGAGAAATAAATAGTGAACTTGACGTTGAGGAAATAACAACGGACGGGAAAAAAAACAATGGACATAAAAGAGCCAGAAAAATTGCAAGTAAAATTGCCATGGAAGAAGAAAGGGAAATTAGGGAAGAAAAGAAGAAAGTGAAAGAATTTGACGCTAGAGATCAAAAGCTTAGGGAAAATATTAGGAAAACTCCAAAAAAAGAAATGAAAAACCGGATACAAAGTTCGGCGAAGAAACTCAATAAAAATGAAGATTCTGAACTCAAAAAAGAAGATTCTGATGAGATGATTGAAATGACTCAAGTCGATAAGGAAAATTTAGAATTAACGCAAAAAATTGATAGGGAAATTGTAGAAGATGAAAATGTCGATAAAGATGAAGAAGTTGGTAAAGTTATGAATGAAGATTTCGATAAAATTGAAAATGAAGATGACGATAAAAATGAGGATGAAGTTGACCATGAAATTGAAAATGAAGATGACGATAAAAATGAGGATGAAGTTATCCATGAAATTGAGAATGAAGATGACGATAAAAATGAGGATGAAGTTGACGATAACGATGAGGATGAAAATAACGATGAAGACGAAGATGAAAATAATGACAAAGACGAGGAAGATGAAGATGTAAATGTAGACGTGGATGACGACGAAAATGTAAATGTAGATGTAAATAGCGATGAAAATGGTGATAATAACGTAATGTCCGAAAATGATTTTTCAGAAACGAACGAAAAGCAAAAATCTGTCGAAAAAAGACAAGAAAATGCATTCAGTGAAAAAGGGAGCAATTCAGAATCAAGTGACGAAAATCTAACCACCTCGAGTATTGCCGACAAGAACGACACCAAAAAACGAAAATCAGTCGAAAAATCCCCTGGAAATTTAAGCGAAGAAAATGAAAATTCGACAAGTCCTTCTCAATTTACAGACAAAAATAAAATGTCCGAAGAAGCTACGAGTAGTGACGAGGATAAGAAAGAATCCGTCTTCGATCCACAATCTCAAGATATATTTTGTTCTCAAAGCACAATCGCTGACGAGAATCACCAGAGAAATGTATTAACACAATTTAGAGTACGAGAAAATTCAATTTCCGACGACGAGGAGGAAATGCGACTAACTCTTGAAACCGAACTACAAAATGATGTCAGATTCGTGAATTTAGACGACAATAAAATAACAATTGACGAACATAAAATAACAATTCCCGAGGAATATTCCGAAGACACCGAAATGATGTCCGCTCAATCACTGGAAACCGTCAATCAAAAAAAGCGATTAGATTTATTCCATTCTAATGAAACAAGCTCTTCCGACGAGGAGGAGAAAAAAACACCTATTAAATTGAAATCTCCCGATTCGGACAGCGAGAGAGAAAAGAAAAAATCTAAAAAGAAAAAAAAGAGGAATGAAAAATCCCCCATGAAAGAAAAATTGGACGATTCGATAAAATCTGAAAGTGATAATCATGAAGAACGGACTAAAAAGAAGAAGAAAAAGAATAAATCGACAGAAATTGAAAATATTCAAAAAGATGACAATTTAGAGGTGAAAACGAAGAAGAAGAAAAATAAATCGACAGATATTGAAAATATTCAAGAGGTTGAAGACAATTTAGAGGAGAAAACGAAGAAGAAAAAGAATAAATCGACAGATATTGAAAATATTCAAGAGGTTGAAGACAATTTAGAGGAGAAAACGAAGAAGAAGAAGAATAAATCGACAGAAATTGAAAATATTCAAGAGGTTGAAGACAATTTAGAGGAGAAAACGAAAAAGAAAAAAAAGAAGAAGGAAAAAGAAAAGGAAAAGGAAACAGAGAACATTTCCAAGGATAATTCGAATCAAAATATAATTCACGATTCAACGGAAGAAGAGAAACGAGAAGAAATTGTCGACAAGACGACAGAATCAAAATCAAAGAAGAAGGAAAAGAAAAATTCGAAATCGGAAAATTCTGGTAATAATTCTGAAGAATGTGCCGCAAATCTTCAAGAGGAGAATGAAAAAAATGTCGAGGAGAAAAATTCTCGTGACAACAACAACGACGAAATTGATACTGATTTTGAAGCTTACTTAAATCAAGGAATTTCGTTTCTAAAACATATTGATGAAAAAACCACGCCTGTGAAGAAGAAGAAGAAATCGAAAAAAGAGAAAAATGAAATGCAAGAAGAGTCGAAAGATGTTGAGAGTGGAGAAATTTGTGAAAATAATAATAAAACGCTGGGACAAAATGATTCGGACAAAATTCTTTCTGAAGCAAATACTCAAATCCCGGTGGCGAATGATAGCAGAAAATCGAACAAAACAAAAGACGAGAATCTCAACTATGCTCTTTCGAGTTTGAAAAAGAGAAATTATCAACATTTAGAAAATATTGATGAAGGAGTTAAGAATCAATCAGTCGATAAAAGTGGGGTCGAAGAAAACAAACTCATAACGCAGGCAAGTAATTATTATTTTTGTCATTAATAATCTTGGTATTTGAATGAATACCAAGATTATTATTTTTTTTATGAATATAAAAAAAAAATTTTTAATTTAAAAATTTGTAAAATTTAAAAAATTTCAATTTGAAAATTTCAATTTTGAATAAATTTAATTAGATATTTTAAGGAATTTATTTTTTTTGAAAAATTTAAATTAAAAAATTTTAAAGAACTTGGATTTTTGAAAAATTTTAATAACTCAAATTCTTTTGAAATTAGTTAAATTTTTTAATACATATTTAATTAATTATTAAAAATTACAAAATTATAGAAGAATTTTAGTTAAAAACACTAAAAAAATATTGAATATTAGAGAAATTACAAATGATTGCAGAAATTCAATAATAATTTTCAAAGGAAATAAAATTCTTCACAGAAATTCAATTTTGTTCAAAAATATACAAAAATTCTCGTCAAAATTTCAATTATCTTTATAAATAATAAAATTCTTCTCCGACATTCTATTATTTAAAAAATTTTTTTTTTAATTTTTGGCAAAATTAAAAAAATTTTCCTCATTTCAATGATTTTGAATATCTACTATTTTAATAAAATTTTCTAAAAGAATTCAATTATTTACAAATTTTTTACAAATTTATTTTATTTTTTCAATTATTTTTTTAAGTAATAACATTTTTTACAGAAATTCAATTATTTTCATAAATAATAAAACTCATAGCAAAATTTCAATTATTTTTAATACAATTTTAATGGAATTCTGCGAAAAATGCAATTATTCAAAAAATTTTATTACAATTCGTGAAAAAAATGCAATCCAAAAACTAAATAAATTTTTGAGAAGTTACAAGCAATATTTTTAAAAATAATTGAATTTTGAAAAATTTTCTAATTCAATTAATAATTCTGTAGAATTAATTTTTTTTAATTTAATTTCAATTCTGTTGAAATTAATTGAATTTTTTTTTATAAAAATTTAATTATCTCGATAAATAACTAAATTCTTACCAAAAATTCAATTATTTTCAAAAGTAATAAAATTCTTCGCATAAATTCTATTATTTTCTTATTAAATAATAAAAATTTCACCGGAAATTCAATTATTTAAAACTTTTTTATAAAATTCTTAACAATAATTCAATTATTTTGATAAATAATAAAATTCTTCTCAGGGATTCAATTTTTTTGTAAATAATAAAATTCTTTTTGGGATTCAATTTTCAATTATTAATTTCAATTATTTAAAATTAAATTTTAATTAAATTCCTTGAAAAATGCAATTATTCTAAAAAATTTTATTAAAGTTCTTACAAAGAAATAAATTTTAAGAAACATTTAATTATTCAATAAATTATTTATTTTTGTATTTAAATCATTTTATTCCCGGAGAATTTAAACTTTGACACTCTCGATAGTGGAAATTAAAAATTCTACGTGCTAAGTTTCTAAATTTTAAATATAATTTTTAAATTTTTTTAACATTTTAAATTAAATTTTCAAGTTTCTCAACATTGTTTAAGTTAAATTTCTTCGAAGAACTTAAAATTTATGTTACAAAATATGTTTTTTTTCAGTTGGATGACCTAATTGAAATGGAAGACTTAGTTGAATGTGATTTACCTTCGCTTCTTACTGTAAACGATATTTCGGAAAATTCTGAAGTTTGGGTTTTCGAAATTCCAAAGAAGGTTTGTATCTCCTAATGATGTAAATGCTGAAATTTATTTTTGAAAAATATTTATTAATTTCAAAGCGTTCATGAGCAATAGTTTTACAAGTAGATTTTTTTCAACCTATTGTAATTTATAACGAAATGAAATTTTCAACAATCACGATTAATGATTATTGGAAATAATTTCTCGGTCGAAAAACTTTATACATTTTTGTCCAAAAGATAATTTTTTGCAATTTTCAACAAAATTTTAAAAAAGACATTTTTTTATACAAATTTTTGTATAAATAGATTTAATAGAATTTTAATAATTTATTTTTTACAGGAAGTGTCGATTGATTGGATAGGCAAAAAATTATGTTTAAATGGATCCGAATTAAAAATAGGCAAAAATAATTATCAAGTAACTGCTAAAAAATTAGACACTATGACTTGTATTTTAAATTCCAACAAAACCAAGACACCATATAAAGCAGGTAAATGAATTTTTTATTATCAATTATTATTTAATATTTCAGTTAAAATTTCTAGAAAATAATTTAATATTAGAAGAGTTATAATAAAAAATTTTAGAAATAATTAAATTTCAGAAGGTTTCAAATAAAAATTCTATTAATTTCGAGTAACTTTAATTTAAGTTTCTAAGAATATTAGTTTTTTGAAAAATTTTAGTTAAAATATATTAGAAATTAATCGAATTTTTAAATATTTATTATTATTATTATTTAATTAAAACACTTTAGAATAATTGAATTTTACAAAAATTTGGAATTGAATTTATTATTGAAATAAAGGAAAGAATTAAACAATTTTCTGGAAACGAGGGAACAGAATATTGAAAGAACTACATTTTTGTAACAATTCTAAATAAAATAAATTTCTTTTAAATCCGAAGCTTATGAAATCAATTTTCTAGTTTATTAAAAATCTGATCTAAAAATTCGAGTAAGATTATAGAGAATTTCGTTAATAGAATAAAATTTTAAAAAATATTTTCTGTTACAGTTCATTTTCGACCAATTTGTTCAATTTACGTGCGATCGAAAAATTCTGCAAATATTTCAAACGAGATGGATAACGAATCAGCGAAAGAAAATTCAGAACCAGCGAAAAAAACGGAAGTTATTAAAGAAACGAAGAAAAAGTGTTCTGCAGCAGATAATAAACCTAAAAGTATGAAAAATAACACTTCTCACAACGATGAAAAAACTTTAAAATCGGGACAAAAAAGAAAACACAGTTCTTCAACATCTGAAGATAATAAAGAAGATTCAAAACTGTGTATTAAGCGAAAGAAATTTATGGACATTAGTGAATTTCTCCTCGATGAAAAACCGCCTGTTATGCCACCGAAAGTTTCGAATAATAACAATCAAATTTATACCACAGATGACTCAGACGTTGAAATTACCGATGGCGAGACAAAAATGAAAAAGGAAAAACTCGAGACTCAAAGAAAAACTCCTCTTCTTATTACAAAAAAGAAAATGAAAAATTCCCCCAAAAAAGAGAATGACGAGGAAACCTTTAAATCTCCCCTAAAAAAAGAAAAAAGTAATATTTTAAAACTTGCGACAGAAAAAAATAAGAGTAAGAAAAAAGTCGATATGAAAATTAAAAAGAAAAATCAGGAAGAAGATTTAAATGTAAGTAAAAATTCTTTTAATTGGAGTGTTGAAAATATATCCGACCTGGAAGATGAAGAAGACAAGACGGAAATTTCTAAAAAATTGAAAAAAAAGAAAAGGGAAGATGGAAAAAAGTTGAAAAATACTTTGCAAGAATTTCAACCAAGTAAACACAAAGAAATTGTTACGACAGACACATCTGATATTGACGTCAAGGATAAAGAAAAAATGAAGAAAAAATTGAAGAAAAAACGACGATTGTCAGAGAGTTTAAATACAACAGAGAATTTTTCCGACGAGGATATTAAACCCAAAGAAGAAAAGTCGAAGAAAAATGCAAAAAAATTAGTTTCCTTTGATCACTGAATGTTGATCATAAAAAAAATACTATAATATGTTGATTATCTCAAAACTATCAAAAATTTTTTATATTTTTTATCTGTTTAATTAAATAAAAGTGAATTGTATACATTTGTAAATTATGAATTTACACTTTAAATTATATTTTTTCTATCAGTATCAAAAGAAGCTTTCTAACTTTATTTCAGTTTAATAAAATATTTAATATTATGTACTTAAGAAGTGAATAATTCTTAAGTAGATAATATTAAATATTCTTGTTTATTATTAATTCGAAAATTTTAATAAAATCTTTTGCAAGAATTTCATTATTCTCATAAAAAATAAAATTCTTTAGAGTCAATTAAATTACTTTCACTACAATTTTAATAAAATTTCTTGAAAGATTACAATTATTTTTTAAAATATTAATTAAATTCGATTATTTTCAAGAATTTTTAAAATAAATTCAAGTATTTTTGAAAATTTTGATGAAATTCTTTTTAAAAAAATCATTTTCAAAATTTTTAATAAAATTTCTTCAAAACAGAAAATTCAATTATTTTCAAGAATTTAAATATAAATTCAATTATTTTCGAAAATTTTGATGAAATTCTTTTTAAAAAAATCATTTTCACAATTTTTAATAAAATTCCTTTAAAACAGAAAATTAAATTATTTTCAAAAATTGAGATGAAATTCTTTAAAATAATTCAATTATTTTTATGAATTGTAAAATCCTCCGCAAGAATTAAATTATTTTCATAAATAATAAAATCTTTCGGAGGAATTCAATTATTTTCAAAAGTTTTAATAAAAATTCAATTATTTTCAACAATTCTGATAAAATTCATGGCAATTAATTCAATTATTTTTTTTTAAAAAAAAGGAATTTTAAGAATGTGTCAGAGAAGGACAAAGATATATGTTTCGTTTTCGTTCATAAAAAAGCTTATTGTGGACTTAGCTTTAGTAAGGCTGCGTCCATAATAATTGAAGAATAGGCTATTTTTATGTCCTAAACATTAACATAAAATACAATAGATTTTATAAATTTCTTTTGTACATATGATTTTTATATTATGTTTAACGTAAGCACATAAAAACAGCTTATTATAGACACAGTGTAATAATATTTTTGTTATGAATAAAAAATAAAAAAGAGCGAATTGTGAACGTAGCCTAAACACACGTGCGTTTTTTTATTGCATATAATAATAAAACACCCGGTATTTAAATATATCCTGTGACCGACAAATTTCTCAACAAAACAGAAAGACGATCTCAATAATATGGTTATTAAACATTGACAAGGTAAATATTATTAGAGAAAATTTAAAAAATACTTCATTTCTGATAATAATTAATACATTTAGATTGATTTAAAATTTCATGTGAGGCATGTCAGTTAAAATCGTTAAAATCCTACATAAATAAACAAATTTCTTCTCTCATGCTAAAAAGAGGTTATCTTGTTTTAAGTATTCAAAGTTTTCGTGTTAATATTGTTAATAATAATAGGTATTTGATTTATATTACATACTGAAAAAAGTTATAGAAAATTTTTGTTAAATTGATGATAATACGTGTAAAATACACCTACAAGTATATTTTTAATATATTTATATTTAAGTAAAATTATCAACTAATGTAATGTAATGAATTTTTTTAAAGAGATCATTAAGTATTCCTTAAAACAAATATATTTTTTAACATTTCAGAAAATGTACTTGACGAGTATAAATTAATTCTTAAATTAGAAAAAAGAATTGTTTCATTCTGTTCAGGAATGAGATATTAGAAATTAGAAATTAGGGAAATTAATTATAAAGAAAGAATGGAGCGGACGTTTTTTCCACAACCACCACAACCTCCATCGGCTGCGGTGAAAGAGAAGCCACCGGTGTCAGAATGGGATAAAATTATGCTAAATCTTATTGGAAATCAGCAGAGATTTCGTGAAAATATTGTCATTCCAAGGATACTTGGACAAATCCATATAAAATCAGTTGATGAAAAACGAGTTGAAATGGTAATGGAGAGCTGTGTTTTCAAAAGTTTTATGAGCTGCGTTATAGGTAAATTCATATTTTTCTCCTAGGTATGCATTTTTAAAATTTTAATAATCACCTTCAAATTTTTACAATTCGTCGCTTTTTAAATCAATTGCTATCAGAATTCAACGACGATAATTAAATTATTTAAATAGAATAGTTTTTGTAAATTTATAAAATAATGTATTTTCAAAAATCCAATTATTTAAGATAATTAATTTCTTTCAAGGAATTTAATTAAAATTGCACTGATAATAATTAAATCCTAAAGAATTTTACCCAAAATTTTTGAAAATAATTAAATTCTATTAAAAAATAAAATTAAAATTGTATTGTTTTATTATTTATGAATATAATTGAATACTTGCAAAGAGTTTTTAAAAAAAATTCATTTAAAATTCTATTCAAAGTAATGAAATTCTTTCGCTCACATTATTTTTGCTAATGGAAATATTAATAAATGAATGAAATTATTTTAGGATTTGGATTGGGAGCTGCGATAGGTTTATTTACATCGAGCGTGAATCCCAACGTAGCAGCAGTTGAGAAACAACAGACTGTTCGTGAAATTTTCCACGAGATGAAAACAACGACTATGGGTTATGCGAAAAACTTTGCAATGGTTGGTTGTGTATTCTCGGGAATTGAATGCGCAATTGAATCGGCAAGTATATTTCTTAAAAATAAGTTATATTTAATCATTTCAAATATTGATTTCACATTGTACAAAAGTTCACCATTAAAATGTAAACAATAACAATATCGCACGTTCAATCTTTAGATACATTGTAATTAAATGCGCGTAATATCTTTTTATTTCAATTTTAGTATCGAGGTAAATCGGACTGGAAGAATGGCACTTATGCTGGTGGAGTGACTGGAGGTCTCATTGGATTGAGAGGTTCTTATCCATTATTTCATTATTTTCTGTCAAATTCCTTTCATTATATCTTTTTTTTTGTTTGAAAAAACAAAGATTTAATTGAAATTTATTAAATTGATTTTAATTCAGAAGAAAATTTTCAAAATTATATTCATAAAACATTTTTTTAGAAAATTTTAAATATCTTTAGGAAAAAAATCCCTGTAATTTCTATTTGTTAATTACGATTTTTAACTAGATTATTTAAAAATTTAGTTAAAAAATTTGAAAAAATTTATATTTTTCCTTTTACAGTTTTTCAGCGAAATCTAAAGTATTTTTTTAAAGAATTAAAAAATGTTCATAAATTTTATTTTTTAATTATATACTTATTGATTGATAGTCATTACAAAAATTGAATATTGTTAGAAAAAAAATTTGATAATGATCTTTATTAGAAGATAGAAAATTAGAAAATTACCTCCATAAGAAAAAAGTTTTTTAGAAATTCACTTTTATTAGAAAAAAAAAGTTGTAGAAGATAAAAAATTAGAAAATACATTTTAGAAAAACTGCACCCAACCGAATATTTTATCTTTTAATTTAATTTTGATAAAATAAGAACCAAATTTTCGTTCTCAATTCATCAATTTTTAAACTTTTTTTCATTAATAATTACAAAAAGTTTCGTTTTGAATTAGAGTTTGTAAAATGTGAATTAAATAAAAAATTAATTCACATACTTTTTGTACTAAATATTCTATAGTAGAAAAAGTATTTCTAATTAAAAATACATTTTCTACGATTAGAAAATTGGCAAGATATTTAGAAAAAATGAAATTCGTCACACAGAAAAGGATATGTTTTATATTTGCCGATTGTCACGGACATTAATAAAATTTTTGTTTTCAGCGGGCGTGAAAGCTGGAATAGTTGGAGCTGCAGGTTTTGCAGCCTTCTCAACTGCAATAGATTACTATATGCATTCATTGTAAATTAAAAAATAGTCGCATGCAAAAAGAATTTTTAATCTTTTAAGATTAAAAATTCTTTCCGTACGTTTAATTTATTCCAGTCGTACCAAATATAAAAAAAACCACATACAAAATAAGTACATTACTAAATGAAGAAAAAAATCTGACCATCCAGATCGATAATCTCTATAATTCTTTGGATTCATCGTTTTTTTTCTTATTATATATAATATTGTATATAAATTTATGTATACGTAAAAAATGGAAATAGAAAAACGCAGATTTGCCTTCACAGTTATATCAACTAAATATATATATATAAAAATATTTTAAAAAATGATTTATTATAAAAACAAACTTATAAATTCGTATCAAACGTTTAGTCACGATTGTTTTGTGCAAAAACATAAAGTGCCTACAAAATTTATTTTTCTCGACTTTATCATGCTTAGAATAAGACAGCTTTTTTCAAAAATATGACATACTCTCATGTGTTAGTATATTAAAATGTAAAATATTCTTTATTCGTAACATTTCTTACAAAACATATAAAAATTACTTATTTGGAAGTAATTGGAAGAATTTTAGGCATTTGGAATTGATTCTTTTTGCATTCTAGTCATGAGAAATCTAAGAATGTGAAATTAAATTTCTTATTTACAATGCTATCTGGTTCGTTGATAGAAACTGGCACTTCAACATTAGATTTCTCAAGATTTTTTTTCACAGTCTTTAAAACGAAATAAATCCCTTTTTACGATTTAAAAAAAAATTGCTTTCACTATGTATATAAAAAAACCCCCTTATAACAAACATTCTGAACTTAAAAAAATAATAAAAAAAAAATAACGTAAATGGTGAATATTTTTCGACCCAAGGCTTAAAAAAGAAGATTGAAACGACATTAATCGAGAAAAGAGAATAAAATTGCAAGGCACTTTTCTGAAGAGTTTGTCGTTTCAATCGTCGCTTTTTTGTCATGTTTGTTGCGCGTTTTCTTTCCATGTTGTTTTAACAAATTACTGAGGTACAAAATTATCACCGACTTGAACGAGACAATTCTGATTATTTTTTTGCGCTTGAATTGTGTCGATTGTCAAAAGTGAAACGAGACATATTCTGATTGTGCGTAGAGAAAAAAAGAAACTCGCCTCAAAGTCGATGTGTATGCGAAGATCAGTTATTGGCACTTGGCAAGGCGGACATTCCTTCTTTTTTTAAAAAATAAATTATGGTTGTTGTTGCTGCATTTGGGCTTGCATAGCGGCGAGCATTTCCTGCATTCTTCGTAACTCTGCTTCCTTTTCTTGCAAGATTCGATCTTTCTCCGAGCCTCCGACCGTTTTTTCATTCTCAACAATGCTGTTAACAAAAAAATATTATTGATCAAAAATTAATTGGAAGATTAATATCATAATTATTATTATTTATTATTATTATTTTTAATATCATTTTTAGTATGCTTTAGTAACTCACTTCTGTCTTCGAGGAGGAACAGGAGCGCCTTTCGCTAATCTCTCGCTTCGATAATTTTCATAGTGAACTTCTTGAGTTACTTCCTGTAAATCTTGCATGTGAGTTCTGAAACATTTTTTAAATTAAAGAAATTAGTTTTATTTTTTATTGCCTTGACTTTTCCCTGATTTCCAGAAAAGTTTTTAACTTCTTTCCTTTATTTAGATAACAGACTTCGCACTCGATAATTAATTTTAAAAAGTATGTAACAAAAAGTAGCTTTCAAACTAAGAAAGTAGTAAAAAAGTATATATATCGAAAAATTAAACTTGACGAACAAAAAAACTCGTTTTAGACACTTCACAAAACTCACTAAAATTCCATTACATATTTTTTATTTTCCTGACTTTTTCCTAATATTCCTCAAAATTATTTATTAATTTCTTATCCTGCTAATAAATTGAATTCCTGCAACGGAATTAAAATATATTAAAAATATTTAAATTCATGAAAGAATTTAAATATTTATAAAAATAATTTCATTCTTGCAAAGAATTTTATAAAATTTTTAAATAATTAATTTCTTACAAAGATTTTTAAAAAAAATGTTTAAAATATAATTAAATCTGTTGATAAATTTTATGAAAATAGTAAATATTGAAAATCATTAAATTGCGAAAAGTTTTTAAAAATAATTGAATTTTACAAAGAATTCTATTAAAATTGTTGACAATAATTGAATGTCTGTGTGCTATTTTATTAAATTTTTTTGAGAATAATTGAAATAATGAAAAATAATGAACTTCCAAGAAAAAATGTATTGCTTTTAAAAATAATTGAATTCTTGTGACGAATATTGTAGTTTTTCATGGCTGAAAAGTAGCTAAATAATTTCAAATTAAAAATTAAAAAAATTCATTTATTAAATAATTGAATTATTTTTTTAAGTGGTAAACTGAATAAGTTACAAAGATACTCACATAAGCATTGTCCGGAGTTTGATGAAATCGCAGTGATCTGGATTTTCAACTTCGACAACTCCCCAGGGATACAGACGACCGCGAACTTTTTTGCCCTTAACTTCCAGAAGAGTATTTGCACCGCACACAGCAAATGGAACAGCTTCTTTCAACTGTCGCACTTGCTCCTTGTAATCTTCATCCTCGTCACTGTCGCAATCGGGCAGAGGGTAAATCTTTATTCCATTCGCTTCGATTTCCTCCATTACACGTTTCTTCAAACGCAAAACTTCCTTTTTGGTAAGTACATCAGCTTTCGCAATGACAGGAACAATATTCACTTTATTGTGCAATTGCTTCATGAATTCAATATCCAGTGGCTTCAATCTTAAACAAACGAAATGTTTCATTAAATTTCCAAAAAGATATATCCACGAAAAAAACAAAAAACGACGAACAGAAATATTTCAAGTTAAAGTTTTTAAGCTTTAATAACTCAAAAACTAAATGCAAATTAAATAAACTTTCTTTTTAATTTCATTAGACAACTATAAGGGTATCAAAAGGCGTTAATTCCAAACAGAATTAATAAGAATTTGTTAAATAATAATAAAAACAAACCCGTGTCCAAAAGGGGAGATAAAGTAAAAGCAGCAATGTATTCGATTGTCGACAATGTTCCTTCTGTTCAAACCACTTTCATCACGTAGAAATCTCTCAAACTGATCATCAATGTATTGAATGATTGCTCGGAAACTATCAGTATTATCGATAGCATCTCCATAGCCAGGAGTGTCGACAACAGTCAAGCGAAGTTTTACTCCCCTCTCTTCAATTTCAACCGTAGAAGCATCCAGTTTAACAGTTTGATTGGTTTTTTCTATGAAATCAGAAAAATTCCATAGTTAATACACCTATTTACAAAAATAAGTTACTTGTAAATTAAAAATCGTTTTAAAGTTAAATTTATATTTCAATGTTTTATGATAAATATCTCAAAATTTGCCTGTTCGGAAATTCATCAACTTTTAATTAACGAAAATTAAATTAAACAATAACAGGCCTCATTTACAGCCTCTTTTCTTCTCTTGGCTAAATATTTCTGATTTTTTTTTAAAAGTTGTTTTAAAAAACTCGTTTTAGTCACTTCACAAAACTGACAAAAATTCCATTCCATATTTTTTATTTTCCTGACTTTTTCCTAATTTTCATCAAAAATATTTACTTCTTTTATATCCAGCTAATAAATTGAATTCCAGCAATGAATTTTATTATTCATGAAAGAATTTAAATATTTTGAAGAATAATTTAATTCTTGCGAAGAATTTTATAAAAATTTTCAAAAATAATTAATTTCTTATTTGGACTAGTTTTATGTAAATTCTAATTTAACTAATTGAACTCCTGAGAAATTTTAATTATTTCTGAAAATAATTGAACTCTTAAGAAGATTTAAAAAAAATGTTTTAAATAGGTATAATTGAATTTTGTTTGGAAATTTTATGAAGATAATTAAATTTTTACAAAGAATTCTATTAAAATCTTTGACAATAATTGAATGTCTGTGATGTATTATATTAAATTTTTTTTAAAGTAATTGAATTCCTAAAAAGCATTTTGTTGTTTATCGACATAATTGAATTTTGCAAAGGATAGAGTTTTTTTAAATAATTGAATTTCCAAGAAAAAATGTATTGCTTTTAAAAATAATTGAATTCTTGAGACGAATATTGTTATTTATGAAAAGAATTAAATTTTGCAAAGAATTTTATTAAAATGACTCAAAATAATTGAATTTTTAGGAATAATTTTGTTATTTATCGGCATAATTGAATTCTTTCGAAGAATTATTTATGTAAATTATTGAATTCTTGGGAAAAATTTAATTAAAATCTAAAAGAATAATTGAATTATTTCAAAAAAATTTAATTAAAATTGTATTTAAAATAATTAGTTGCTTTGGAACAATTTTATTAAAATATTTGAAAATAATTGAATTGCTGTGAACAATTCTAATATTTTTGTAAATAATTGATTTTTTCGAGGAATGAAATTAATTTTTTAAGAGTAATTTCTTTTTTTGAGCAATTTCTGTAAAATTGTATTAAAAATAATTGAAATCCTGCGATGAATTTTATTATTTTTTAAAATAATTGAATTCTTGCGAAAAATGTTATTAAAATATTTAAAAAGAATTGAATTTCTGTGAAAAATTTTGTTATTTTTTAATATAATTGAATTCTTCATAAGAATTTTATAAACATTGTTTTAAATAATTGAATTCTTGTGGAAAATTTTATTTCTTTAAATAATTGAATTCTTTTGCAAAATTTGATTAAAAATGCTATAGATATTGAAAATAATTGAATTTCGAATATTTTAAAGAATAATTGAATCATTCTAAAGAATTTGATTATAATTCTTAAGAATAGTTTTTCGATTTCTAGTATTAGCGAATTTAAAGTAATGAAAATTCTAAAACAAACAGAAATAGTAGGTTTTAGTGGCTGAAATCTAAAAAAAAATAAACAAATAGTAGCAGAACGTAAAAAAAAGTAGTAAAAAGTAGGTTTTAGTAGATGAATGCAAAGACTGCGAAACTGTTCAAAAACTCAGGAATATTTGGAAGAAAAGTCACACATTTTGAAAATAACCGAGGCCTGTAATAATAATAATATATTTATAATTAAAAATTTTATTAACTCGTCATCTAATTTAAAATACAACTTACCAACAGCGTCAGGAATTATTCTTTCGGGATAAAGATCCGTGAGAAATAGACTGTTAACTAGAGTTGATTTTCCCAGGCCTGATTCACCGACTACCATAAGAGTGAATTCGAATCCTTTTTTCACGGACTTTCGATGAACTTGATTCGGCAAATTGGCAAAGCCTACATAACCAGGTGTTTCAAGACTCGCAAACTGTCAACACGCAAAAAAAGATAATAAAAAAATTATTAATATGAAACATGTTAAATTCTCTTAAATAAATCAATGCTAATTTAAAATCACTTAATTTTTCTCAAAATTACTTTTATTTATTTTTTATTTTCGGCAAATTTAGCAAAGTCGGCGTTTTCAATCTAGGGCGGGGTCCTACTATAAAATACTCTGTAAAAATATAAATAAAACAGTAAAAAAAATTTGAGAAATACAATTTCAAAATTAATTTTAAAATTTACCCTTAATTAAGATAACAACAAGATGAATCAATTTCTCTATTCTTAAGGTATTTTTAATTAAAAATTTCAATTTGATGTCAAAAATACACAAGAATAATGAAAATAATCAATCAATAGTATATTATTAAACATTTTCTAAACATAAAAATTTCAAAACAAAGAAATTACGTTAATAAGTTGTCAAACAAGTTTATAGGTTATTTTGAAAGTTTCATTGTCCATGTGATTCATACACCATTCATACATCTAGTATATTTACTATATGCAAGAATTTGGATCAATAATAAAAAAATCCAGGATATGGGTAAAACATTTGACACGACCGGGATTAAGGATTTGAAAAAAGCCGACACAAGTTTATATTTAAAGCACTTACCGTTTTAACACTTTCACTCGACATGTTTTAATGAATTTTTTCGCACAGGAAGATAAGAGATTTTGTTAAAGGGAAAATATTTAAACAAAGAAATTCTACAAACTAAGTATATACGCGAACAACACACAAAATTGCCAGACGCCAAAAACTGACAGGCGGAAATACCATAAAGGTGAAGTTGGCACAATAAATCCAAACGACCCCGCCCACAGAGATTTTCGCTTCTGCGCATGCGTTTTAGGACGAACTGTTACCTGATTGGTCTAAATAAGAAGCGGGATTTTTAAAATGCTTTAAGAGGCGAAACAGGCGAAATACAAAATATAAATTTGTTTGACATTCTGTCAACATTGCGACTGTATACTAATGAGTAATATTATTATAATATTAAGCTATGATGGGAAAAATAAGAAAAATGTATTAATTCGACCGTTTGAATAGAAAAAATGTGTATGACTGTTTGAAGAGGAAGCAAATAGTTATTCTATTGCTTCCCAACCCTGCGACCCCTGCAAATCCTGCGATGCATGTTTAAAGGTTATGTTAGGTCTAGTTGACAAAATTGTCAAGTGAAATTTTGTAAATAAATTAGGTAGACAGTTTATTCAATGCATATAGTTTATTTAGAATTTGTATCATAAATTGTAATTTATTAACAGTGACATATATGTTATAATGCTTCCAACTAAGGATAAAGTGAAACATAGAATATGGTATTTATTACTTTAAAGAAATATGAAATTCATTATTCTAAAATTGTTGATTATCATCTTTGATTTTCATGATATTTAAAAAGAGGATACGACGAAAAATTAATATTAATCAAAACTGTCACTCTGATAACTATAAAAAATTTTTTTCTAATATTTTTGAATTTTTTATTTATTTGTGTCAATACTCAGATTATTACAAAAAAAATTCTATTTTTTCTGCGATTTCCAACATTGACTTTTAAAGGAAAAGTAATTTATTTTTTCACTTATCCTCTCAATTTTTAGTGGGTGTTGACTGTTGAGTAATTGATAAGAATTTCATGTTTTGAACTCGAACCTTCCTTTGTGATTATGAAACAAAGTCTTGATAATCTTTTTAAATTTATTTTAAAAATGCACTAAGATAAATTTTTTTTACAATATAATATGATAGTATTTTTATTTATGTCTTTTTTAATTTTTGAAGTACAAAATTAATTAATTTTTTTACTTATTAATAAATATTTTATTAATTTTATTAATTTTTTACGTGATTTAGAAAAATTTCCACACTTTAATATTATCAACAAAAGATTTATTGAAATGATAAAATTGTCGTTTCTTTTGAAATTTTTTTGATAAAAAAATAGTGAAAAAAAAATGAATTTAATTTTAGAAGAGTTGCGTTTACAATTTTCACAAATAAATAAACTTTTACAGGTTTTAATTTTCAATTTTGGAAAATTAAAATTTTGAATGAATTTAATTAAAAATTTTAAAGAATTTAGATTTTTGAAAAAATTTAAAATATTCAAATTCTGAAATTAGTTAAATGTTTTAATAGATGATTAATTAATTATTAAAAATAATGGATTTTTTAGAAGAATTTTAGTTAAAAACACTAAAAAAAAATTGAATTTTCAAAAAGTTTTTAAATTATTGCAAAAATTCAATTATTTTTAGAAATTTAAAAAAATTGTCATCATAATTTCAATTATTTTTATAAATAAAAAAATTCTTCTCCGAAATACAATTATTTTTACAAATAATAAAATTCATTTCAGGAATTCAATTATTTTTATAAATAATAAAATTCAGTTTAGAAATTCAATTATTTTCATAAATAATAAAATTCAGCGCAGAATTTCAATTATTTTTAATGCAATTTTAATTGAATTTCTCTAGAAATGTAATTATTTGTTCAAAATTTTGATTATTATTTTTTGTATTTAAATAATTCAATTTTCGTAGAATTGTCGAATAAAAATTGATTTAAAAATGAATTTCAATCAAAATTTGAGATAATAATTGAATATCAAAAGCATTGTAGGATGAATTTTTAGAAATAATAGAATTTTGAAAAAGTTTCAAATTAAAATCTCTGCAAATTGGTATTTTTCATATTTTCAACTAACAATTCTGTAAAATTAATTTTTTTGAAAGAGTGTAATTAATTTTTTTTATATTATTTGAAGTTTTTATTTTAATATTATTTAATTTTTTTTTAATATTATTTAATTTTTTAATTATTTAATTGAAGAATTTCTGAATAATCAAACTGCCGTAAAATTGAATTATAAACAAATGGATTTGAAAATTCTCAAAGAACTTTGTCAATAATTCTAAAAAATTATTGATTTAAAGAAGAATTTTATTTAAAAATTCCAGAAAATAAGAATTATATTTAAATGAATTTTTAAAAAATTTTGAACTCAAAATTGCTTAAAAACTGAAATTGATGTTTGAAAATAAAAAGTGTTTTATAAATAATAATTTTTAATAATAAATTGAACACCGAGTTTGATAATAAAATATATTTTTGAAAAATGAATTTGTAAGACGTGTTCTTAAAAGTTAATTAATATTATTATTTTTTTTCAGTATGGTTTCTGACTTTTTTTATCCAAACATGGGAGGTGTAGAACAGCATATTTTCAACTTATCTCAATGTTTAATAGAAAGAGGTCACAAAGTTGTTGTTATGACACATGCCTATGATGATCGAGTAGGAATTCGCTACATGACGAATGGTTTAAAAGTAAGTATAAAATTAATTAATAATTCAAATTTTTTTTTTGGTAAAAATATATCAACAATGACAATATTTAATTTTTTTTAACAATATTTGCATTTTTCTTGTGAAATTGACACAATTTAATTATTTAATTTTTTATTGAGTAATAATGTAAAAAATTTATTAATGTTTCAGGTTTATTATTTACCTATTAAAGCATTTTACAATCAGTGTGTTTTACCAACAATGATTTGTTCCATTCCTTTGATACGATACATTTTTTTACGAGAGCAAATACAAATTATTCATGGACACTCGGCATTTTCTGCTTTGGCCCATGAGGGGATGTTAATTGGTCGATTATTAGGATTGAAGGTATATTAAATTTTTGAAACCAATAAAAACTGCATCCAAGTGATATTGGGCTCATTTTCAATGAAGGCGTAAATTTTAAACGTCGTCTTACTAATAAAAAAATTGAATTTTTCCATTTTCATTAAGTTATTTTTTTTTCGATTTTTAAGAGCTTAAGAAATCTAAATAAATGAACGTCGTGTTGGAGATATGACAACATTACTTTAGCCTTAATTATTCTTTTAAATAAAATTTCTTAATCTTTTTTCTATGTACTCAATAAATGCAAAATGTTTACTATAAAAATTGACAACAACTATTAATGAATAGATTTTATAAAATTGATTGGAACAACCAGAAGGACGCTTTCAAAAGAATCACCCACATGTTATTTAGAATTCAACTAGGCATTGTATTATTTAACTGGACGAGCGTGACTACTTAATAGTTAATGAAAAATTGAAAATTTTAATTTTTCACGTAGCTCGACCTTGTATTTATTTTCACTCTTTAAAAATAATTCTAAACTAATGCCAATCTCAATTTTTTGCCTATTTTGTTAAATACTGCCATTGAAAATTTTTACTTCTATTCACATTATCTGGTTTATGTTCAACAAATAAAAAATTTTGCATTTATCAAATTTAAAGGTTGTGCAAAATCATTTCTTTTTGAAAATTTTTTGCAAATATAATATACGCTTCTGTATCGACAAATAAAAATTTTCCATCTATTTTTCAGACTGTCTTTACTGATCATTCATTGTTCGGTTTCGCAGATGCCTCTGCAATATTAACAAACAAGTGTTTAGAAATCGCTCTAGCCGATTGCAATCATTGCATTTGTGTTTCGCACACTGGTAAAGAAAACACCGTCTTAAGAGCGAAGGTTCCCAAAGAGAGAGTTTCGGTTATTCCAAATGCCGTGGACACGGCGCATTTTACTCCTGATATTAGTAAAAGAAGTAAAGACTGCAGTAAGTATTTAATTTTGAATTTTTTTGCATTGAGAGTCATCCTTTTTATTTATAGAAAAATATGGTTGAGAATATTATATTAATTTTTTAATTATTATTCTTTTTCAGTTACGATTGTTGTGATTGCTAGATTAGTTTATCGAAAGGGTTTAGACCTTTTGGCGGAAGTGATACCAAAAATTTGTTCACGTTATTGTGATGTTCACTTTCTCATTGGAGGTGACGGACCAAAGAGATGGCTCATCGAGGAAATAAGGGAGAGAAATTTATTGCAACACAGAGTTACGCTTTTAGGAAGTTTAGAGCATTCGCAAGTGAAACATGTTTTAAATAAGGGCCACGTGTTTTTAAATACAAGTCTCACTGAAGCATTTTGTATGGCAATTGTCGAAGCCTCTTCTTGTGGGTAAGTTTTTTTTTCTTATGAAAATTATAGAACACTTTTTATTTTCATACATTAATTTCAATTTTTAAGAAATTGAAATTCTACGAATGAGTTTTATTATTTAAGAAAATAATTGAATTCCTAAAAATTATTTTATTATTTATGAAAATAATTGAATTATTGTGAAGAAATTTAAAAAAAAAATTGAATTTTGGAGAAGTTTCAAATAATTGCAAAAATTCAATTATATTTTCAAAAATAATAAAATTCTTTTTTGAAATTCAATTATTTTCAAAAATTTTAATAAAATTCTTGTCAAAATTTCAATTATTTGCAAAAATTTTCTTAAATTCAATGACATTCAATATCTACTATTTTAATACAATTTTTTAAAAGAATTCATTTATTTAAAAAATTTTTTATTAAAATTCTACGCAAACTTTTAATTATTTTCATAAGTAATAAAACAATTTAACAAGAATTCTATTATTTTAACAAATTTTTTATAAATTTCTTCGCAATAATTCCATTATTTTCATAAATAGTCAAACTCATCGCAGAATTTCAATTATTTTTAGTACAATTTTAATCAAACACCTCGAAAAATGTAATTATTTCTAAAAATTTTATTAAAATTCGTCAAAAAATTTAATTATTTAAAAATTTGTGGGTGAAATTCTTTATGAGAATTGAATTTTAGGAAACATTGAATTTATAAATTATTTATTTTTGTATTTAAATAATTGAATTCTCGTAGAATTTGTTAATAAAAATTGAATTAGAAATTAATTACAGTTAAAGTTTTAGATAATAATTGAAATTTTGGAGAATGTACTAATAATTGAAATTTTTAGAAATAATTGAATTTTGAGAAAGTTTCAAATTGAAATCTTTGAAAATCTGAATTTTTCATATTTTTGACTAACAATTAAATTGTAAACAAATACATTTGAAAATTCTCACAATTTTTTATTAAATTATTGTAAATAATTGATTTAAAGAAGAATTTTATTTAATATTTTTTATTCTTCCCATAAAATCAATTATTTGAAGGAATTTTAATAAAATTCTTTTTCAAAATTCAATTATTTTGATAAATATGAAAATTCATCACAGGAATTCAATTCTTTTGAAAAGCAATAAAATACTTTGCAGAAATTAAATTATTTTCAAAATTTTTTAAAAATTCTCGTCAATAATTAAATTATCTTTATAAATAGATAGGGAAATTCTTCTCAAGAATTAAATTATTGTCAAAATTTGTTTTTAAATTCTTCTCAAGAAGTCAATTATTTTCAAAAATTTTAATAAAATTCTTCTCATAAATTCAATTGTTTTCATCAATTATTATTTAAATTCTTGTCAGGAATTTAATTATTTTAAAAAAATTTAATAAAATTCTTCAAGAAGTTTTCAATTATTTTCAAAAATTGTTATAAAATTCTTTAATATAATAAATTTCATTAAAATTTTAATTAAATTCCTTAAAAGAAATGGAATATTTTCAAAAGTTGTTAATATAATTCTTCGTAAAAATTAAATGTTAAGAAACATTCAATTATTATTTATTTTTGTATTTAAATAATTGATTTCTCGTAGAATTAAATTATTGTTTTTCGTACTTTTAACTAACAATTCTGTAGAATTAATTTTTTTTGAAAAAGTTTAATTGCATAATAATTGATGTTATTGATTTAATGTAGAATTTTAGTTAAAAATTCTAGAAAATGTTAATTGAACTGAAAGGATACAAATAATTTTGAAGAAATTACAGTAAAAAAAAAATATTGAATTTGATTATTTTGAAAATCTTGATTCCCAGGTAGTTAATTAATAATCTGAATAAAATTTTAAAATTACAGACTGCAAGTGGTGTCGACGAAGGTAGGAGGCATTCCTGAAGTTTTACCCTCCGAATTGATTTACCTCGTTGAGCCAACAGTACCTGCATTAATCGAAGGACTCGAGAAGGCGATAGCAGATTATAAACTGGGACTCAATATCAGTCCAGACAAGGTGCATAAAAAAATCGAGTCTTTCTACAATTGGTTCAACGTTACGAAACGAACGGAAGTCGTTTATGATTTAGTTCTTCAAGAAGAGGCGAAAAATTTGGGTCAACAATTAGCGAGTTATCTAGAAAGTAATGTACTCGCTTATCTTCTAGTTATTTCCATCTGCTACATAGTATTACAAGCTCTGGACTACTTCGTTCCAAGAACGGTAAAATTTATCAAAATTTATCATTTTACACTAAACTCCAAAAGTTTTTTTTTTACTTTATTAATCGCTTCTTTATCATTTCAGTACATTGACATTGCGGAAGATTACAAAAGAAGAAATTATAAAATTAAAAAATCACAATGAACGGGATTCGAAGTATAAAAATTGAGAACATTTGGAAATTAAAAGTATTCGTTTTTTATTCTAATTTATGATATTTACATTTTTACATTTTGTATAATATTGTACAATAGTTGTAAATATTTTACTGGGAAAATATTGTAAATTCTCCGAAGTTACCAAAGAAGTGGCAGAACGAAAGTACAACTTTGGAAAAAGATAAACAGGATAGTTTCTATTTATAGTTTTTATAATTTTATAAAGAGCAAGTAACATTACAATATTATTTGTACAAATTGTGTTCACATAGAAATGCTTTTTTGTAAATAATTTTAAATGTTTCGAAAATTATAATTAGTTACCAGTAATAAAGTGGGGAGGATTCACCAATGGTGGGTTAGCTGAGGGAAAAAGCTCAATTTTATTCTACTAACGCGATTGTAAATAAAAAAAACTGCTACTATCACTTACCATTTAAAGGATGGTATTATGGTTTTTAAAAAATTAAAAAAAAAAGAATTGGATAGTATAAAAGATCAAAAATTCGAAACGTATGAAACAAAGCATTTTTTAAAAAAGTGACAAAAACACACTTTCAGTTCTTTTATAATTACAATCGCATAAGCACAATTTGAGCTTTTTTCCTAAAGCTGATCCATCACCTACCCTATAAAGCGTATTATAGTATTAAATTATATTAGAACTAAATATATATTTTTATATAAAATTTTGCTATACAAAGTATTTTAAAGAAAATTGTATCGAAATTCCAGTATTCATTTGTATTAAAATTTAAGTAATTAGAAATATTTAAAAATTAATTTAATAAATTATATATATATGTAATTGCAACAAAAAAGTCATTTTCACTATAGATTGCAGGCTTCGCACTCATCTACTAAAACCTACTATTTACTACTTTTTTTACGTTATGCTACTATTTGGGTCTTTTTCAGATTTCAGCCACTAAAAACTATTATTTCTGTTTCTTTTAAAAATTTCACTACTTTAAATTCGCTAATACTAGAAATCAATAAACTATTCTCAAAAATTATCATCAAATTCTTTAAAACGATTCAATTATTTTCATAAAATTTCGCAAAAGAATTCAATTATTTAAAAAAGAATTGATAAAATTCATCCAAAATTCAATTATTTTTATAAATGTAATTTTCAAAGAAATTCAATTTATTTTAGAATAGCATTTTCGACAATATTTCAAAAAAATCAATTATTTTTAATACTATTTTAAATTAATTAATCCAGAAATTCAATTATTTTCACAAATAAAGTTTTCCAAAGGAATTGAATTATTTAAAATAAAATTTTCATAATATCTATTATATTTCGAAAAAATTAATTATTTAAAACAATGTTTATAAACTTCTTATGAAGAATTCAATTATTTTCAAAAATAACAACATTTTTCACAGAAAATCAATTTTTTTAAAACATTTTAAAAATATTTTTTGCAATAATTCAATTATTTTTATAAATAATAAAATTCATTGTTGGATTTCAATTATTTTTAATACAATTTTACAGGAATTGTTCAAATAATGTTTAAAAAAATTCTTAAAAATTGAAAATTCCTCGAATTTATTTAAAAAAATGTTTTTTTTCAATTCTTTGGAAGAATTCAAATATTTACAAAAATATTAGAGTTTTTAACAAAAATTCAAATATTTTCAAATATTTTTAAAAAGTTGTTCGAAAAATTTTTCTAAAATTGAATGTTTATATAAAGTATTTTATCAAAACTTAAATCAAATAATTTATTTTTTTTAAATTTAATAAAAATTGTATTTTAATAATCTGTGAAAATGTTATTATTTATGAAAATAATTGGAATTTTCGCAAAGAAATTTATTAGAACTTTTTTTTTAAATAATTGAATACTTTTGTGAAATTTTATTAAAGTAGTAGATAATGAAAAATAATTGAATTTTAGCGAAGAATTTCGTTATTTGGAAAACTGATTGAATTCTTGTCAAAAAAATTTTATTAAATTGTTCGAAAATAATTTAATCGTTTTAAAGATTTTTAATCGTTTTTTTAAAATTTTATTAAAATTGTTTATAATATTTCAAAGAATTCTATTAAAATTTTTGAGAATAATTTCTTTTACTTTATAAATTTTTCAAAACTCTTGGTATTTGAAAATATTCTTCAGTTGTAAAATTAAGAAAAATTTGTTAAAATATTGAAATAAAAAGCTAGACTATAAAAGTGAATGTAGAGGAAAAAGATGAAAAGTCAAGACATGTTGAAAATATAATAAGATTTATTTTACCAAGTTGTACGTTAGATACAATAATAATAATAATAATATTGATACAATATCAATCATTATTCTGTTTGTTTAATCATCACTGTATTAATGTACATTTTTTTCCTATTTATACATAAATCTTTCAATTAAGGGAAATAGTTCTTTCTCTGAACAGATGTGAAAACGATTGTTGCAGCGAAAAGACAACATCCCTTAGTTAACAACCTTTACAATATTATGAATGATCATATCTGACGGAACAAATCCAGTCCTGTATTTTTATCGTATCTATTTGCGCAGTAATAGCGATAATTTGCCAAAAATTAAAGTGTTAATTCAAGAATTCATTTAAAAAAAAGAACATCAAAGACTTCAATTTTTTTTCTTTTCTCTCATTCAAATCATTTTTTTGAAACATTTTTTAATTCAAAACAATTTTGCCAATATAAAAAAATAGGTACATTTGAATTTTTATTTTTGTCTTTTTCATTTTTCATTTTTTGCTTTTCAACTATCAACCAATATTTTTAATATATTTGATAAACATTCAAATAAACGAAAAGATAAGAATAACAAAATTATTCAATCATATTTTTTTTGAAAAATAAAAAATTAAATTTCTATTTCAACAACAATATGATTAAATCAATAAAAATTCATTTCAATCATAAATTTGTATTTTTATAATTAGATTCTAAATTTAAGAATCAAAATGGATTTTTTTCATATAATTATTTTAATTAATTTTAAAATCTTTAGAAATCTTTAGAATTCGAAATAGTTTTGCAATTTTTGAAAACAATTTTCAACAAGAATTATTTTTCAACTAAAAAGTGGAAAAATTATTTTTGGTAAAATTTGCAATATTATTTTCGAAAATTGCAATATTTCCAATAAGAAAAATTTAATATTGATACACTTTCAAACAAGGCATTCAAATTTTTCAATCATGCAAAAAATATGCTGCCAATTTCAACAGCAAAAATAAAAATAACAGAAAAAGACATATAAACTGCGCTATTTTTTTTTAAATTTATACGTATGTATAAGTAGGATCATCTATCACTGTACTTCAACTTGTTTAAGTATATAAAAATTGAATTAAAATTCATTAAAATCAACTTCTGCGTAAACTATGTGTTAAATATGAAAAATAATAAAATTTTTTTTTTTATTAACATTTCTTTAAACTATATAAATAATTTTTTTAAGAACTAAATCTAATTTAAAACTGTTGAGTTATTTCTTTTTTCAACAATAGTGCAGTCTAGATATAATTTTCCAAAATCTTTTACATTTTTCTTTTTAATACAAAAAAAAGAAAAATTGATGCTTCGTGTCAAAGATTCAATTATAATAATAATATAAAAAAAAAGAAAATACATGGCACTCGCAGAATGCGCAAATCGCTAGAGAATGAAATGAAGCGAATTTGAATTTCGATCAATGTGCTCTATATTGTGATCGTTTATAAAAATCACGAGCAATTATTTTCGACAAAAGAAACATGATCGAAATTTTTATTCTGAATACTGTTCAAGTCGAGGTGTAATTGGAACTTTATTTTCATCCCCAAACGAACTAATGTCACAAGTATGTAAAAGTTTTAAAATATAAAAAATACTTAAGTTTAAGAAATAAGTTTAGAAAAATACAAAAAGTTCAAGAAACTTTACACAACAGTCAAGAAATCTTCACAAATAAAAAAAAAAAAATTCGACATTATTTCTTTAACAGTGTACAAATTTCTTTCAATTAAAAAAGAAGAAGAAGAAAGAAAACTGTCATAATACAGTTTTCTTTTTTAAATATAACATTTAATCTCAATTAGTTCGCATAAGGACGAAAAAAAAACACATTTGAATTGAAATGATAAGAATGATAACAAAAAATTCGGTGGTTTGAATTTGTCTAATACGTTGAGAAGGACTGTACCTTTGAAAAGGTGTTCCTGTCAGAGAGGAAAGACTGCTGCGTCTACGCAGATTTCAAAGGTTCTCGTCGTCTTCGGATATCCTCCATAGCAATTTTCATAGAAAATTTTTTTAATAATAAACGCGGAGTGTGACCGACGAGTTCCCCTTGAATCCAGTTAGCTACAATAAATAAATAAGTAATCAACTGTCAAACTCCGCGCTGCTTCATTTCCTCGTTTAAACAATGATGAAGCAATTATGTGTGTTTTTCTTTTAGAATCCTTCTCCGTAATCGCGATCGCCAACATTAATACGATCCGGAGCTGATGTCACACTGAAGCCTAGAATTCTGTTGTCCACTTTGAACATTTTACCTTTCTTCGGCTTCTTTGATTTGCCCTAAAAAAAGAAAACAAAAATAAGTTCTATAATTTCCTAAATTCATAAAATAGCTGTATTAAAGTTATTTTCATTGTCGCAAACTTTGCACTCGATAATTAATTTAAAAAAAGTAGCAAATAGTAGCTTTTAAACTAAAAAAAGTAGTAAAAAAAGTTGCTATCGAAAAATTAAATTTGACGACCAAAAAAAACTCGTTTTTAGACACTTCACAAAACTATGACAAAAATTTCATTCTAAATTTTATTTTCCTGACTTTTTCCTAATATTCATCAAAATTATACATTTATTTCTTATCCTGTTAAAAAATTGAATTCTTGCAACAAATTTTATATTATTTATAAAAGAATTTAAATATTTATAAAAATAATTTAATTCCTGCGAAGAATTTTATAAAATTTTTTAAATAATTGATTTCTTTCGACTAATTTTATGCAAATTATAATTTAAATAATTGAATTCCTGACAAATTTTTATTATTCATGAAAAGAATTAAATTCTTACGAACATTTTACACAAAATTTTTTAAATAATTGAATTCAGTTTGGAAATATGAAAATAGTTGATGCTATTCTACATTAATTAAATTCCAGTGAAAATTTTATTTATGAAAATAATTGAATTCCTAAAAGAATTTTATTATTTACGAAAATAATTGAATCCCTGTAAAAATTTTATTATTTATGAAAATAATTGAATTATTGCGAAGAAATTTATTTAAAAAATTTGTTATTTTTCTTAATAATGGAATTCTTTTGGATAATTTTATTAAAATAGTAGATATTGAAAATTATTGAATTTGAGGAAAATTTTTGAAAAGAATTGAAATTTTGAGAAGAATTTTATTAAAATTTTGGAAAATAATTAAAGCTTAGAGAAGAATTTTATTATTTATAAAGATTATTGAAATTTTGACGAGAATTTAAAAAAAATTTTGAACACAATTGAATTTCTGCGAAGAATTTTATTACTTTTGAAAATAATTAAATTTCTGCAATCATTTGTAATTTTTATATAATTTTCCATATTATATCTTATACAATTAACGAACTTTACGTCCTTTTTCACTCAAATTACGATCTTTACGGACCATTTTTAGAAAAAAAACGGACTTTTTTGGACTTGAAGCAAATTTGGAATGTTTGAATTATTATTATTAAATTATTTGAATTATTCCAACCTAGTTGGAGCCCTGTTCACTCTATGGTTCATGCATTAATAGATAGAACTGAATACCTTAACTTCCTGGAATTCAGTAGATGTATTTGGATTGACGGCAGGAGCTGGTTTACAAAGGTCATCGGCTTGTGCCTGAGGACGTTGTGCTGATCGCCATTTGCTTCGTTTCTCTAGAAATTGTCTGGCGAAATCCATGCAGCATCTGTCGTCACCCAAATAGAGTCGCACGTATTCTTTAACTTCATATGCAGATTCAATGTCCCGCAAAAATCCAATGAACGTTGGAACTGTAAATTAAAAGTGCCACAAGAAATTAATTTCAGAGAATTTTACTACAAAAAAAAACAAGTAAAAAAAAGAAAACATTAAGGAAATAAAAATTGCGCCTACTATCAACGGAGACTTGTAGTCCACCGAGTGCTTTACTACACCACTGCGTAAAGTCGTCAGGCTTGGCAGTGTTCTGCTCAAAGAGCTTCTTCACGAGTTCCTCCTCCCGTTTGTTCTTATTCTTCGCGGGTTTATTATTGAGCTGCTGCGCTTGGGGCTGTGGTACAGGAATCACTTTGACGGGAGGTGCCGGTTTTGCGGGCTGCTTCGCTGGAGCATTCGACTTTGCGGGAGGAATGTCGTCCCAGAAGCCGCCAGTGTTGCTGGTCCAAGCTTGACTGCCGGCACTCGTCGAGTTCGCCCAGGTTAATGATTGCGAGGCAGTGCCCCAGATTCCGGCATTTTGCAGAGAAATCGCCGGCTCCTTAGGAACGGTTTTCTCCTGTCGCTCGCGCTCCTTGGCGACGCGTTCCTGCTCCTCGAGTTGGATTTGCGCGAGACTCTTGACCTGCGGCTGTTTGCTGGCAGAGGCCGTCTTCTCGGCCCACTTGAACTGTAGGCGCTTCGAAGAGTCCATCTGCACTGCCTCTTGCGCTGCCTCGAGTGCTTTTTGTTGTGCGACTTGCATCTGCAGAATTTGCTGGAATCGCTGCTGCTCTGCCTTCTTCTCCCGCTCGTGTTTTTGAATATCAGCGAGAGACGAGGCTTGAGCGACAGCCGCTGTGGATTGTGCCCACGGGGCTTTGCTGCGTTCCTGGAGTTTCCGCAGTGCCTCCTGTTCACGTCGTCTTTGCTCGGCTTTTCGCGCCTGTTCTTCCGCCTCGGCTTTACGTTGCGCTGCCTCTTCCTTCTTTCGGACCTCCTCCTCTAATCGCTTTTGCTCCTCTTCCAATTTCTTGCGTTTCTCCTCTTCCTTTCTCAATTTCTCCTCTTGCCTTCGAGCCTCTTCCTTTCGCTTCTTTTCCTCCTCCTGTCTTTTCTTATTCAATTCTTCATCCTGTCTTCGCTTCTCCTCTTTCTTTCGCTCCTCTTCTTTACGTTTCTTCTCCTCTCTCTTTCTCAATTCTTCCTCTTTGAATTTTTCCTCCTCAATACGCTTCCTCTCTTCCTCGATTCGCTTCTTCTTCTCATCCTCAATTCGCTTCTTCTCCTCCTCGAGTCGTTTTGCTTCTTCTGCTTTTTTCGCTCGCTCTTCTTGATGTTGTTTCAACACCTCCTCATTGTGTCGTTTTATCTCCTCTAACTTTTTCATTTCTTCTTTCTTATCATCTTGTAGCCTAAGTTTTTGCTCTTCCTGCAAATATTCATGAATTCATTAATTAAGTTTGATAACTTCACAAGTTCTTAGAAATTTAAAAAAAGCATGAATAATTTTTTATTTAATTTTTCTTTATTTCAAATTTATTTGAACTTTTAAACGTCATAATATTTTTAAATAGAAATATGTACGTAATAGGAATTCAATTTTTTTGGATTTTTGAGCAAATGCTTTGAGTAACAAATAATGCAAAATTCTAGATTAAGAATTTGTCACTTACTAATATTTGTTGCTCAGTCTTAATATCTTTGCCGTGCACATCCCACAATGAATTTGGTATTTGTCCAGGTGGCATTGCTGGTATTGGTCCAACCTAAACAATAAACATCACTTAATTTCAAAAAAAGAATTTTAACAAAAGCTGTAAAATTTGTATTTTCAATAAATATTTGTAAATAATTTTCAAAAAACTTTAAAAAAGTTCTTTGAGAATTTTTAATACCATTTGTTTACAATTGAATTTTATGAAATTCCGATTGTCGGAAATTCTTCAATTAAATATAATAGAAAATAAAAATACCAAATAATTTCAAAAAATTCCATTCAACTTTAAAAAAAAAAAAATTGTAATTCTACAGATCTGTTTTCAAAATTCAATTATTTCTAAAAATTCACGCTATAATGCTTTCAATATTGAATTATTATTTAAATACAAAAATAAATAATATATTGAATAAAAGTGATATTTGGTCAATGAAAAATTGACGAAACGTCGTAAAAATAAAGACTATTTGTCTTTTTAATTCATGTGTTTAGTGTTTTTTTTTGTTTTTTTATTCATACAAAAAACCTACACAACATTTGCTCCAAAACGGATCGACATAATAATCTTAATATATTGAATAATTTAATATTTCTTAAAATTGAATTCTCATAGAGAATTTCATCAACAAATTCTAATTGTTTTGAAAATTTTTATTAAAATAGTAAATATTGAAAATCATTGAATTTCCAAAAAGGATTTTATTATTTATAAAGATAATTTCATTTCATTTTACATATTTTTAAATCAATTTTCATTAAAAAGTTTTACCACAATTCAATTATTTATATATAAAAATAAATAATTTATTAAATTCTTACAAATGAAATCTCATAAAGAATTTTATCAGCAAATTTTTAGGTAATAGAATTGTTTCGACAAATTTAATAAAATTTTTAAGAAGAATTATATTTTTTTGAGAATAATACGATTAAAATTGTATTAAAAATAATTGAAATTCTGCAATGAGTTATATTATTTGTCAAAATAATTGAATTCCTAATAAGAATTTTATTATTTACGAAAATAATTGATTCCGAGTAAAAATTTTATTATTTATGAAAATAATTGAATGATTCCGAAGAAATTTATAAAAGAAATTTGTAAATAATGAAATTCCTGTGAAATTTTTGTTATTTTATGAAAATAATTAAATGTTTGCGTAGAATTTTATAACGATTTTTGAAAATAATTGAAAACTTCTTGAAGAATTTTATTAAATTTTTTAAAAATAATTGAATTCCTGGGAAGAATTTTAATAATAATTTTTCAAAACAATTGAATTGATGAGAAGAATTTTATTAAAATTTTTGAAAATAATGGACTTTTTGAGAAGAATTTTTAAAAAATTTTTGAGAAGAATTTTCCTATCTATTTATAAAGATAATTTAATTATTGATGAGAATTTTAAAAAAAATTTGAAAATAATTTAATTTCTGCAAAGTATTTTATTACTTTTCAAAAGAATTGAATTCTTGTTATGAATATTGATATTTATCAAAATATTTGAATTTTGGAAAAGAATTTTATTAAAATTCCTTAGAATAATTGATTTTACGGAAAGAATTTATGCAATTTTGTTATTTATCAAGCTAATTGAATTCTTTTGCAAAATTACTTAAAAATTTTTGAAAATAATTAATTTTCTGCGACGAAAGAAATAGGGGAAATTTAGGGAAAATTTTCAAAATAGGGTACGTTTAGGGGCCAAAATTAAAAAGAGAAGTTAAGAGAAAATATCATTGAATAATTAAAAGATAAAACGAACTAAGTATAAATATTTACCTGCGTGAGCCAATTTTGTGCATTAAACGGAGTGGCAATGTGAGGCGGCGGTTGGGGCCAAACAGAATCAACTGGAACTTGTGGATGTCCGTTCGCGTGAACATTCAACTGTCTCAGCAATGATTTAATAGCATTATTTTCTTGAGTCGGTGCGGGATTGACAACCATAGGCGAAGTTTGCATTCCCGGTAAATTTTGTGGATTATTTCTCTCTTGAATCATTTGCTGCAAAAATCCAAGTGGCGCTGAATGCGCCGCATTTGTTGGATGACCGCTTGCCGCCAAATGATTCTCCAACTGTGTTTTTGTCTAAAAAAAAAAGAGAAAGTCGAATATTTTCTTTTCCCCTATGAAAGCCATCATTCATTGGTTGAAGAAAAATTAATTTTCCCATCATTGAATTATTTTCATTTCTGGGATTCGACTTGAAAGAAAAAGAAAATTACCGACCTGCATTTGATTGAACAATTGCATCACAGGATTTGATGTCTGTGTTGCCAAAGGTGTCACAAATGGATTATGATTCATTTGCATGTCTGATAATTCCGACTCCTGAATGACATATTGTAATATTAATTGATTCTGTTCAATTGGACTCAACGACGCCCAATGCTCCGATTGTGAAAGTTTAGCGATCGCCATTTGCCGGAGGAACATTTGATTTTGCATTAGTTGAAGCCTCTGATATTGAAGTAACAACATTGGATCGTCGATCGCTGGTTTTGGTAAATTGCTGCCTGGCATTCCAGGTAACACTGGATTTGGAACACCGGGATTTTGACTTGACATCTGAAAAAAATTACAATTCATTTTTTTAACTGCTCATTATTTTTTTCACGAAGTATTCATTGAAAATTATATTTCGAAGATTATTAATATAGTGCCAGGCAAAAATTAACAAACCTGTGTTGAATTACAAAAATTACCAATTTTTAAAAAATAAATTGAAAGTAAAAAAAAATGTTCTTTGAAAAGAAACATTCCATCATCTTTTGATGATGGAATATTTCTTTTCGAAGAATATTTTTCTTTTTGAAAAGTAATTGAATTTCAGAAAAATATATTTTCTAGTAATATTTCTCGTAATAACAATTTCTGTTCATGATTTGTTTTAAATTTTGTTATTTTCCCTTTATTACTATTTTCAAATAATCCGACATGTCATTATATTTGATTGACATTTTCGTTATTATTGTCGATAAATTTACTTTGTAGAGAATTGTCTATTCATTGGTTTGATTATTAATTATTTTCGTTATGCGTCAATAAATTTTTCTTATAAATAACTCCATTAATTATCTTTCTACAATTAACTTTCAAAGTAAATTAAAATTGCTTTATTTCGTATTATTTATGTTAAAATATCAGTCTGTGTGATATTTAACAAATTTTATTAACCACAATAAATTAATTTTTGTTCCTATTAAAAGCTACTGAAACCTTAAAAATTGCATTTTATTATTTTCAATAAACTAAAAACAAAAGAAACTTAGTCTTGTCTTGTTTATTAAAACTGTGTTTCTATTGCTTCGCGCCGCATAGCCAAATATAATTCACAGTGGCTCAAATTTCTAAACAAAAATTGCAAACTCGCCTAAAACACATAGCGATAGTTTATCTGAAGAAGAATCTCCTTTCTTTGTGCTCAATTTTTTAAAAATAGTCGAATTCTTTAGAAAAATTTTATTAAAATTGTATTTGAAAATTATTCAATTACTGCGAAGAAATTTATCATTTATGAAAAGAATTCAATTGTTGAAAAGCAGTTTATTCAATTTTTAAAAAAATAATTGAATTCTTATAAAAAATGTTATAAAAACTTTTGATATAATAATTGAATTCTTGCGGAAAATATCATTGAAATTGTGTTAAATATAATTGAATTCCTGCGTAGAATTTCATTATTTATAAAAAATAATTGAATTCTTGCGAAGAAGTTTATTCAATATTTTTTACTAATAATTGAATTCTTTCGAAAAATTGTATTTTCAAAATGTATTGAAAGTAATTAATTCCTGCGAAGAAGTTTATTATTTACAAAATAAATAATTGAATTTTTTATAAGAATTTTATTAAAATTTAAAACAAATAATAAAATAATTTATTAGTTAAAAAGTGAATTTTATAAAATTTTGAATCTGAAATTAATCAAAGATTGAAAATTGATATTTGAAAATAATAATATTTGTAACCCTTCCAGAATTCAATTATTTTCTATAATTTTCAACTAAACTTCATCTCTAAATCAATTTAAAAAAAAATTTTGCAAAAGTTCATTAAAATTTTTTATAATTCAATTATTCAAATTCAATTCAAACTGTGCAATTAAAATTCTTAAAAAGTTGATTTTTAAAAATAGTAACAAAATACCTACTTGAATAAAATTAATTATTTTCAATTAAATTTTACAAAATTTCAATTATTCAAAAAGATTTTTATTACCTATTATAAATTCTTTGCAAGAATTCAATTATTTTTATAAATAATAAAATTTTTCACATAAATTCAATTATTTAAAAAAATGCAATAAAATTCGTTGTAAGAATTCAATTATTTTCATAAATAATAAAATTTTTCACAGGATAATAAAATTTTAAATAAATTTCTCGAATAATTAATAATGTAATTGCGTACAAAAAGTTTTGGAAAATTTTTTGCAAGAATTCAATTTTTCTTCACAAATAATGAAGTTCTTCGCTAAAATTCAAATATTTTTAAAATCTACTATTTTAATATAATTTCTCAAAAATTTTATTCTTTTTTTCACAAATTCAATTATTTTCTCAAACAATAAATCGATTATTCGAAAATTCTTCAATTTCAGAAAATGAAAACTTCCAATAATTTAAAAAAAACTCAAAAAAAGTTTTTCAGAAAAATTAATTCTACAGAATTGTTAATGAAAAATTTTGAAAAATTCAAATTTTTAAAGATTTTAATATGAAACCTTTTCAAAATTCAATTATTTCGAAAAATTCACGCTATAATGATTTTAATAATATAATTAGATAGATAATGATAGATAATAGTATTCAAATATTATCTAAAATTTTAACTGAAATTTATTTTTAAAACAATTTTTATTAGAAAATTCTACGAGAATTCAATTGTTTAAATAGAAAAATAAAAAAATTATTGAATAAATGAATGTTTCTCAAAATTGAATTCTCATAAAGAATTTTATCAAAAAAATTTTTAAATAATTGAATTTTTTAGAACGAATTTTAATAAAATTTTCAAGAATAATTGCATTTTTCGAGTATTTCGATTAAAATTTTATTAAAAATAATTAAAATCCTGCGATGAGTTTTATTATTCATGAAAATAATTGAATCTCTGTAAAAAATGGTTTATTTATTAAAATAATGAAATCATTGCTAAGAAATTTATAAAAAAAAATTTGTAAATAATTGCATTCCTGTGAAATTTTTATTTATTTAATGTTTGCGAAGAATTTTATTAAAATTTTGTTTAAATAATTAAATTTTTTTGGAAAATTTTATTAAAATAGTAGATATTGAAAATCATTGAATTGGAGGAAAATTTTTGAAAATAACTCAAATTTTGCCAAGAATTTTAATAAAATCTTTGAAATTTTGTAAAATTTTAAATTAAATCCATTTGAAGTTGATTTAATTATTCATTAAATAATTTATTTATTTTATGATAGTTGTTTAAGAATTAACTTATTTAAAACGAAATTATTGTAAGAAATAGAAAAAATTGAAAAAATTGTTTTTTATTAGAATTCGTGGTAATTTTATAATTTATGAGTCAAACAAAAAAGATACCAAAATTCAGAGTTTTCTTATGAATTTTAAATATTCAATTTTTTCCAATACTTTTACTTAAAATCCCTGACTTTTCCCTGACTTCTCTGATCTGTGGAAATCCTATTTATTTAAATATCTTTGTTTATACTGCTGCTAATTGATAAAAAAAAGGCGATAATACTTTGAATCTCTTGTAGGTGATCAAAGGTTATAATTTCCAAGCTGCATATGTTTTCTTTAAAAAATTTAAACTGAAATAATTACTGTTTGCCTCTTTCCCACCCGATGACCCTATTTGCTTTTAGTTCCTTTAATTTTGTAACTAAAGAACAAATGACAAAACTTACTTTGAGTGGAGGAATCAGAGGTCCGGGCTTAAACGGAACTCGTCCGTACATATTCATCAGATCTCCGAGGGAAGCGTATCTTTCGTCGCAAGTTCGCCTAACGAGTAGACTTGCCGAGAAGTAGCCTTGCTTCCACCACTCGGCCATTTCACTAGCCAAAAATGGACCCTGAACTTCACCCTGTGGATCGCGGTAAAACCACTTTTCCAAAACACTGGAATTATCCAAATTTTGAATTGAATTCGAATCGGGAGGATTGACCTGTTCGCCCCTATGGCCGCCGTCTTCCGACATCAATTTGGCAACCAGAGCGTCCGCCTCCTGATCCATTCTATCCAAATGCTCGTCCATTTTCTGATTCATTTGATTCATGACACTTGCAGTGTTGATGAAGCCCGTTTTCAATTGCGGAGGCTGTCGACTCATCAGTATCACAGCAGGATCTATATTTAAATTCTCCTCGTTGTTCTCCTTGAATTTACTGCTCTCAATGGGCTTCCTGTCGGCATCGTTTAATTTTTCACTGTGTGCCTGCTGCTCGGTAGGCAGTGCTTTTCTGGACGGGAAGTTTTCGTGATGAGCTTTAGATTCGGGAGTGGGTGGCGGAGCTTTCATTGGTGCGGTGCTGTTCCTCGATGTGGTGGTTCTTGGCGGTGAGAGACTTGGTCTCTCCTGATCGCCTTTATCCTCGAATGGGTGTAATGATTTGGCTCGCTCTTTATTTGCGGCGTTGATTGTCGTCGCTGTGGCCGTTGTCGCCGTCGCTGTCGTCGTCGTCGTTGACGTGTACGTTTGACGCTTTGTCAATTGGTCCTGCGCTGAATGTTTATTATTCTGCTTCGACGTGTTTCCCTCGGACACTTTACGCGTTTTTGGCTCGTGTGAAGCGTCACCGCCTTGGCCCCCATCCTCGTCATCGTCTGAATACATTCCACCATGGAAAGCGCCTGAAGCATCGAAACTACCTCCACTTTCACTTGGATTTTCAGTCGCCCTATTTACAAACAAAAAGAAACCATTTAAAACGATTTTTTTACATTCATTAAAAATATGAAATTCTATCAAAATAATTTTTCACAATCTCTGATAACGGTTCGCTCTCGGTTAAGTTTTTTTCATCGCACTCAAGGTAAAAAGGTCCTGAGATCAAGGGATCATCATTTCCTTCACCGAATGCTAATCTATAGCTAAAGTTCTTCATTGATTGTCTCTTTTCAAAACTTGTCTATTTCGTATTATTTTTCAGGATGTGCCACAAAAATTAGATTTTGTTTTCTTCTTAATTTTCCCTAATTTCCAAAATGAATTTTGACTTTTCAAGGTTGACACAAAAATTTAACTTTGTTTTCCCTGACTTTTCCCTGATTTCCAGACAAAATTTTAGTTTTTTCTCTGACCTTAAAGAATATTCTGATTCACTCTAAAAATTATTAGACACCCAAAATAATGTTCTATTACATTTCTTTACGAATTTCTTCAATTATACAATCAATAACTTCTTTTGTAAATAAATATAATTTCATAAATAATAAAATTAATCGAAGCATTTATATTATGTTTAATACAATTTCACAAGAATTGCTCAAAAATGTAATTATTCTTAAAAATTTAATTTCAATTCCTCGAAAAAATCCATTATTTAAATAAATAATAAATGTTTTTTTTTTTTTTTTTTTCAATAATAAATGTTTTTTAAAATTCTTTATAAGAATTCAATTATTTACTAAAATATTAGAATTTTTCTCAGGAATTCAATTATTTTAATAAAAATCATCGATAGAAATCAATTATATTAAATAAAATTTTAATTAAAATTTTCTTGAAAAATTCAATTATTCTTTCAGATTTTAATAAAATTCTTTCCATGAATTCAATTATTTTCATAAATAATTCTTCGAAAGAATTCAGTTTTGTCGATGAAAAACAAAATTATTCCCGAAAATTCAATTATTTTTAGGCATTTTAATAAAATTGCTTGCAAAATTCAATTATTTTGATAAATAACGATATTCATCACAAGAATTCAATTCTTTTTAAAAGTAATAAATTTCTCCTTGTAAATTCAATTATTTTAAAAAATTCTAATAAAATCGTTCGCAAGAATTGAATCATTTTTATAAATAAATAATTTTTTTTTTATTTTTTGAATAAAATTAATGAATAGCTTTAAGAATTTTTAAAGAAAAAATTATAATTTTTTGGAAATAAAAATATTGTTATAGGGTCAGTTGGGGGAAATCAGGGTGTCTAACAAGGATTGAGAAAATAATTCCCTGACTTTTTACTAATTATTTTCTAGAATTTGTAACTAAAATTTGTTTCAAAATCAATTATTTTAATAATTTAGAGAAAGTTCTTCGAGAAGTCAATTATTTAATTAAAACATTCCTTTTCTATAACAGCATGTTTTTTTGAAAAGTTTTTAACATGAAAAAGGAAATTTAAGAGCAGTTTAAGGTTTCCAATATTTTCAAAGTTGACAAAAAAATCGAAAGTTTTGTAGCATTTCTAAAAATTAAATATTTTTTTACTACTTTGGTTAAAATTCCCTGTGGCAACCCTGTTTCTGTCGAAATTTTTTTAAAAACTCGAAAACTTTACCATTCTGGAAGGTTGTCGTGGTTATCATGGTGATTAGGATCCCAAGGTCTGCGAGATGGTGGATGATGGGACGCATCATAAGGACCTCTATGATTTCCCCTGTGCTCCCAACGTCCTGCAATTCGATTTTCTTCGCCTTCCCCGTCAGGTTTGTCTTTATCAGAATTGCCTCCATCGCGCCAATTACCTTTCCCTAGAAAATTAAGTTAAATTATTTAAACATCTCCAAATCTATAAATTTATTTAATAATTCTTGAAAAAATGTCTACAATCAACTCGAGAGAAAATAACACATAGGTATTAAAATTTAAAAAAACGATTTAATCATTTTTAATAAAAACTTGTCAAGATTAAACGTTTCTTTAAATTTCTGAACGATTTTGCTTTAAGCAAGTGAAGTAGTAACCGAAAAAAGGAATATCAGTTACCTCCCCATTTGTCGCTTCGACTGTTGGAAGTAACCCTCCAGCCGTCGTCATCCTCACTGCCACCTCGATGACGACGCCAATTACTTTCCATGAGGGAACCCCCACTTGGTCCACGACCTAATTCTTTTCGTGGACTAGTTGAACCATTCCACTCCCCTGGATCCGCAATCCCGTTTCTTTCAGACCAACCGCGTTCACTTTGTGACCTTTCGTATGGTCTGCTTCTTGCCTAAATTTCCCATTGGACAGTTCAAGAAAATTTTATTTCACAGCAGCAACTTTCAAAATTGTAAATTTAAAAACGATTTTTCAATTTTAATAATTATACTTTCTATAAGAAATAAGAGTTTTAGAATTAATATTGATTAAAAGTTGGATCAATTGAAATTACAATTAAAATTTTGATAAGTTAAAATTAAAAACTGTCTGTCTGTTTTTCCCTGAATTTTTCCTTATTTTTAACTTTTTCCCTTACCCCTTAAAAATCCCAAGGGCAATTCAATCATAAAAAAATATCTTTAAAAGCAAAAATTTAATTTAAAATATAAAATTAATTGCAAAAAAAAACTCGTTTTAGACACTTCACAAAACTGACAAAAATTCTATTTAGCTATATTTTATTTTCCTGACTTTTTTCCAATTTTCATCAAAAATATTAACTTCTTTAAAAAAAAATTTTAAATAATTGAATTCTGTTTGGAAATATGAAAATAGTAGCCATAATAATTGCTGTAACTTTTTCCTTTTGCATATTTCTTGAAAAATGTTTTAGAACACTAATTTTATGATACAAAGAAACGCTTTAAAGCAAAAAAAGAAATATCGATTTTTTTGAAATCCTTGACCAGAATAATCCCTTTGAATAATTTATTGATCGAGAAACTATTGAAAACTTGAAAATATCTTCTAAACAAAAATTTAATTAGAAAAATATTTTTTCTTCTTATTCGTTAATTAAAAGTGTTGTGAATTTCATCAAAATTAAATTACTTTTTGTGTTTTTTAAGTAAAATTATTCTCTCAATAATTTATAAATGATAATAATAAACAAAATGGGAGATGTTCATTACATGAAAATTTGTCTTCCTCTTTACGACCAACGAAAAAAATTACAAGGAAGCAATAACATTATTTAATTCTTTTACGGAACCTTCGATTTCTCAAAATTATTTTTTTATTTAAATTTACAAAAACTGTATCGATTGGTAAAAAAAATTTCCAAATCTGAAGGGTAAATGTCTATTTAATAACAAGATATGAAAGAGGTACATATCAAATTATTAAAATAGAGGAGAAAATTTGAAATAGATGGAAAAAGATCAATATGTACCTGCCTTTGAAATTTTCAGGTAGTTAAAAAAAATTGGCTAATACCTTTTGCGAATGTAAAAAATATTGAAAATTACGTAATGAATATAGATAATTCGGTAAAATTGAAAGTGATAAAATTTAACGAGAAAATAAAAATAGAGCCTCACGGAAAAAGGTTGTGTATCGCTTCTAGATCCGTCTCCTGATTCCTCGAAACCACGTGAATAGGAAGAAGAGTATAGACCACCTCTTCCGATTCTTCCACGCCCCCCACGATCAACACTACCTCCTCTTCCTCGACCAGGCGTGCTTGTTATTCCACCATTCCACAGTCGCTAAAAATACACAAACTCCAATTAAAACCACATTTTTCTTTATAGGTAAAAAGAAAATTTTCATTTTCTATACACAAGTAATGCGCAATTTGGAAAAAGTCAACAAAAGTTTCTCTTTTTTTTTAAAAACAAAATTTATATTTTCTATCGTTATCTCGACTGCGACATTCTTAAATCAAAAACATACAAAACATTTATGAATTATTAGGGTTGTCACAAAAATTTAATTTTGTTTTTTCCTGACTTTTCCCTGATTTCCGGACAAAATTTCGACTTTTTTCCTGACCCTAAAGAATATCCTGATTCACTCTCAAAATTATTAGATACTCGAAAAATGTTCTATTACATTTATTTACGAATTTCTCTAATTGTAAAATTATTCGAAAACATCAATAACTTCATTTTTAAATAAATTCAACAACTTATAAGAATATTATTAAAAAACATGAAATTATAAGAATATTGTTACTGTAACTTTTTTAAAATTATTTTCATCATTTCAATTCAATTATTATTTTCTAGAATTTTTTACTAAAATTCTTCTTTAAATCAATTATTTTTTAATAATTATTGAAAAAGTTCTTTGAGAATTTGAAAATTCCATTAAAATTTAAAAAAAAAATTAATTCTACAGAATTATTAGTTAAATATATGAAACATTCGTTTTTATTAATAATTAAATTATTCTCGGACGTTAAATTTTTATAAAAAAATTTAATTTAAAACCTTTTAAAAATTCAATTATTTCTAAAAATTTACGCTATAATGCTTTTAATATTCAATTACTATCTAAAATTTTAACTGAAATTCTTTTTAAAATCATTTTTTATTCGACAATTTTACGAAAATTGAATTATTTAAATACAAAAATAAATAATTGATTGAATAATTGAATTTTTCTTATTGAATTCCTTATAAAGAGCTAAATCCCAATTTTTTTTTTGAATAATTAAATTGTTACAAAGAATTACATTAAATTTTTTTTTAAATAATTAAATTCATTCAAGAAATTTAATTAAAAGTGCATTGAAAATAATTATTAAATTTTAAAACAAATTATGTACAACATTTTTCTTAATAATTCTTTTGAAGAATTTTTATAACATTTTTAAGAATAATTAAATTCTTTTGTATAATTTTATTAAAATAGTAGATATTAAAAATCATTTAATTGAGAAAAATTTTTGAAAATAATTGAAATTTTACCAAAAATTTTATTAAACGTTTGCGTAGAATTTTATGAATAATTCTTTTTAAATAATTAAATTCTTTTGTATAATTTTATTAAAATAGTAGATATTAAAAATCATTTAATTGAGAAAAATTTTTGAAAATAATTGAAATTTTACCAAAAATTTTATTAAAATTTTTGAATTCCTAAAAAGAATTTTATTATTTATAAAGATAATTGAAATTTTGACGAGATTTTTTAAAATATTTTTAACATAATTGAAATTTTTCAAAGAATTTTATTATTTTCGAAAATATCTGAATTATTGCATTCATATGTAACTTCTACAAAATTTAATTTTTAAAAATGTTTTTAACTAAAATTCTTCTATAAATCCATTATTTTTATTAATTAATGAAAACATATTTTAAAAAATGTAATTAATTTCAGAAGAATTTGAATTATTAACATTTTTCAAAAGTCTAAGTGAGACAAACAAAAATACCCCCAGAATTAAGAATTTTCTTAAATGAATTCTAAAAATTAAATTTTTTCCAATACTTTTGATAAAAATCCCTGATATTTCCTTGTTTCCCTGAAAAATTATATTTTTTCCGACTTTTTCCTGAATACCCTAATTTCCCTGACTTGCGCCAACCCTGATTATGTAGATTTTAATTCGAAAATTGTAAAAAAATGATTTTTTTAGTAAAAAGAAAGAAGGGAAATGTACTAATATTGTGAAAGTCTGGCACAAGGGTTCCAGAGTGATGTATTTTTAGACTGCAACCAAGTATGACACACTTCTCAATATAATAGACATTATACGAACACAATATTCGAAAATAAAATTTTAAAAAGTTTAATTACATTAGAAAAAAAAATTCCCTTCCTTATTCTTGCTCTATTTCGTAAATTCTTTTTTTTTAATTCTATTGATTTTCTCTACATTTTCTTTTCTTTTTAACTATTTTTATTTTTTTTACAAGCAATTTTTTTTCATTCAGGCTAAAAAATTCTGTAAAAACTATTTCTAATTTTATTCAAAGATTGCAACTTCGGTATTTTATTTTATTTATTTACTTTCCTTTTGAAACGTGATTCCATTTGTTACTTGAAAATTTAAATATTGAACTAGAAATAGGAAAAATAAATTTTGAAAAAAATTGCTCACCATTTCATCCTCTGTCATTTGAATTAAAGCCAGTGGTAGTTGGGCTTTGTCGGCAAATATAGCTCCGAAACTTGATAATGTTTCAGGCGGTTTATAATTACGGTCGAAAAGAGCTAGCATTTCTTCTCGACCATATCTATGATCGGCTAGCTGATACCGAGGAGCAATAAGGCTTGTCAAACCACCACCACCACCCCCACCGGCACTGCAATTGTCTCCTGCTAGATTGCGCAACCTGCACAACATATTTTACATTCTTTTAATATCTTCTTTTTTTTCTACAAAAATTCGCACAATGATAAAATATTTTTAAACTGGAAAACAATTCCAGTAAATTACTGTAAATTAATTACTGCTTATTCTTACTTTTATTTCAAATAAATAGTAAATTACAACTATAAAATATTTTGCCATTGCTCATCCCAATATTTTATCTTTTCATTTAATTTCCTAAAGTTCTAATCGTTCAAATGAACGAATTTTTAAATATTTTAAAAAATTTACTAAATAGAAAATAATTCAAATTACCCATTTTCTCTTAGTTTAAAATTTTATTTTTTAATGTACAAAATAATTTCGTTAATAAAAACAAATTAAATTAAGCACCAAAACAAAATGTTTAACTTTGTTTTTCCACTGATTTCCAGACAGAATTTTCACTGTTTCCCTAACCCTAAAGAATATTCTGATTTACTCTAAAAATTATTAGATACTAAGAAAAATGTTCTCATTCATTAATTTACGAATTTCTTTAATTATATAAAATTATTCGAAAACAACAAAAACTTCATTTTTAAATAAATATTTAATTAAATTATTTCTAAAAATTCACGCAATAATGCTTTTAATATTAAATTCTTATCTAAAATTTGAACCCAAATTCATTTTTAAATCAATTTTTATTAGAAAATTCTACGAGAATTCATTTATTTAAATACAAAAATAATTGAATATTTACAAAGAATTTTGTAAAAAAAATTTTTAATAATTGAATTCTTTAGCGAAATTTTTTTTATTATAATAGTAGGTATTGAAAATAATTGAAATTCGAAAATTTTTTGAAAATAATTGAATCGATTACAATAATTATTTTATAATTCAAATTTCTAAAAAAAAATCAATTAAACTCAAATTTTCAAAGACTCTAATTTGAAACCTTTTCAAAATCCAATTAATTCTAAAAATTCACACTATAATGCTTTTTAAATTCAATTATTTACTAAAATTTTAACTTAAAATTCAATTTCTAAATCAATTTTTATTAGAGAATTCCACCAGAATTCAATTATTAAAATACAAAAATAAATAATTTATTTATTAATTGAATGAAGAATTTTATTAAATTTTGTTTAAATAACTGAAATAACTGTTTGTTAAGAATGTTTTAAAATTTTTGATAATAATTTAATTCTTGAGAAGAATTTCGCTATTTATTTAAAAAGATAATTTAATTCTTGATGAGAATTTTTAAAAAATATGTTAATAATATAATTTCTGCAAAATATTTTGTAACTTTTCAAAAAAATTGAATTCTTCTTACGAATTTCGATTTTTATCAAAATAATTGAATTTTGGAAAAGAATATTATTAAAATTTTTGAAAATAATTGATTTTATGTGAAGAATTTTGTTGTTTATCAAGAAAATTGAATCATTTGCAGAATTTAAAAAAAAATTTTGAAAATAATTTGTTTTCTGAAAATTGTTTTCAATAATGAAATTATTTGGTAAATTTTATGCAAGAATAGTAAATATTGAAAATCGTTAAATAGCGATAAATATTTGAAAATAATTGAATTCTTATGATGAATATTGTTATTTATACGAAAATAATTGAATTTTGCAAAGAATTTTTTTTTAAACTCCTAAAAATAATTAAATTTCTGTGAAGAATTTTGTTAATTCAATTATTTTTAGGAATTTAAAAAAAAAATCTTTGCAAAATTCAATTGTTTTCGTATAAATAACAATATTCATCACAAGAATTCAATTATTCTTGTCAGAATTCGAAAAAAATTAATGTTTTCTATTAGAATTCGTGGTAGTTTCATAATTAATGAGGCAAACAAAAAATACATAAAAATCAGAATTTTCTTATGAATTCTAAAAATTTAATTTTTTCCAGTACTTTTCCCCTGATTTCCCTGACCTGTGGCAACCCTGTAAAAATATCGAAAGTTCAAAACCTTATAAATATTTTCATTTAAATTTTCTATAAATTTCCTTTTCTAATGAAAAGCAAAAATTTAAATTCATATTTAAAACAATTTTCTAATTATTTCATTCAGTAAATTTTAGAATAATTCTACGATTATGTTATCTACATTCAAATAAGATAAGTTACGAACCTATTTAGATAAACAATGAAACTTGATAGAAAATAGAAATTCATTATTTAGATAAATAAGAAATTCGTTTTGTTTTCTCTTAATTTTTGGCTAAAAATCATTTCTTTCATTCTCTTTTTTTCATCATTTCCAAACTATTTCAATAGAATATTTCCTTACGTAATCATTCAGTCAAAAATCTTTTAGAGGATCTTATGTTTATCCTATTACAATAAATTAATATAATAGGATTTAAGAAAGCTTTACTCGAAACATACCGAACTAATGTAGATGTAAAGTCAAACTCATGTTTTATAGACAAATAAAAGTGGTGTCAACTATAAGATGAATAAACTTAATAAAACAAAAAAATGTTTCGAAAAATTTACTTTATATTCTACGGGTAAAATAGAAATTTAAAATTAAATTTAAAATAACTCACCATTCTGGGCCGAACTTCAAAGAATCCGTCATGATGATCTAAATTCTGCAAAAAAACGAAAAATTGATATTTAATTTTTTTTTTAGAAAACTAGAATTAAAAAAAAGTAAAATTTCCCCCATTGTCCACTTGAATAGTTTAGATAAACAAACTTCAGCACTTACATAATTTTATGGACACAAAATAAAAAGTTTACTATCTTGAAAAAAGTTGATATTGATAAAAAAGTTTCGCCAAACTTGAAAGAAAATTAAATTATAAACAAAGATAGTAAAAAATATAACAATGTACACTAATTTTAAATCACTTATTAAAAAACTATTTCGACAGTACTAACAAAAATTCCGTGTATAATTTGAAAAAAACTAGAAATAAAATAATTTTTTCTTATCTCTTTCTGTTTTTTTTTAAAAATAAATAATATTGGTTTTTAACAAAATTTCTACTTTATCTTTTTAGAACATTTTTTTCACACACATACACACATTTTAATTATTGCCTTCCAATCGCACTCGAAACAAATCTGCTTTTATGTTATAAAAAAATATTTTATAGTTCAAAATTCCAGTTAAACAATGTGATACCATCTGTTAGAATAATGAAAAAGACACAAAAGACGCTGAAAATAATTGTTTATTGTTAAGCAGAAAATCAATAGAAATATTTTTCTTTCACTCCCAGGAAGAAAAAAACTTAACCACCAACAAGTGCGTAATTAAAAAACAAAATTTCACATTAAAAAAAAATGTCCGTATCATTAATTCAGGTGAATTATTTTCTCTATAGAAAAAATTGTAAATGGCCATGAAGAAAGAAAATTTCAGAGTTTGAATTTTTTTTTTGTCAAGTGTTTAAATTTATCCGGTGAGGAATTGAAAGAAAATAATATCGATAATAAACAGAAACACTAAATTTTTTGTCGATTATGATTATGATCGTATGTGATTGAATTGCTTTTATTTACGACATGTTTTTTTTATTATTATAAAGGCACACACAATTCCCGTGAGCCAAGGTGGCAGCGTTAACCACACTTTTTTTTCGGCAACAAAACGATGAAAATTACCTGAACACGATGTATTAAAGGACACGACGAAGTTGATCCAAAAACACTATGTTTTTAAATAATATGTGAGCGTAGATACAACGTGAATAAAGTGCGAGAAATACCTTAATTCACTTCAAAATCACTCTGCGAAAAATACAATACACCAATATGGCTGACAGCTTTTTGGGACAGTCCAGGACAAGCTGGGACATTCACAGGGTTGAGTTACTTTTTACGTAAACAATATTTTGCACTAGTTAAGGTGCATTCACAGTTCTAGTGCAATTTCATTGATGCTGGTAGAATGGTGGAATTTTGTAAATAATTGATTAATCAAATAAATTTTCCAAAAACAGCAATCATTTTATTAGTCAAAATTGTTCCACTATTCTACCACCGACCCTATATCAACAATGCGTTTGTTTACATTAGAGAGCATTTACACCTTCTATAAAAATTGTCCAGAACGGAAAATTTACATTGGAGTAAGAGAGACAGACATACACTCTGTCTCTCTTACTCCAATGTGGATTTTCCGTTCTGGACAATTTTTACGTTTCGTTCAAGGTGCTATTGTAGACTCAACCTTAATGACATATTTCTATTGTAAGAGAGAGAAGAACAGAAATATCTTTCATCTTTTTCTGTCCAATGTTTTCATTGTCCCATATTGCGATGTCGATAAAAGAGCTTTCTTTTTTATCGATCCTACTTAGTCATTGACGACTGGATTCTTTTCCATTGCAAGAGATTTGCTGGATTTGCGATTGTTACTTTGGATCCTGTGTGTATGTGTGTGTACGCGAGGTGTGGTATTTGCGGTGGTTAACGAAGGTCTCGTCAAAGATAAGAAGAAAAATTAAAAAGGGCGAGCCGCTGCGTTAAAATAAAACATCATGCCGCTTGGACATCTTCCTGCGTGTGTGATAGATGTAGGCACGGGGTAAGTGATTATTTATTGTTTCTAAATTTCCATTTGCAACGAGTTCAGTTATAGGCTATGAGTGCGATGATTAACCCTGAAACAACTTCACTCTCTTGTGTCAGTGGCAAAGTATTATCATCATCCGGCTTGATTAAAAACTTCCGATTAGAGATTAAATACATGCATATAGTTAAAAAATAAATTTCATCTCTTATTCTGCGTAGGGAAAGTTATATTTCTACTCTTATCCTGACAGGTTGATTCATTCATTTCATTCACTTGGACCATTTCACTTTTTGACATGTCACAGAGTCCGCTATTTCTAGTTTCTTTTCACCCTAAATATTAATATTTCAATTGTTAAATTTAGAAACTTAAGTTTATATGACAAAAATATTTATGTTTATTGGCTAGGAAGAATCGTATAATTAAAAAAAATTATCTTTGCAATTTGCGCTCATTTTGAGGTTATGATGGATACTACAACATTCTTTATTCGTTTGATTAAAATATTTATTTAGGATTAAATTTGAAATCATTTACTAATTTTTAATTTTTTTAAATTTAATATTTTCAGTATTTTCAATTACATATTTCCGAAAATTCAAATAAAAATAACATTTTTAAATTATAGAAATTTTTTTTAAGAAATTCAAGAAATTCAATTATTTCCTAAAAATTACATTCAGATATTTTTAAAAACTAATTATTTTAGTTTTATAATAATTTTTTAAGATTCAATTATCTTCGAGCAATGTAAATAAAAATAAATGGAAATTTACTTATGGAATTATTAAAATTTTTGAGAAATCAAGGTCCTGTTTATAATTAAAATTCTTCAAAAATTTGATCTTTTTTATTTATATATTCTTCAAAAATTCAATTATTTTTAAAAAATTTTACCAAATTTTAATTATTTGGAAATTTTTCAAAATTGAAAAACTAAATGAAAAATTATTTTAAAATATTTAAAAAAAATTAATTGCAAGAATTTCTTTATAATTTTTTGAAAATAGACTTAAGAAAAAAGTATGGAGCATTACAATTCTAAAAAATGGAGTTTTTCTATTAAAATAATTGAATTCTAGAAGAAATTTTAAAAAATTATTTAAATTAATTGATTCAGAGATTAAGTTTAGTTGAAAATTGTAGAAAATTTCTTAATATCAAATAATTAGTTTAATAAATTTTAAATTCAATTAATTTTTATAAAAAATGTTTGTAGGTACACAAAGTTAGGTTTTGCAACCAATAAAGAGCCTCAACTAGTAATACCCTCGGCTATAGCCATCAAAGAAACAGCAAAAGTTGGAGACAATAGTGCAAGGCGTGTTACAAAAGGAGTCGATGACCTCGACTTTTACATTGGCGATGAAGCTTTCGAAGCCACAGGATACGCTGTTAAGGTTGGCGGATTTGAATATATTTTTATTTTTCTGAAAGAAAGGAAAAATGGGAAATAATAATTTTTGAAATTTTCAGTATCCAGTCAGGCATGGCCTCGTGGAGGATTGGGATCTTATGGAGCGATTTCTTCAGCAGTGCATTTTCAAATACCTCAGGGCTGAGCCCGAGGATCATTACTTTCTGCTGACTGAGCCTCCTCTCAATACACCGGAGAATCGGGAGTACACAGCCGAAATTATGTTTGAATCCTTTAACGTTTCTGGACTTTATATAGCAGTGCAAGCGGTGCTTGCTTTAGCTGCTTCGTGGACAGCAAAAAATCTAGACGAAAGAAGTCTAACGGGCATTGTTGTCGACAGTGGCGACGGAGTTACTCACGTTATTCCAGTGGTAAATCAATTATTTTCATTTATTTCTTTTTTTACGATTTGATGCTATTTTCATACTTTTTTTTAAATTTGTGACACTAAAAGCTATTTTTTTACACTCTGGAAAATAAGTGAATATTTTTTTAAAAAATTCGGAAAAAGTCAGAGAAATACTGAATCAAATTTTTATCGAATAGATTAAAACGAGTTTTTTTTTATCAGTCAAATTTAATTTTTCGATATCTACTATTTAATACTTTTTCTAATCTTAAAATCTACTTTTTGCTACTTTTTTAAAATTAATTATCGAGTACGAAGTCTGTAAAAAGGAATTCTTTTTTGAAATTAATTTTAAATGAAAATGTCGAAGTTTATAAAAAATGAACTTTTTTTGTTCTTTACAGGCGGAGGGTTTCGTTATAGGAAGTTGTATAAAGCATATACCAATCGCTGGTAGAGACATTACGTACTTCATTCAGAGTCTTTTGAGGGAACGTGAGGTGGGAATCCCTCCCGAACAGTCGTTAGAGACAGCCAAGACAATCAAAGAGAAATATTGTTATATTTGTCCAGACATTGCTAAGGAATTTGCAAAGTTTGACAGTGATTCTAGTAAATTCCAAAAATTTGATGGTATCAATAATATTACTAAACAGCCCTTCGTCGTCGACGTTGGTTACGAAAGGTTTCTTGGACCAGAAATTTTCTTCCATCCAGAGGTGAGTTTTTCAATTATTCAAAAGTAATATATTTCTTATTGCATTTTTTCTAATGAACGCCATTTTTCACAGTTTTCAAATCCAGATTTTACCACACCGCTCAATGAAATTGTTGATGGCGTTATTCAAAATTGCCCCATTGACGTTAGGAGGCCTTTGTATAATAATATAGTCCTTTCCGGCGGATCGACAATGTTCAAAGATTTTGGGAGACGATTACAACGAGATATCAAGAGGACAGTTGACGCGAGATTGAAATTGAGTGAAAAGCTGAGTGGTGGTCATATTACGGTAACTATCCGTAAATTTGTAGAAAATATATTTATCACAATTTTTTATTACCATTACTAAAAAACCAAGTTACAGAAAATTTTTTATTAACATATTTATTCAAAATTAATTAATTTATCTTAACGAAATCAATTGATTTCGTTAAGTTAAATTAATTATTTTTGTATATTTTGTAGAAATATCTCTTTGCTTGTGACACTAATTTTTTCTAATAAAAATAAATATTTTGTTGTTCAGCCAAAACCAATAGAGGTCCGTGTATTGTCACATCACAAACAACGATGCGCAGTCTGGTACGGAGGTGCATTATTAGCTAGTGGTCCCGAATTCTACCAAGTCTGTCACACTAAACAAGATTACCAAGAGTATGGTCCAGGAATATGCCGCTACAATCCAGCCTTCCGCAGTATGATATAAGAGGAAGCAAAATAATAACGCCAAAGAAGAGCGTTAGTTTAATCGATGATGAAACTTCTTTTTAGACCGACGATCTACCTGAACGAATTTAAAGAAAACTTTCGTTTGCTCTGCATTTCGTGAAACTACTATAGGAAAGATCAAATTGAGTCTCACACTAAAATCGTGCAATTAATTCTTACGTAAAACTGCCCAGAGTATTAGTGAACGCACAGAAAGTCATACATCATTTTCTAATGAAAATAAAGTAACTAATCAAGTAAAAAAGAAAAAAAGAAGAAGAAAGAAATGAAGCCTGCATTTAAAAGAGGGACTTTAGATAATCAAGGTATTATTATTAATTACTATGGCTACACGAATGACTAAAAAAATGATTAAGTGAATTATGAAAATAATTGTATAGAAATATGTACATACGAAGCGTGTGTTAAAAGAATCAACTTTTTAAAATAATATCTCTGTTTTCAAGAACCTAAGAACTCCTCAATAAAACTTCTTAACGAGCTGTAAAAAGACAAAAACAGGCGCGTTTCCCATTGTGTGGGTGTTGCCAAAACTTGTTATTGTAGCTAGGGCTATTTAGAAGTAAGACTAGATACTTAGATTTATTAAAACTGTTATATTACAATCTCGAATTTCCTGCCTTGCAAATTTAAAATAATTCATTTTTTTTTTACATCGACGGATTCGAGCACATATTCAATGATATTCTTTTTCAAACATCATCAAGCATATTTACAACATTATATCCAGAAAATTCGACAAATTATTTCCTCAAATGAATTTAAACTCGAAACGTTATTTCGAGCCGGTGATTTTGTTTTAATAAGCCGGTGAACGTTTATTTTAGTCATTTTCCTCAGGATTATCTCTGAAAAAGAAATTTTTTTCGTCAATTTAAACGTACATGATTTTATTATTTCTTAATTGAAAAGGAAGCTTTGTTATCGTCGACAGGCCTCGGACATTATAACATTTTCGATATTTTTCGACTATTTTCAAAAAATGCGACTTTTTTCGATTTATTTTCAAAAATTACGATTTTTTCGACTTTTCTTCCGAATATTGCAATAATTTTTAGTATAAAATGCAACTTATTTTCGAAATTTACAATTGAAAAGAGTTTCAATAAAAATATTGAAATTTTGTAAAATTTAATTAAAAATAATTGATTTTTTTAAAGTGTTTTTTAAAAATTTTTGAAAATCAACATTTGAAGAATTTTAATTGCACATTTTGAAAATAATTGAAATTTAATTCCTCGGAAGAATTTAATTTTTAAAAGATATTTTAATACATTTCGAATAAATTCAATTATTTTCTAAAATCTTAATAAATCCTTCAAAACAATTCAATTATTTTTATAAATGGTAAAATTCTTCGCAAGAATTCAATTATTTTTATAAGTAAAATTCTTTGCAGGAATTCAATTATTTTCAAAACATTTAATTGAATTTCTCGGAAGAATTCAAATATTTTCAAATATTTCCATAAAATTCAATTATTTCATAAAATTTTTAATAATTTCTTCGAAACAATATTCAACTATTTTTATAAATTACTAAATAAATTTTCAAAATTTGCAATAAAAAGGAATATCAATAATTGAAATTTTGTAAAATTTAGTTGAAAATAATTTATTTTTTTTCAAAGTGTTTGATAAAAATTTTTGAAAATAAACTTTAAAAGAATTTTAATTGCAAATTTTGAAAATAATTGATTTCTCAAAAATTTTAATGAAAAATCTTTAAGTGTAAATTTAAAAATGGTAATTAATGAAAATTAGCTATAAAAAAATTATATTAAAATATTTTTGAAAAAAAGTAATTCTTACAATTTTTTGCATTCTAATTTTTTAAAATTCAATTATTTTCAATATTTTTAAATACAAATTTCCAAAAATTCAAATACATACAAAAAAATAATAACATTAAAATTTTTTACAATTATTTTTAACATTTTAACAACATATGATTTTTTTAGATTTATTTAAAATTTTGGAGAAGTTATTATTAATTATTTTTTTAATAGAATTTACCAAATTTCAATTGTTCGGAAATTTTTCAATTATATATCATTGAAAAAAAATCTTTCATAAATTATTTTGAAAATATTTTGGAAAAATTAATTTTAAGAATTTCTTTATTATAATTTTTTTGAAAATTAATTAATAACTTAAAAAACAAGGACAGTTAGAATCATTATAAAGAGCTGAATATTTTTATTTAAATAATAAATCTGTTTATATTGTGGCCTTGGGTCCTTTGGGCCCAAGGTTATAGCCAAATTTTCTTTTTCGTATTTTCATTGCATAAAATTGTATTTCTTTTACAAAAACGAATTAATTTTGTGTGTATAAAGTACATAAAGATTATACCTCTTTACAGAATTAATCGCATTTTTCAATTTAACAAAGAAATTGAAAACTTAATTTTTTTATTCTTTAATAAATTAAATAATTAACATTTTATCAAGATTTAACTAACTTATACTAATGTAAAATATTTTATGTTATTTTTTACTTTAAGCAAAACAAAGCTTCCTCTTGGAAAATAATTTTTAAATTCATTGCTGATCACAATGAAGAATTGTTTTTAAAGATAGTTACTTCTTTTTAAGGTGTATTATGTAAACATAACAATCAACGGTGACTAATTACAAGATTTTAAACATTTGAATGTAAAATTTTATAAACAATACCGTTATAATACGAATCATCTTTATTTTTTATTTAATTACGTAGGTATACTCTTTTCTAATTTTTATTTTATTGCAACTGTTAACTAATTGATTACTTGGAGTTTGAAAATTTCATGAAAATTAACATGAAAACGTTCAAACTTGAAGACTGTATAAATTTAAATTTTGGTAAAACAAAAAAAATAAAAAAACAAATAAATAGATAAATTGACAGAGAATGTAATTAATTTAGAATTTTTAACTATGATACTGAAAATAATTATTTAAAGACTTTATTTTATTTTTTATTGAAAATAGTTATTTTCGTAACAAGGGCGCAAAATAGGTGATTGCGACGATGGCGAAATGAAGGGACCGAGGGGACACAATTTCGCGCCCGAGGCGAAGCCGAGGGAGCGAAAGTGTCCCCGAGGTCCCGAAATTTCGCCAAAGTCGTAATCACCTTTGCGCCCATGATGCGAACATAATTTTTTGTCCTAACTGCATGGAAAGTATGACATTGAGGGCACGCACGATTAAACGCTCATATTAGTTAAAAATTAAGCTCTATATAAACATTACATCGAATGAAGTTTATAATGATAGAAGTTTTAAAATAGAAATAAAAAACTATGTATTCTGGAAACATAGTATTTATTTAGAACGTAGTAATTAATAATTGAACAAAACTGAAACAAGAACTTTTAAAATTGACAATTTTGATAAACGAAATGGGAACAAAACCAAATGTCTCATTATTTTTTTTAGAGAAAATAAAAAAAAAATTGCAAATTTTTATAGACAAAATAAAACAAGTTGAAAATGTTTGCAGTTCTATAGTCAACATAAAAAGAAAGTCGAAAATGTCGCATTTTAATGAAGAAAATCGAATAATTAACAAGCGGGCGCAAAATACTTTTCCGCCCGCTCGGAGGTAGGGGAAGCGGGCGGAAAATACTTTACCGCCCGCTGACGTCATACAAGCGGGCGCAAAATACTTTTCCGCCCGCTTCCCCCACTCCCGGGCGTAATGTGTTACTTTGCGCCCGCCTTAAGTGCCCGAAATGACATACTTTCCGTGCAGGTAGGACAAAAAAGTCTTTTTAACCTTCGCCGGACTTGATCCAGGTTGGGTCTTGGAATTTTATCAAAAGTACTGGAGAAAATATTGAATTTCTAGAATTGATGAAAAAATTCTAGTTCTTGGTGTTCATCAACATTTAAAAATATTAAAAACAATCACCATGAATTTCAATACAAAGCATTAAATTTTTTTTACTTGTGACAAATTGAATTTTACAGAATAAAAAATCAAAATTTATTTTAAATAATTCTTAGTTCTTGAAAATCTTCCATAAAATTATTACTATTTTTAATTATTAAACAAATATAATAATGTACTTCAAAATTTTTAAAATAACTGAATTTTGAAAGATTTGCGTTTACATGTTTAATAAAAACTTGAATTTTAAATGGTTTTAAATTCAAAACTTTTGAACATCTTAATTCTTGTGGAAAAATAATATTAAATATTCATTTAATGTTTTTTTTTTAAAATTATTAAAGTATTAAAAATATTTTTTTGTATTTAATTATTTTTAGAGTGAACTAATATTCTTTGGGATCAGGGCAACCAGTACGAATTTTGTCTGGAAATCAGAGAAACTCAAAATCAAATTTTTACGGCATCCTGAACAAAATACCACTTTTTCGGTATAAAATACAATTTATTTCGATTTTTTTAATGTGAAAAATAACAACAGACAAATCTCTCAAGAATTACTTGTAATTTTTTTAAGATAATTAAATTTTTGAAATACATAACTATAAGAGTTTTAAATAATTAAAATTTTATAAAATTTTATTAAAAATTGACTTTTTAAAGTGTTTTATTAAAATTTATGAAAATCAAATGTTTAAGAACTTTAATTGCAAATTTTGTGAATAAAGAAAATCTTAAAAATCTTTAAATGGAAATATTAATGAAAATTATCTTCACAAGAATTATATTAAAAGTATTTTTTAAAAATGTAATTCTCAAAAAATATTCATTATCATTTTTTAAAATTCAATTACTTTCAATATTTTCAATTGTAAATAAATTGTTCAAAAATTCTTTGAAGAAATTCATTCATTTTTGAAAAATTACACTAGAATATTTACAAAAAATTAATTCCAGAAATTTTTTATTATTATATATAATTTTTTCAAAATAAATTGTTTTCAACAATATTTAAATTATATTATTAAATTTATTACAAAACATTGAACTTTTTATTTAAATAATTGAATTCTTCATGAACTTTCCGAAAATTATTAAAAATAATTGATTTAGAAAAGAAGTGTAGATAAAAATTCTGAATAATAATTCAATTCTGGATGAGCTGCAGTTGTGACTTTGTAAATAATTGAAATTTCAGAAGATTTGAAATTGAAATTTAAGGAATTTTAATTAAACTGAAGTTTACAACGACAAAACCTGACAATTTTTCAAATTGTTACTTGAAAAATGGTCAGTTTTGACGTTGTAAATTTCAGTTGAATAAACTGTTTCTATGGTCCGTCGAATGTTAAAAAAAACTATTTAATTATCTTTAAGAAAATCAAAATTTTTTAAACAGTTTGTTAATAACTTACCCGACTAAAAAGCCATTAAAATCTGCCGGATTACCTCCGACGTCTCTAAACAAAGAGGTAAAAAATAAGGACAGAACATTTGAAGCTTCATTTATCCTCCTTGAAGCTCTGGGATTAGGATAAATGTCAATAGTTTCGAGAGGCGGTAGAGGATCGTAGGACAAAATTGGTCCATTACTTGGAACTTGTTGAGTCTACAATAAAAAAATAATTAGTAAAGTTAAATTTGTAAATAATAATAGTAATAATTATTAATTAACTAATAGTAATAATTAGTCAATTTTGCCACACATGATCATATAAAGTATAGTTCTTAGATTTTTTTGCACGCCCATAATTATAATTCTGTTAATTTATAAGTCACCTCTGAAACAGCGATAGTGACACCTTTCAAATCCGAGAGAATAATGTGTCTCAATATATTTCTCGGTAATTTCCCTTGATATCTTTTGCTCCGTTTACATTGATAAAATTTCACAGCCTCGTCTTTCGAATCCACTCTGTCCAAAACAATGTTTACTTGCTTCTCAAGCCAAGGCAAAACCTCGGCTTCCTTCCACACGTGATAAGAACGATTTACAAATAAATCTTGCAACTTTTCTAAAGATGGCGGAGTAGTACTGGCAGCTTTACTATTGAAATAATCGTGTCCTTGAACCTTAAAAAAAAAGGAAGAAGAAGGTTTTAAGAAAATTTTGTTTTAGAGGTTCAACTGAACAGTGGTCAGTTTTTATTTTAGTAGGTAAATTAAATGTCTCACTCTCGAATCCGTCTGAACGCTGCATTTATCTAGCAGGGGCATCAAAACGCCTGGGAACATTAGGAGAGCATTCTGAAGAAGTTCATTTGCAGTTTCTTGTTCTTTTAAACGAAAATGAGCGAGAGCTAAACTGTAAGCAATGTTTGGCAACTGAGACAAATTTCTCGAGCATTCCCATAACTTGCAGAATTTAACGAACCATTCGTATTCTCTAGCTCTAAGGGCGTAGAAATCAATCATTAAAACAGCAGCTAGTGGATCATCTACTGGATCTAACGACAGGAGGAACTTGGAAAGTTCTAAACTAGTCCTGTAAAAATGAATTTAATAAATTTACTGACAAACATTTTTTACTACACGAAAAAACTCTCACACGTTGTATTTAAGGTGACATTAATTTTACACAAATAAATTACTCTTCGCAAAAAAAAATCATCACATTATGCTTAGATGATGATTGACGAACAAAAAAACTCGTTTTAGACACTTCACAAAACTGACAAGAATTCCATTCCATATTTTATTTTCCTGACTTTTTCCTAAATTTCATCAAAAATATTTACTTCTTTCTTATCCCGATAATAAATTAAATTCCTACAACGAATTTTATTGTTCATGAAAGAATTTAAATATTTTTAAAAATAATTTAATTCTTGCGAAAAATTTTATAAAAATTTTTAAATAGTTAATTTCTTTCGACTTCTTTTTATGCATATTCTAATTAAAATTAAATTCCTGAGATATTTTTATTATTCATGAAAAAAATTTAATTCTTACAAAGATTTTTATAAAATTTTTTTTAAATAATTGAATGTCTGTGTGGCATTTTATTAAATTCTTTTGAAAATAATTCAATTCCTAAAAAGCATTTTATTATATATGAAAATAATTGAATTCTTGCGATCGATTTTATTAAAATTATTTAAAATAATTGAATTTCCAAGAAGAAATTTATTACTTTTAAAAATAATTGAATTTCCAAGAAGAAATTTATTACTTTTAAAAATAATTGAATTTTTGTGATGAAAATTGTTATTTATGAAAATAATTGAATTTTACAAAGAATTTCATTAAAATGACTCAAACTAATAAAATGTTCAGAAATAATTTTGTTATTTATTGACATAATTGAATTCTTGGGATCAATTTTATTCAAATCTAAAAGAATAATTGAATTATTTCGAAAAAATGTAATAAAAATTGTATATAAAATAATTGATTTATTTCGAACAATTTCATTAAAATATTTGAAAATAATTGAAATCCTCCGATGAATTTTATTATTTATGAAAATAATTAAATAGTTGTTAAGAATTTTATTAACATTTTCAAAAATAATTGAATTCCTGAGAAGAATTTTATTATTTATGAAAATAATTGAATTATTGCGAAAAATTTTATTAAATTATTTAAAAAGAATTGAATTTCTGAGAAAAATTTGGTTATTTTTGAAAATAATTGAATTCTTGCTTAGAATTTTATCAAAATTTTAATTCTTTAAAGATGCTTTAAAGAGTTTCATTGTTTTGGAAGAAAAAGATATTTGTAAAATAATAAAAATTATTATTCAATACCTATAGCAAGCTCTGCCACTGACGAACGTGAGATGCTTGAAGAGGACCACATAGAATGATCTATTTTGCTGTTTTCTATAATCCAATCGATAATTTGCTGTCGTTAGATTAAAGAGAGGATGAAAGGCATATTCGAGTGTATATAGAGCTCGTTCAATTAATTGTGCAGCTGTTGCGAGATCCTCACTCAGCTTGCAAAGCTCGGACAATTGAATAAGCGCATCGACATGATATGGATGTTGATTTACCATCGACTAAAAATAATTAAAACTATATAGTTGCACGTGAACGCAAATATTCCATAAAAAGGCTCATAAAGTCTTTTTTATCTTACAATGATATTTTCGTGGTCAGAACTTTCAACAGCTTGGATAAATTTCATCTGAGCTTGTCGATATGATGATCCGTGTTCGAAAACGAAATATTGAGTTCCGTCTTGCGTCTCCATTGAAATATCCAACATCATGGAGAGGCCTGTTTTAGCGAAAGGCAACCAACTGTCTCGAGGCGAAACCAGCCATGTCTTCTTTAAGTGGCCAGTTCGTCTTTTGCTTCTTTGTTTGCTGAAAAATTAATAAATTTATTTATGATAAACAATTTTTAATTATTCAAATAAATTCGGTCTAATTATTTAATTTTTTTCTTTGCTTTTTTGTTTTCTAAATTCTTAAATAATTTTTCTTTTCAATATTTTCAATTTTAAAATTAATGTATTGAATTATTGCACATAATTTTATGAAAATATTTGCGAATAATTGAATTTCTTCGATAAATTTTATTGTTTATGAAAATAATTGAATTCTTGCAAAGAGTTTTATTAAAATTGTGTTAAAAATAATTGAATTTTTGCAAAGAATTTATAATTTATAAAAATAATTGAATTGTTTTGAATGATTTATTAAAATATTAGAAAATAATTGAATTCTTTTGAAAAATTTTATAACGAATTAAGAAAAAAATTGATATTTTTCGTGAAATTTTATTGAAAATAATTGAATTTTTGCAAGCATTTTACTATTTTAAAAAAATAATTGATTTGTTTCGTAGGATTTATTAACGTTTTTTTAAATAATTAAAATCTCATGAAATTTTTAAAAAATTTTGTTGAAAATAATTGAATTTTGGCAAAAAAGTTTACTATTTATAAAAATAATTGAATTCTTCCGCAGAAAGTTATTATTTATGAAAATAATTAAATTCTTTCTAAGGAATTTATACAAATTTTGCAAAATAATTAAATTCTTTCTAAGAAATTTATACAAATTTTGCAAAATAATTAAAATTAAATTTCTTGTGAACAATTTAATTCAAATCTTTAAAAATAAGTTAATTCTTACGAGAAATTTAATTAAAATAATATTTAAATTCTTATTTAAAAAGTTTTATCAAAATTTTTGTAAATAACTGAATTTCTGCGAAGAATTTTATTATTTAGGAAAAAAATTGAATTCACGTTAAAAATTTTATTATTTATATTATTATATAATATTATATATAAATAATATTATATTATTTATTTATATTATAATTTTTTCTTACAAAAAATTTTATTGAAATATTTCAAAATAATAAATTTTTTGCGTAGAATTTTCTTAAAATTCTTTACAATAATTAAATTTTTGCAAAAAATTTTATAAATTTTGAAAATAATAGAAATATTGCTAAGAAATATAATTAAAATTTTCGAAAATAATTGAAAATATATCAATTCTTGTAAAAAATTTAATCAAAATTTTTCAAAATAATTGAATAATTAAATTCCTGAGAGAAATTTCATAGATTATGAAAATAATTGAAATCTTGTTAAAAAATTTATAAAATTTACGAAAATAAATTAATTTTTTTGAGGAATTTAATTAAAATTGAATTAAAAATATTTAAATTCTCATAAAGAATTGAATCAAAATTATTCAAAATAATGCATTCCTGCAGAGAATTTTATTAATTATGAAAATAATTCCACTTCTAGAAATAATTTTATCAAAATTTTCCGAAGTAATTGAATTTCTAAGATTTTTATTAAAGTTCTTTAAAAAAATTGTATTTCTAAGAAAAATTAAATTGTTTCGAGAAATTAAATTAAAATTGTATTGAAAATATTTCAATTCTTAGAAAGAATTTGATTAAAATTTTACAAAATAATTGAATTCTTTTGAAAAATTTTATTGAAATTGTATTGAAAATAATTGAATGCCAACAAAAAATTTAATTAAACATATTCAAGATAATAAATAATAAGTAATTACTAAATTGGTTAATAATTAAATTTTCTTTAATTTTGAATCTGAAATTATTTGAAAATAAAATTTTTTCTTTAATTTGCATAATAAGAAATGAAATATCGCATTTCGTTAGTTTATAATAATTATCGAATAGAGTACCTAAAATTAAAATATTTTTAAATAAAGAATATTAAAGAGAAAAGTATTATTAAAAAAAAAGAATTCTGAAAAAATTGATACTATTAAAAAAAGTTTTAAAGCTTTGAAAAATATGTTAGAATAAATTGGAAAAATTTGCGAGTATTTTTTTTTTTAAATTCCAAATGAGCTAACTTTTCTTCGGCTTGAACTGTTTTGCTTCCGAATATTCTCTTGAGTTCGTTGATTGGATTTAAGTGCTTATGATGCACTGATAGAATTTCATCTTTAGATTTTAGGACAATTGACTTTGAGTTTTCAACGTCTACTTGACTTGTACTTGGTGTTGGTTCGCCAAGTAATTTATTAACTTCTCGCACTGTTCTTTCAATCTCATCTTCTGAATCAACTTTTATTGCACCAGCATTCTGTGGGGCATTATTTTGATTACGATTTTTACGCTGACGTTTCTTTTTTTTACGTTTAATTTCTTCCTTTTGAGTATTTTCATCCTCCTCTTGACTAACTGCATCATTTTCATCTGTATTGTCTTGTTTTTCGTCTTCAGATTCAGTATTATTCAACTGTTGGATTCAATTGTATTTTTATTAATTTCTTTCCTCGAAATAATATCTCTTTATTTTAAAAGATTATTTTAATTACTTTTTTTTCAATTATAAAACAATAAAATTTAATTCAAGGGCTCGAACCAGTGAAAAATTTTTAAAATACGGACTTTACGGATATCTTTATCAATTGTCAATAATATTATATAAAAAAAAACATAATTTGAGGTTAGGATTGTGAAATATTTTATTTCGTCAAACTCACCAAACTGAATGCATTGAATTTTTTTTGCTTAACGTCTCGAATATTTGTCTCTTCATTATCACTTGTGTCATCAAAATCATTTGACTTTGGAAATATATTTGAACCATACACTTTTTTCATATATCGCGTGGACATTGCGAAAAACACTTATTGCTTTTGCAATTACAGCTATGTTATAGAGAATTGTTTGAATGATTATTTTTTACAATTCATTAGTGCGATTAAAGTTTAAAAAAATAAGAAAGAAAAATAACAAATTCACAATAAATAGAGTTGAAATATTTTCTCTATAGAATAATTTTACACTGCTGTTTAGATAAAATGAAATACAATGAAAATAAGTATAAGTTGTTGTTCACTTACAAAATATTGCAGGTAAATCTGATTGGTTTGTTTTTTCGAAGCAACCAATCAGTGAAGGAAACGTAACGTTTTATTCTTATGGTATGTGAACTATGCTTTATAATTATATTATTGTGATTGTGACAAAAGTGAAACACGCATACAGTACATATTTTTGACAGTTGACAAGGTTGACAATTTAGCAAGTTTTTTTTATTATCAATATATAACAATTCAATTATTCGACAACTTTAATTAACGTTTGCTTTTTTAATACACTTGGACAAATACAATAATTACAATGGTTCATGTTTCCGGAGGTGAGTATAGAGAGATTTTTTTCTGAACTCACAAAACCATTTATCAGTATGACTTATCAGTTTCTATGACAGGTTAAAATGTAGAAAATTGTTTTATTAATAAATTTTAATACACTATAACAATATGTGTTGAGTAAGATTTTATGTAAACCAAGTCCACTTCCGGGCCAAAAGGCTAAAAGTTACACTAAATAATATAATATAAAACCTATGGCAATAAGTTTCAGTGAAAGTTTTTTATTGTGATTTGCTTATCAATTAAAATGATTTTTAGCCCCTGAAATATTAACAAAATTAAAAAAAAACACTTTCATGATTGTGTAAAAATATATTGTAAATTTTTTACATAAATCTCGAATTATTAAAAAGTTTTTAAATAATTGAACTTTTGTAAAATTTTATTAAAAACAATTGATTTTCCTTGAGTATTTCATTAAAATTTTTGTAAATAAAATTTTAAAGAATTTTAATTGCAAGGTTTAACAATAATTCAATTCTCAACAATTTTTTCATTTTTATAGTTTTAAAATTATATTCTTTTTTATATTTTCTTTCTAGGAAATTCAATTATTTTAAATACATTTAAATAAAATTCTTCGAAAAAAGTGTATTATTTTGAACAATTTTGAAAAAATTCTTTATAACAATTAAATTTTTTCAATTTTGATTAAACTTCTCTAAAGAATTTAATCATTTCCCTTAAATTTTTATAAAATTCTTTCGAGAAATTCAATTAATTACAAAAATTTTAGTAAAATTCTATGTAATTGTTTATTTTGAGAATTATGATTTTTTATATAAAAACTTTTTTTCTAATTAATTGTTATTATTTAATCTTGAGAACACTAAATTGGAATTTTTTTTAATTTTAAAAGTTAAAAAATTTAGACAGAAATTATCAAAAAGAATTTAAATTTAAATTTAAAAATTAAAAAAGAAAATGAAAATCGTGAAAAATTTCATCTTAATTCAATTACAATTAATTTTTCAGATGGACAAGTGGTCTCATCCAGACCGTGGAGTATAACTCGTTTAGTTGGAGAAATATTTAATGCCATTACACTGTTGTAAGTAAATTTATTGGAAATTTTTTGAATATAAAAAATAATTAGGGTTGCCACGCAACCTGAAAAACCTGGAAATATCAGGGAATCTTATAAACCTCGAAAAAACCTGGAAAAGTCAGGGAGAAGTCTAACATTTCTGAATTTTTGCTTCCATTTAACGATCATCAGTTCAAGAATAAATAAAAGAAACGATGATAAATATCCAACAATCATTATCCCAAGCAATAAGGACCGTAACTTCCAATCATCATCAGCACTTTCATCCAAATTACGAAATTTATCTTTCGTTGCGATACCAAGTTGAAGATACCTTGTTGCGTTCGGCATTTTCGAGAGTTTCCATTTTTCCAAAAGTCCAATCTCCTTCAATGTTCTGTGAATTTGTTCGAATTTCTCGACATACGGAGATCCTGGTTCCAGAAAAAATCCAGTTCCTACAGATGTAATATATTCTGGAATGAATTTTACTAGATTATTTTCTTTATAAAATCCAGCGAACCATTCAGCATGTGACAATTTCATAATGCAAGTTATATTCTTGTAGTCGTTTAGAAATTCAATACACTCTTCTAAGGCTAATACTCGTCCTCTTTTCACCCAAGCTGTAAAGTTATCTTGATTAAAATACCTAGGCAAATATGCTCTTGCATTTATTTCTGAACAGAACTGAAGACCGCTTTCCATCAAATCATCTATGTTGTTTAACTCTTTTTCTTTACCCATTCGAAAATTGAAATCCATCAGAGACTCCAGGATGTAAAACGAATAATAAAAATTCACAACAAAAAGGCATGTCAAGAAAATGCGCTCTTTTAATTTCCTCGGCTGCAATCCTACTGAAAATCCAAATAAAATTTGGCAGATCACAGTCCAATTCCAAATAATTCTGTCAAACCTTGAGGTCTTAACGATTATCATACCGATTACAGTAATCAATACAGTAAGTGCAATAGAGTAATAAAAGGTTTTTCCAATCGCAATTGAATAACTGTCTGACATCAGTAGTGGAGCTACTGCAATATAGTGATCTAAACCAAAAATTGCATTCTCAATTACTTCCTGCTCACATAATTTTCTAGATAAAGTAGAAGTCACACTTATAAAATGGATTATCTTTTTTTGAACCAAAGAGTCAAAACCTGTTAATCTATTTACATCACAAGAAAAATGACCAAATTCTTCAGTTTTTGATGGTATCAACACTTGGCTGTAATTCATCATTTTAGCGAAAATTTTCCCAATTTCCCCATCTGGACCAGAAATATTAACAGGATGAGTTGTCGAATTGCGCTTCAATGTTACATAAGGTGGTCTGTTGAGAAAAACAACCTTCAATGGATATCCATTTAAATTTTTAAGTTTGTTAGGAAACAGTGATGTTTTTTCAGAAAATAGTTTCGTTTTGTAGGATAAAAATGGATTCAGCTGGTGAATGACTACTCGTTCTTTGATAACGTCAAGAATAGTGATGTCTAGGAACGAGTCTTGCCACATCTTTTGCAGAAATTTTGCGTATTTCGAGGTTTGATTGGAATTCAAAAAGCGTACAATCAGACATTGCGGATTTATAGAAGAATTTTAGTTAAAAACATCTAAAAAAATTGAATTTTGGAGAAATTACAAATAATTGCAGAAATCCAATTATGTTTAAAATTTTTTTTTTAAATTCAATAATTTTCAATATCTATATTTTAATAAAGTTTTACAAAAAACAATTCAATTATTTAAAAAAAAATTTAATAAAATTTTATTCAAAAATTTAATTATTCCCATAAATAATAAAAATTTCACAGGAATTTGTATAGCGTGAGTTTTTAGAAATAATTGAATTTTGAAAAGGTTTCAAATTAAAATCTTTGAAAATTTACATTTTTCGTAATTTTAATTGTTTATTTTATAGAATATAATTTTTTTTTTTTGAAGAATTTTAATTTCAATTCTGTTTAAATTAGTTAATTTTTTAAATACATATATATTTAACTAGTTACTTAAAAATAATGAATTTATTTTTATATAGAAGAATTCTAGTTAAAAACATTAAAACAAATTGAATTTCGGAGAAGTTACAAATTATTGCAAAAATTCAATTATTTTCAAAAGTAATAAAATTCTACGCAAACGTTTAATTATTTTCATAAACTGTCAACAAATAATAAAAATTTCATAGAAATTCAATTCTTTACAAATATTAAATATATTTGGAATTAATTCAAGTATTTAAGAAAAATCAAATTTTTTGCACGATTCAATTATTATTTTTAATACAATTTTAATCGAATTTCTAGAAAAATGAAATTATTCTTAAAAATAGTTTTAATATTCGTGAAAAGAATTGAAAATTAACAAATTTTTTTAATAAAATTATTTATTAAAAAGCAATTTTTTGAGAAAGATTCAATTATTCAATAAATTATTTATTTTCCTATTTAAATAATTAAAGTCTCGTAGAATTTTCTAATAATAAATTGATTTAAAAAAGAATTTCAGTTAAAATTTTTAACTAAAATAATTCTACTTTAAATCAATAACATCAATTATTATTCAATTAAACTTTTTCAAAAAATTAATTCTACAGAATTGTTAATTAAACAGGGTGTCTACTAACCGGGAATTCCGGGAAAACCGGGAAATAACCAGGAATTTTATTTGACCGGGAAAAACCGGGAATTAGCCGGGAATTTTATACCGAACCGGGAATTTTTTCACAAAAATTAAAAAAGTTTTATTATTTTAATTTGTTTTTAAAAAATCAATTTTTATTTCAATTTTTATAGATATTTATACTGTTCTCTAAATTTAAGTTAGTTAAAAATAATTAATTTGATGATAAAAAGTCAGTTACCAATTCAAATATATTATGTAAATAAATTTTAAAAAAATTATGAAGTTAATAGAAATATTGTGAAATTCGACTGAAAATATGTAATTAAATTTGTTAAAGAAATTCATTAGAAACTTTTTAACAAATAGAATTTTCAAAGTATTTTAATTTAATAATAATTGATTAATAATTGAATATTATAAAGAGTAAAATTCTAATGTATTCATGTTTCTTACTGCGAAGATTAATAATTAAAATTTTTATTAGTTAATTTAAAATTAACTAAAAAAAATTAAAAATTAATAAAATTGTTTAATAAAATTGAACTTTCGCAAAATTTTTTTTAAATCTAAAAAATAAAATTGTTGTAATTTTTTAATTCTATTGTTTCAAGATAATTGAATATTTTTCTAAACAAATCATTGAAATTTTTTTACTTTTTTTGAAAAATAATTGAATTTTTTTTTTTTTTCGAAATTTTTCGAAAATAATCAAGGGACCATAATTATAATTTTATTTTTAAAATTTTAAGTCCCTCTTACAGTTTTAAATCAATTTTTTGCTTCTAAAAATTATACTATTCTATTATTATTTAATAATTATAATTATTGAACTTCTCTTAAATTTTTATCATTTTAAATTTCTGAATGTTCAAATAAATGATATTTATTTATTTCTTGAGCAAATTAAATGTTTATTACATATTAAGTAAATAATTATTTATTGCTGCTTATTATTTTCAAAAATTTTAATAAAATTCTTCACAAAAATTAAATTATTTTCATAAATAATAGCATTCTTTGGAAGGATTCAATTATTTTTATAAATAGTAAAATTCTTAGCAGAAGTTCAATTATTATCAATGTAATTTTAATAAAATTGAAAAATACAATTTTCAATTATAATTATAAAGAGACACGATTATTTTTAAAAACTTGAAAAAATTCTTTGTTTAATTCAAGTATTTTCCAAGTTTTTAATTAAAATTATTGAAAAAAACATTATTTTCAAAAAATTTAATGATTTATTTATGTTTGAAATCAAATTTAAATTTAAATTTGATAAGAAAAAAAACCGGGAAAAAATTAGGATATAGCCGGGAAAAACCGGGAAATAACCGGGAATTTTGTTAAACGAAAATAGTAGACACCCTGTTAAAAGTACGAAAAACAATAATTTAATTTTACGAGAAATCAATTATTTAAATTAAATTAAAATTTTTTAAGAAATTTATTATATTAAAGAATTTTTTAAGAATTTTTGAAAATAATTGAACTTTTTGAAGAATTTTATTAAATTTTTTAAAAAATAATTTAATTCTTGAGAAGAATTTAAATAATAATTTTTGAAAACATTTGTATTCATGAGAAGAATTTTATTCAAATTTTTAAAAATAATTGAATTTTTGGCGAAAAATTTTGCTATTTATAAAAATAATTGAATTCTTGACGAGATATTCATTAAAATTTATAAAAATAATTGAATTCGTGCAAAGTATTTTATCAAAATTTTGTTTAAATAATTGAAATTTTCCCAAGAATTTAATTAAAATTTTTGACAATATAATTGAATTTTGAGAAGAATTTTGATATTTATCAAAATAATTGAATTTTGGAAAAGAATTTCATTAAAAATCCTTAAAATAATTTATTTTATGGGGAGAATTTTGTTGGTTATCAAGATAATTGAATTCTTTTGCAGAATTACTGAAAAATTATTGAAAATAATTGATTTTCTGCGACGAAAAAATATGGGAAATTTTCAAAATAGGGTACGTTTAGGGGCTAAAATTAAAAAAAGGGGTCTTTTAAGAAAATAGGGGACAGACTGTGAAGCCTGAATGTGGTAAATAATAAATAGTTTTAAAAACCTGGAAAAGTCTGGGAATTTCAAATGAGTAAAAGCGTGGCAACCCTGAATAATGTAGCAAAATTGAAAAAACCTGACGATTTCATTCTAGTTTCAGTACTCTAATTAGTCCAGCATCGGATCGTTACAGTACTGGAAATTATTCTCGAGGATCTGCTTCTGGTTCTAGTTCTGGGTAATTGTTACATTACTATTGATTTTTAAATGTAAAATTAAAACAAAAATAATGTTTATTTTTTTATGCAATTGGATATAATTGTTACTGTTGAGTATTTTTAATTTCTTAACTAATTTAACTGCAGTATTAAAAGTGAAACTAAAATTGTTTTTTTTAAATTCTATAATTTTTTTTGCAGTCCACGACCTGGTGGTCCACGACGACCAATTGGCCGGATAAATTTTGATGTTCCCGTTCCAGGATGTCGAAGCTGTCAAGGTTAATAACAAATAAAAATAAAAATCATTATATTAAATATTGATAAATGTATACAAATTTTCTATAAGTAATATAACTAAAATATAAGTTTTAATATAGTTGTCATTTTAATTGTTAAAAAATGATTATATATGTAAATTTTATACCGCTTTATCAGCGTTAATTTTTAAATAAAAGAAAATAAATACAAATAAAGAACTAAATAAAGAAAAATAAAACTGAAAATCTAAGTTGCATATTAACGATGAACAACTTTATTAGATATGTGAATTTTTTACATGTAAAGTATCACAAATTATAAACATTTTCTGACATTATTAAAAACAGGATCAACAAGTAAGAAAAACGAGACCGTTAAAAAGATCACTTATATTAATTATAAACATTTATTATTATTATTTATTATTATTTTCGAGTGTTTTCCTTTTTCTTAAATAATTGTATAAACTAAAAACAGTATTTTAAAAAATGTACAAATTGAATTGTTTCGTCTAAAGAGACTTTATTATTTTTACTTGCTAATCGTTTTTGTTGATTCATTTGATTTTTGTAACGAGACCGGCTGCGATTGTTGTGCCCTGCACTCTCAACATAACTCGGCCAAGTTGTTTAATATCTCTATACAATTCCATGCAAATTGGTCTTTGCGTTGCTATTTCGACGATTGCACTGGAATTTTTCGGTAAGCATCGAGGTTTCTTCTTCACTACTTCGCCTGAACTTTTATGCAATTGACCTATTAATTTCGTTATCACCGCTGGTTCAATCAACGACTGTAGATGCATTACAACGGGCATTCCCTTTGTGATGGGATTTGTTATTGTGAAAATAACAATGTGCGCCTGGAAACAAGAGGTTACTGGTATTGGATGCTGCACGCTGCTAACGATATCGCCAATTGCAATATTTTGCTGCTCCACTCCAGAAAGAATTAACACAGGCTGATCTCCAGCAAAGGCATGTGTCGTTGGAGATTCATCGATTTGAATTCCTAAAAAAAAAAATCACTTTTTCTTGTAAATGCGTCAAATTTTTCGAATGTATACATTTTATTTTGATATTTATTTTCTAATTCTCTAGAGAATTTTCATAGTAAAACGTAAGAGACTTTGAAAAGAGGCTGTTTTGAGATATTGATTTACATTTCAAACAGGAATTTTTCTTTGAAATTGAGAGAAATTTTAAAAAACAAAAAGAGAAGTAGAAATTAAAATTTTAATTGTCTTTTGAATTAGTGTAGAATATATGATTTTTATATCATAAAATCTATTCGAAAATCACTCTTCTTCTGATTGTCTTTTGTAGATGAAACGATTTGAAATAGAGTAGTGTCATTTGAAGAGAAACGATTTTAATAATTATTTTTAAATGAAGGATAATTTAAGTAAAAAAAGAAATCAAGTTACATACCCTTCACATGAGCCATTTCATTTTGCGGCAAGATAATAACTTTCTCGCCTATGGAAATAAAGCCAGTTTCAACGTGTCCGGAAATGCAGAATCCGGAGCCTGTGCCCTTGAAAATGTCGTTTACGGAAAATCGAAGAGGTTTATCAATTGGTCGCTCTGGACATTTGAAGTTATCGATAACGCCAACTAAGGTTGGTCCACTGTACCTGTATCAAACATTAATTAATAATAATTAAATATTTTTTATAAAATTTATAATTATAAGTGATAAGTGACAAAATCATTATTTTATACCTATTATAAAAATATTGTTACTGTAACTTCTTCAAAATTATTTTCAACATTTCAATTCAATTATTATTTTCTAGCATTTTCAAAAAAATTATAATTTAGTGAATAATTGAATTCAAATTAAGAATTTTACCAACAAATTTTTAAATATTTAATATAAAATAAAAAAATAATAAAATAATTAAAAATTTATAAAAAAAATGTGTAAATAATTGAATTCATGTGAAATTTTTATTATTTAAAATAAAAATAATCAAGTGCTTGCTTAGAATCTTATTAAAATTTACTAAAATAATTGAATTCTTAGGGAAAATTTGATTAAAATAGTAGATATTGAAAATTATTGAATTTGAAATATTATTTTTGCAAGAAAAGTTTAGAAATTATTTTATTTTCCATAATTTTTGCGACAATAAGACAGTGAATTTAAAAAAAAATTTTAAAAGACAAAATTTTTGTTATAAATCGTAATATTTGTAACTTTTATAATTTTAAATCTGAAATAATTTATAAGAATTTAATTCTGATAATAAAATTCCATCCAAGAATTAAAATTCTTACTAAGAATTTATTATTTAGTAATAACTTACCAACTTGCAAGAACCTCTTTTGGAGGTGAAACAATGTTTTCGCCGGATAATCCACTGGCTGGGACAAACGTCACGGTATCCCTGAATCCTACTTGTTTTAGAAAATTGCTCATTTTATTAACAATTTCGTTGAATCTTTCTTTCGACCATTCAACCGTGTCAAGTTTGTTCACAACCACAGCCAATTGAGAAACACCTAAAAAATTAATTCGTAAAATAAAATTCCTAACTACTACTAGGTGAATTATTTAAGTAAAATTATTCATTAAATAATTTCATTAAACAAATTTCCTTTAAAAAATAAACTAAAAACTATTTAGGAAAATTAAAAAAAATTAAATTAAATTAAAATTTATTTTAAACCCTATTTAGGAAACAAGATTTTTTCAATAGTATGAAAGAAATTTCTTACCCAAAGATCGTAAAAGAATAGCATGTTCTCGAGTTTGTCCGCCACTGTCAAATCCAGTTTCAAATTCTCCTCTCGTTGCATCCACAACCAAAAGGGCAACATCCGCTTGAGTTGCGCCAGTTATCATATTCGGTATGAAATCCTTATGACCTGGTGCATCTAACAGAGTTATACATTTTGTGCTGGTTTCAAATTTTGAATGACCTACGTCCATAGTGATCCCTCGTTCTCTATAAAATCAATTTTTCAATTCATAAATCAAATTTAAAACAAAAACATGAAGATATCAATAACTCCAAGTCTTCAACTTGGAGTGATCGCTTTCTTCATGTTTTATAATAAAAATAAATATTAATTTAAAAAAAATAAATTAAATTTTTAAAAAAATAATTCTACAAAATTGTTAGTTAAAAGTATGAAAAATTCAAATTTTCAATCATTTCTAAAAATTTACGCCATAATGCTTTCAATATTAAATTATAATTTAAAATTTTAACTGAAATTCATTTTTAAATCAATTTTTATTAGAAAATTCTATGAAAATTCAATTATTTAAATACAAAAATAAATATTTTATTCAATATTTGAATGTTTCTTAAAATTAAACTCTCATAAAGAATTTTATCAAGATATTTTTAAATAATTGAATGCTCTTGACTAATTTTAATAAAAATCTTAAGAATAATTTAATTTTCAGAGAAATTTGAATAAAATTGTATTAAAAATAATTGAATACCTGTAAAAAATTTATGTAAATTCTATTTTTGTATAGAACTTTGTCAAAATCGTTTCTAAAGAATTGAATTTTTTTGGGAAATTTTATTAAAATAGTAAAATATTGAAAATCATTGAATTAAGAAAAATTTTTGAAAATAATTGAAATTTTGCAATGAATTTTATTAAAAGTTTTGAAAATAATTGAATTCTTGTGATGAATATTATTTATTTATGAAAATAATTGACTTCCTCTGAATGATTTTATTATTTAGGAATGTAATTAAATCCCTGAAAAGAATTTTAAAATTTATGAAAATAATTGAAATACTGCGAAGAATTTAATGCCAAAATTTTAAAAAATTTAATTTTTTCGAAAAATTTTTTGCAAATTCTATTTTAAATAATTGAATTCCTGTGAAATTTTTATTTCTATTGGAAAATAATTGAATGTTCTTGTAGAACATTATCAAAATTTTTGTTTAATAACTGAATTTTTTCGGGAATTTTTATTAAAATAGTAGAATATTAAAGTCATTGATTAAGAAAAATTTTTGAAAATAATTGAAATTTTGCCATGAATGTTATTAAAATTTTTGAAATTAATTGAATTCTTGTGTTGAATATTGTTATTTATGAAAATAATTGAATCGCTGTAAAAAATGTTATTATTTAAGAAAATACATATTTGAATAATAATTTGTAAATAATTGAATTCTTCTGGAAAATTTGATTAAAATAGTAGATATTGAAAATCATTGAATTGAGTAAAATTTTTGAAAATAATTGAAATTTTGACAAGAATTTTATTAAAACTTTTAAAAATATCTGAATTTCTGAGAAGAATTTTACAACATTTGAAAATGATTGAATTTCTGCATTCGTAACTGCTTCAAAATTAAATTTCTTTTAGTGTTTTTAACTAAAATTCGTCTATAAATCCATTATTTTTAATAATTAATTAAATATACATTGAAGCATTTAATTAATTTCAGAAGAATTTGAATTATTAAAAATACAATTTTTCAAAAATCCAAGTTCTTTAAAATTCAATTAATTTGGAAATATTTAAGTAAAATTAGATTTCAAGAATAAACACAATAACTTTAGAGAACAACAATTTTCCAGGATTTCGATCAAAATTCTCCGACTTTGCAGTTAAAATTAATTTAATTTAGAAATAATAAAAAACACTCTACTATTTAAAAAATAATGTTTATCTCTCTTCACCAGTTTCATCGAGAATTTAATTTAGAATAATTTATTATTTATTATATTTAGAATTAATTTAATTTAGAAATAATAAAAAATACTTTACTATTTAAAAAATAATGTTTACCTCTCTTCACCAGTTTCATCCAGAACCCAAGCGTAGGCAAATGATTGCTTGCCAATTTTTTTACTCTCCTGCTGATACTTGTGAATAAGTTTGGACGAGACCTGACCCAAATCACAGAGAAGTCTTCCCAAAAGAGTACTTTTTCCAGCATCCACGTGTCCCACGACAACCAGATGCAATTGTTCCTTGGCATCTCCTCGTTTGTTCTTGAAGACAGCGAAAGCGTCTCCCTTCTCCTCGACAGCCTTATGCCTGGAATCCGGTTCGGGCGACGCAGTTCCTGAAATTGGCGACTGACATCTTGGTGTACTTGACTTCGAAAATCCGGATTTTTTCTCTTTGAAACTCAAATCGTCCCTCCGCCTAATGTCCGGCGAATTTCGCTCAGAACTTGGACTTTGAGAACGTGGACTTGATATTCGAGAATGAAGAAGATCTGTATTTTCTGTTCCACTCACGTCAAAACCTTTGATGATTGAACGAGCAGCTGCGGGGACGATTTTTATCGCTGGCTTCGCTAATTGTGAAGCTGATTTTGGTGTCGACTTGTTACCTATTAAAATAGTCGATTCAATTTTTCGAAAAATTATTATTCAGTCCGTTATCATTGAGAGACATTTTTTAAACAGTTTTTAAATTTTCTTTTTCATTCGGCAGAATTCTATAATACAATTTAGATTTTGTAAAATCTAATTTATGTGTTTTTATAAAAAATACACAATTCTAAAACAATTGTAAAATTAAAGCAATTTTAAACAATAAATTTTATAAGATCATTTTACATACAGAAAATGGAAAACATTTTGATGAAGATTAAATATCATAAAATAATGGGTAAAATACAGAAAAATATAAATTTGTACAAAAATTGAAAGTAACATCAACAGGCCTCGGATCGACTTCAGGGCGCCAAAAAAATCGAAGAAGTTTAATGTTTCATTTAGTTTTGTCACAGAAATTTCATATTTTTGTATTTCCCTGAGATTTCACTGATTTCGAGAAAATTTTTTAAGCCATTTTAATTTTTATATAGTGAATTTTAAAGTTTTTTTTACATACTTTTCAATTCCAAAACTCTTTTTTCAAAAATAAACTTTAATTTTCAATTTTTACAAAAATTACCTCTTTTTATTTTAATCTTTTACCTTTTTCATTGGAAACATGAGATTTTTTCCAATAAATTATTTAAAGTTTGAAAATGGGCCAAAAATGACTTTTCAATAAAATAAACAATAAGTGTTTAAAATTTTCTTTTATTTTCTTGAAAGCTCATTATTGTTCCAATTTTAAGCTTTACATAATTTATTGTAAAAAAAACTTGAGGCGTTCGAAGAAAATAATCCATTTTTTTTAGAAATTAAGAAAAAGGTTTATTTTTGAAAAAAGAGGAGTTAACAATTTTTTATTTTGAACGAATTTTGGAATTGAAAAGTACACAAAAAATGCTTTAAAATTGTTCAATTAAAATTGCTTAAAATTGCTAAATTTTTTTAAAATTCAATTATTTTCTAAATTTTAAAATACAATAAATTCTTCAAAAATACGATTATATTTCAAAATCATTTTTAAAAGTAAACCAATAAAATTCATTAAAATATAAAATTTATTTCAATAAAAATTCAATAGAAATTGAATTAAAAAAAAATAAATTGAATAAAATTGACAAAATTTTCAAAGACATTTTTTGAAAATCAAATTATTTTTTAAAAATTTTAATTACATTTTGCCAAGAAACAGACTTTTTAGAAATTTCTAAATAAAATTATTCAAAACTTCAATTTTTTTTTTGTTAAACAAAAATTTAAAAACTTATTCTTATCTACTTTTTCCACAGGAATTAAAATTTCAAATATTTTAAATGGAAACCTTTTGAAATTAAATTATTTCTATAAAAATTGCAACTCTAATTCTTCCTAAATTGAAATATTTTTTTAGAATTTTTGAATAAAATTATTCTAAACTTTAAGAATTTTTAAAGAAAAATAATATTATAATTAATAATTCTTTTTAAATAAAAATTTTAATATTTTTACAATTTTGCTTCCTATAAATTTTCAAAGAATTTAATTTTAAAATTTAATTAATTTCAAAAATTCCTCTTACAACGCTTTTTAAATATTCAAATATTTTTTTAAATTTTAACTGCAATTTTTTTTAAACCAATTCTTATCAGAATTGAACTACAAGAATTGAATTATTTAAATAGAAAATTTTTTTAAAATTCATAAAATAATGAATTTTCAAAAAAAAAATTAAAGGTCTTTATGGTATTTTAAAGATGAAAAAATAAAATTCTTTAAAATATAAAATTTATGTTAATAAAATTTTACAAAATTTCAATTTGTTTCAATTTTTTAAAAATTATTTTTGGAAATTTAACAATATCTTCAAAAAATTTTAATACTATTTTTCAAAAATTAAATTTTTTTCTGAATTTCTAAAAACTAAATCTTTCAAATTTAAATCATTTTTGTAAAATAAATATTTAAATACTTAGATATTGTTCTTTATTTGCTGAAAAATTCCAAATATTTTCAATGTAAAACCATTTGAAATTTTCTTTGTTTTAAATTTTAACTGCAAATCTTCCAAAATTCAATTATTTTTTAGAATTTTTGAAAAATTTTTAAGGAAGCTAACGAATTTTTTATATTTAAATATTATTGTACTTTTACAACAATTAGAATTTCAAAGATTTCAATTTAAAAACTTTTTGAAATTTAATTATTCATAAAGAATCCTACTTCAGTCCTAAAAAAGTTAAAAAGTTATTTTATTTAAAATATTTTTGTTAAAATTTTAGTTAAAAATTATTTTCTAAAGTTTTTTTTAACTAAAATTCTTTAATAAATAAATTCTTATCAGAATTCAATTATTTAAAATAGTATTTTGTTGCAATATGTGAAAGAAATGTCGAAAAAGTCAAATTTTATGAAAAAGTCGTAATAAGACGAAAGAATCAAATTATCCGAGGCCTGCATTAATGAAAATTAAAACCTCAATTGACGCGAATTTTTCAATTTTATTAACAAAAACTGTCACTTTATAAAAACACTACTTCAGGAAAAAATGTGAAAAATTTTATTTTTTTAAAAAATGAACCATTATACAAATTATTTTAATGAACATTAATTATTAATCATTCTTACACTTTAATTAAATTACGAGTTAGACGGAAAAAACTGAATTGAAATTATTTTTCATCTTTTTCCTTTCATCAATTACACTATTTATGAAGTAATTTATAATTTTTACAATACTAATAAATATACATTAATAAAATTAAATAACTGATAATATAAAATAATGATTATGACAATTTATATGTCTAAGTTTTTAATTTAAGTTTAATTTATGAAATTTGCTCTTTTCACCAAAATTTGTAAAATTTTCAGTTGATTTTAATTAAAATTTAACAATTCCTTCTTTTCTAGGGGAAGTTGTAAAAAATTAATTACAAGTAATTTACAAAAATGTTGTTTGTCAAATTTACTATTTCTACACCTTTTTTCTCAAATATTGAAGAATTTTACTGTCTGGTGACATTTCGGAAAAATCAAAACGCGTAATATGTGGAGAAGTTTGAAAATACCAAGCTTTGTTTTTAGTTAAAGGTGTTTTAGTTTTCCATCGTCTACACAAAACTTTTCCAAGTGGAGATGCCTTTTTAAAAACAATGTCAATTTTCCTTTTATGTACATTTGATGAATTTAAAGTCTTCGAGTCGACAGTAACTAAATTTTTTGCAGTACTTTGTGTATTTAAAGATTCCGAATTTTCTAAATTAAGAACTTTTGTTCTTTTCACGACCAATTTCATATCATTATCATTATTTATCTGAATATTTTTTTTAGTATTAGTGTTTTGTTCTTCATGCAAAGTCAAGGAAGAAACGTCTTTTGTAACAGTATTTACAATACTATCAGTAAGTTTCAAATTTGATTTTTCATTTTTGTCGTCTTCATTTTTATTTAAAGAGAAAAGTCCTTTGTTGAGTGAAAAAGAGGGACTTCCCGATTTACTTAAATGATGAGAAGTCAAAGCTGACAGTGAATTAAATGAGGGAGAATTTTTTGATTTTACTTCCGATGATAAATTTAATTTTTTATGACCCGCAATCAAGTCGGACAATGAGGAACATTGCTGTGTCTCGTTATTTTTTTTCAAAGAAGGCAAATTCGGAAAATTTGATAATTTTGATGATTCCTGATTGGAAGTGAATGTCTTGGATGAACTGAAACTACTTAAAGATTTTAAATTATTCAGAGGACTAATGGACACATTGGATTCTTTATCTTCATTAAAATTTGACCTTTTTTGAAATGTTAATTTGGGAATTTTGAATTCATGAAGTTCTGTTTTGCTACCAGGAGCAATTTTATTAAGTGAGAGATCTTACCTTACCGGCAAACGAAAACGGCACATGAAAAAGAAGAAAAAAATTACAAGGTCATGATTTTTCTCATTTTCTTTAATGGCTTAATACTAAAGAATTAATTATTAAAGTTATTAATTCTAATTAATTTTAATTAAAAAATAATTAAAGTTATTAAAAGTCAGTAAAATATTTAGAAACATACCTAATGAGAAGTCCGAGGAACGTTTGCTTGGTGTTTGTTCTGTAAATTATAGAAATTTGTTAAAATCGATCAAAATTTTCATAAAGTTTGGTTAAAATGCAAAAAAAAAATATTATTTTCCATAGAAATTAAAATTTGCAAAATTACAACTATAACCCTTCTAAAATTTAATTATTTTCTAGAATTTTTAAATTAATGTGTACTAAAAAAAATTGAATTCTTGTAAAGTATTTATCAAAAAATTTGAAAATAATTGAATTTTTTGAAATAATTTTATTAAAAATTTGGAAAATAATTGAATTCATATTAAAATTCTTGAAAATAATTGAATGTAATTAATATTTTTTAAAATAATTGTTAACACAATAATATTTCGGAAAATATTAAAAAATAATCAAGTTTTTGAAGAATTTCAATTGTAAATGTAAAAATGCATAACTTCCCTAAAATTTTAATGAAAAGTAAAAAAAAATAGATTTTTAAAAATTTCTATAAAATATAATAAGTAAAATTCAAAGAATTACTGTTTTTAAAAAAAATGTAATATAATTTTATCAAGCTAATTTTAAATAATTTTCATTTTGAAATTTTATACCAAAAAGGTGATAATTTGTTGCAATATTTGGAAAAAAGTTTGGAAAGTCTCATTTTCTAAAAAGAAATCGAAAAAAGTATAAAAAAGTAAAACTATCCGAAGCTTGAAATTATATTGGTTACATATCAGTTTTTTTCGTGAACATGCCTTTTAATTGACTTAATGAAAATAAAAAAGTTAACTTTGTCGTTAATACAAACTAAAAATTAAAAAAAACAAAAATCTACATACCTTCTGTTTTCTTAGACGAGGCAGAGTTTAAAATCGAATCTAAAACTGCTTCTGTATTGTAGTCAAACTCTATGATTTGTTTCTTTAGTTCCGATTCTGAAACCGTTTCACCGATAACTGCTCTGATGGAATCTATGCAAGACATTAATTTTGCTTTATCCAATTCCGTAAGTGGTGGAGTTTTATAACTCGCCAGTTGTTCATCGACTTCCTCTTCATTGCCTTCTGCAATATTCGGCTCGGTTATGAAGGACGAAATGTTGGCCGACTTATTTCTGTCATACATAAACTGCTCGGCTGAAAATTTATGTTTTCTATTAAAAATTATATTTTAGAATATTGTAAACAAAGGCAAAAGATTTCAAAAAAATTAATTCTACAGAATTATTAGTTAAAAGAATGAAAATACAAATTTTCAAAGATTTTAATGTGAAACCATTCCAAATTCAATTATTTCTTAAAATTCGTACTTTTAATATTCAATTATCTAAAATTCGTTTTTAAATCAATTTTTATTAGAAAATTCTACGACAATTCAGTTATTCAATTATTTAAATACAAAGTAAATAATTTCTGCAAAGAATTTTAGAATTTATAATAATAATTGAATGCTTGTGATGAATATTGTTATTTATGAAAATAATTGAAATTTTCCAAAGAATTTTATTAAAATTGATGAAAATAATTGAAATTTTACAAAGAATTTTATTAAAATTGATGAGAATAATTGAATTTTTAGGATGAATTACTGCAAAGAATTTTAGAAAAAATGTTAATTTAATTAATTCAAATAATTCATCTTTTCATAATTCAATTATTATCTAAAATTTTGACTGCAATTCATTTTTAAATCAATTTTTATTAGAAAATTCTACGAAAATTCAATTATTTAAATACAGAAATAATTGAATTATTGCAAAGAATTTTGTTAAAATTTTTGAAAATCCTAATTAAATTCCTTTGAAGAAAATTTCTTAAAGTTTTTCTTTGAAAATAATGTAGTTTTTTGAATAATTTTAATTGAAAATTAAGAAAATAATTGAATTTTGTGAACAATTTCTTTCAAGTTTTTGAAATATAATCCTGATTTGTTAATAATTGTAATTAAACATTTAACATTTAATTGAATTTTTGTGATTTTGATAATTAAAAATGTAATTTTGAAAATATAAACACTTCAATATTGTAGTTAAAAAAGGACAAAATATAAACTCACCACCAGGGGACACACAGTAGTCATCTTCTACAGAATGTCCGTAAACATCATCGTACCCGTCATATTCTGAAATAGAAAGTTTTAATTAAATTCAATTAAATTAAAAAAATGCCAGTAATTTTGGAAACAGTTTTTCATTTGTAATGAAAGTCTAGAAAGAAGTTTTTAAAAGCAAATAAAGAGAGTATAGGTCATGGATACTTAACCTCAATTCAATTAACTTACCATCCGAATAATTCATACAACGCACGTCTCTATGTCTCGACATTTTTACTGATTGTATTTATTTATTTACTTCGGGATCAATTTCACTCACTGTATTTTATTTACGTTTTTTCATTTTTCCTTTCTAAAAAAATAGCATGCAATCAGCTGTCGAAATTTTTCAACTACTAATGGACGTCGTGGTTAGGTCACGTTATACAATCCGTAAAATTTGAAAAAGCCAAATGGCCAACGTAATTGAACATCGAAAGACGTAATATTTATATATGAGAGAAAGAAGGATAGAAATAATATTTGTCCTTTTTTATCTCATGACTTCTGTCTTTGTCACACTCTTTAACGCAAAATGCAGCGTTAGAAACGCATACATGTAAACACAGCCTTAGGGCTCAAGTTGACTATTGTGGACTTAACCTTAACATTTGAGGTTATGTTCAATTGTTTACCACGTTTTAGGTTTTAACAATTGATTGACAACAATAATAAAATGTACAAATTTATATCAAATTTATTTACATGTTTTATTACTTAATAGTCATGAAAAATAGATTTTTATAAAAAATTGAATATTTTCTTAAGTTATTTTAACTGATTTTAATTATACAAAAAAGAATATTAAGCAATTAATAATGCTTTCAACTTACTCGAAAGCGGATGTGCTAGCAATTCGTTACGTTGATGATTTTATTTGCCTAGGTTGGTTTACATTTAAATAATTATTTTCTTATTTTTACGATATGACAAAAAAAAATCAGTACAATTGATAATTTCCACGATTCTGCATTAACATCGATCTCTTTTTATTCAATTGATCAATTGTAAGAAAGTTCTGATCAATTGAATGAAAAATAAAATGTTCCATTTTTATTTGTTTTTTTTAGGATTGGCCTCAACTTTATACGTAATTAATAAATTGAATTATAAAGTTGAAACGAAATTGAATGTCCTTTATCCTCACAGAATACATGGCATCAAAATAGCACCAGGCAATAAATTAATTATTTTTGGAGGCAAAAGTCTGAGAATTTGCAAATTTGAGATTATCGGCAGTCAAGTAATGTGCGTTTTGTTTAAATAAAATAATTGTAAATTTTATTTACTGTTATGTAACATTAATGAACATTAATGTTTATTTATAACTAATTTTCTTATTTTTAGACTTGAGAATATTTCGGATATTTACTCTTTTACTGACTGGATAATTGCGGTCGAATTTTTTACAACTGAAGATGAAATAAAATTGATTATTCTCTTTGCTCACAATAATTTATATATTTGTGATTTATTTAACAAACACCATCGAAATATATGGTGCGAGGAAAAATGTATTTTGTATCCTTTATTAAGAGTCAAATATTTTTAATATTACATATTAATATTATAATTATATATGTTATATAATTATTGTAATAATTGTAATAATTAAATGGAACATTGTAATAATTAAATAATAATAATTTATTATTGAATATTTAAAGAATATTTTGGAAATATTGGACAAATATTTTATTTTAAATTTCTTTTGAAAGCAGTGTAAATAATAATTATTAAATAGTAAATATTTTTCAAATATAGGGGTAAAATTATATTTCAGAAAATTCAATTTTATGTCTCTTTGGAATGGTAAATATACATATTTTCCTATAAAATTTTTCTTAGATATGGAGGTAGTATTTTCCCAAAAAATTGCGAAAATGCTATTGTCTTTAGTGGAACGGTTTTTCAAGAAATATTAATATGGCAAGTAAATGCTAACGATTGTAATAATGTTGGAATTCTACATCGATTAAAGGGACACAATGTAAGTATTTTTCTAAATTGTATAATGTAAATTTTATATTTAATTCTTTAATGATTTATTTACTTATTTATTATTTAAAATATTTTATTTTTTATATGATTTATTATAATGATTTAATATTTTCAGTTTTTTGTTGATTGTTCCTTAGGTTTATTATGAAATCTTCTTCTATATTAATAATCGTTGAATTCCGGTAATTTATTCGCAGCCTGAAATTACTTGTTTGCTTTTTTATTTCCTAATTTTTAAAAATAATTTTTCTTTTCAATTCGAAGAATTATATTTATGAAAATAATTGAATTCTCGCAAAGAATTTAAAAAAAAAAATTTTAATTCTAATTAAATTCTTTTCAAGAATTTCTTTGAATTTTTTGAAAATAATGTAGTTTCTTTAATAATTTTAATTGAAAATTTGTAAAGCAATTGAATTTTATGAGCAATTTCTTTCAAGTTTTTAAAATAATAGTGTATTCTTCCAATGAATGTTATTACCTATTTATAAAAATAATTGAATTCCTGAGAGTAATTTTATTATTTATAAAAAATAATTTAATTCTTGCGATGAATTTTACTACTTATAAAAATAATTAAATTGCTTCGAAGGATTTATTAAAATTTTAGAAAATAATTCAATTCATTCCTGAAATTTTATTGAAAATAATTGAATTTTTAAAAAGATTTTACTGTTTCGAAGAATTTATTAAAGTTTTAAAAAATTAGTGAATACTTTCGTGAAATTTTATTAAAATTTTGTTGGAAATAATTAAATTTTTGCAAAAAATTTTACTATTTATAAAAATAATTGAATTCTTCCAAAGAATTAATTATGTATTTAAGAAGTGAATAGTGTTTTAAATTTTTATTATGAAATTATTCAAAAATTTAGATTTGAAAATAAGAAATTCAATAATTTGCATAATAATGATAAATTGAATATCACTAGTATTTTCATAAGCATTGCAAAAAATTTCTGACCTCATTGTAACATTTCTTAAAGAATATTTGTTATTTTATTTTAATTAGGGAGTCGTATTTTCCGTTTCTTACGATCCGTTGACGAATATTATTTGCTCTACTTCGGACGACAGAACAGTAAGATTATGGAGCGTTCATGACAAAAAAGAGAAGAACAATTGCAATTATATGGACTGGAGTAATGTTTCTGTAAATCTTTTAGCCACAATGTATGGTCACACTGCTCGAGTTTGGAGAGCAATTATAAAAAAGAATACAGTTGTAAGCATCGGAGAGGTGAGTCTCTTTAAAAATAATATAAATATCGTCGTCTCTCTTTTCATATAATTTTTATTGAAACAACACAGACGAGCTAATTCTTAATAAAATTTTCCTGCAATATTTCTATCGAAAGTAATTCTTATTCAAAATCGCGTAAAAAAACATTGTCAAATTAGAAAAAAGGATTTTCGAATAAGAATAATTCTGTTAATTATAATTAGTGAATAAAATTATAATTATAATTAACAGAATGCGGCGACTATCATAATTAAATTGAAAAATATCTTTTCAGGACTCACAAATTTGTCTATGGTCCACAAAAGGGGATTTTCTGAAAAAAATTCAAGCACATCATGGTTCACCAATTTGGTGCCTGGATATATCATTGAACGATGAGAGAATGATAACAGGAGCTGCTGACGGTTCCGTGTATGTTTGGCCCTTTCCATTTCTCAATGAAACCGATAAAATTTGCACATTAGGCGACGATATGAAGAAAACACCAAAATTCACATGTCATCTCTCAAATGGAACTGTTTTAGTTATTCGAGATGATGGCGAGATGAATATTTTCGATTCAATCACACACTGCTTGAATACTTCATTTAGTATTCCAAATTTTTCCTCATATTTAGTAATTCAATTGTCGCCAAATCGAAAATGTGTCAGTCTTGCATCGAAGGATGGTTTCATTTCGATTTACGAAGCAATTAATAAACACGAAATAACGGAGAAAATTAATGAGAAAATAATGGATGGTAAAATATTTTCCATGCAGTGGCTGAATGATAATTCTTTGCTGTTGTGCGGTTCTCATGGACGTTTGATAATTATCAATATTGAGACAGATGGTAAGAACTTTGTATTTTACTATAAGTATTCAATTATATAAATTTATTTCGTCTAATTTATTTTTTTTTAATTTTATTATTTATTTATTTTATTTAAAATTTAAAATTTGTTATTGGATCTTTTCTATCTTTAGAATATTGAAATTATTTATTCAGGATTGCCACAGACCAGAGAAAACCAAATTGAATTTCTGTGGCAACCCTGTTATTTAAAATTAATGAATATTATTAATTTAAAATTTGGGTAAATAAAATTGTGAAATGTTAAATAACGAAAATCATAATAGGAAATGTGAAAATATTATCTGAATATATTTTGCCTGAAAGTCGAGAGCGTTGGACGACTGCTGCAATTTTATACGCAAATCTAATAATCTGTGGAGATCGCGCAGGAAGTGTTTTTGTCTTTAAAAAATCGTCCGATGATAATGATTCTCGTAAGCCAGTGCAAATTTTCCATAAAATTCATGGCAAATTGGGAATTCAAAGCTGCGCAATTAGAGGCAATAAATTGATAACAACTGGACGTGATGGTCATTTACGATATTATGAAATACGAAACGAGAATGATAAATATTTTTTGGAATTAGAATCTGCGAATAATATGCCAATGGATTGGATTAGTAGAATTATTGAAATTGAAAATGAACAATATGTGTTTGGTTTCAGCGAGGTAACAGTTTTTAGTTTGCAATAATTTTTTATAAATAGTTTAAAAAAACATTTCTATTCTAAAATGTTTATTTTAATTAAATTCTTGGCAAAATTTCAATTATTTAAACAAAATTTAAGAAAATACATACTTTACACGAATTCAATTATTTTTATAAATTTTAATGAATATCTCGTCAAGAATTCAATTATTTTTATAAATAGCAAAATTTTTCGCCAGGGAAAAATAAATAAAAAATAAAGATTATGAATAAATAGAACTTTATAACAAAAATAAACATGTAATGGTTTTGTATTAAATATTCCTTTTCTTGCAGGTTGATTTTATTGTCTACAGTGTCTCCCTACGCAGGGTATTGGTGAGGATTCCTTGTGGTGGTGGACACCGATCTTGGGATTGCATTGTCGATGAAAACACTCTTAAATTCCTGTTTATTAAAGATAAGCAGATTCATTTACGAACTTTTCCTTTTCAAACACTGGCTCTAAGTCCCATTGTGGTAAGCTATCAAAATTAAATTTTTTTTTTAAAATAACTAAACTCTAAGAACTGCCTCAAAATCATTAAAAATATTTTATTTAACTGCATTTTCATTTAGTTGAATTCTTATTTAATTCAATTTCTAAATAAAAGAATTATATTTTAACAAGTTTTCATTTATCGAAACTTTTAGCTTTTTCTATTTCTAAATTTTCATTTGACGACATTCTGAAAAAAATTTTATTATCTATATTTACTTAAAAATTATTTTTTAATAACAAAATTATTATTTTTTTGCTTTTAAATTTCAGGAAGGATATCATTATAAGGAAATTTATTGTATGGAGAAGTTAAAAATATTGAAAAATCAGTGTCTTTTCGTTTCTGGTGGTGAAGATTGTTCCCTTCGTGTCAGTCGTGGCATTCAATTAAAATCAGGAGAAGGAATTGAAGATTTCGAAACTCTGAATATTATTAATGGCCACATTTCCAGCATAAAGTGTTTGGCTATTTTGAATATTGAAAATACAGAATTGTACTGTAAGAATTTAATATTCTCAGGAGGCGGAAGAGCTCAACTGAAAGTATGGCAATTGAGCGTTAAATTGAAAAATGGAGAATTATTGAAGGATAATTTAAGTTATAAATTACTGGATTCGTTTATGTTACGTGGCACTGACAAGGAACGGAAAAAAATGAGTAAAACTTTGAAAAATACCTATGATATCGATCCTGAAACTAGATTTATGGATATTAGTGTTCAATCATATTCTGACGATTCAAATTCGGCTTTAATTTTTGTAGCATGCTCTGATGGATATTTGAGGTAATTTTATTTGTATTAATTATTTACTTCCGTTTATGAATTGCATTTCCTTCATGTTCAGTTTTTTATATTTATACCTAATTTTCTGAATTCTTACATTTTTTTTACAAATTATTTCTAGTGTATTTTACGATTTTGCATTTTGTTCTTTTTGCACTGAAAAGAACTCATTAGCTCCTGATTTCGAAAATTAATTTGAAATCTTATCGTTGGAAATTTAATTTTCAGAATTCTTTCATGGAGCGCAGAATCAAAATTCAAAGTTGAAAATTCTATTGAATACAATCGTTGCATTTTGAAGGTTTATTCGTTCATGCATCGAGAGAATTTAATTGTTTTGACAATGGCTACTGATGGAGTTGTCAACTTTTGGGATTTTAGTTATTTGCTTCCTAACAATAGGAATCGAAAAGTGACGAATAAACCTTTCACTCAATGGCGAATTCATCAATCGGGCATTAATAGTTTTGATATTAAACAAATTGATAGTCATAAATATTTGTTCGCTACTGGAGGAGACGACAATCTTATCAGTCTCATTTTATTTCAAATAAATCTTCTCGAAAATGGCGATTTATCAGCTGAAATTTTGAAGAATATTAATTCTTCAGACTCTCATTATACACAAATAACAGGTGATTTTTAAACATATTTCAAGTTTGTTTTTTTATTATTTTTTTTCTGTTTTCGTTTTTTGTTATATTTTTTGTATATTATTGATATCGAATTATTTCTATTGTAAATATAAAATTATTTATTTACGAGGAGGCTTCGGCTGCATTTTTTAAACTAATATCAAGAAAAATGATTTAAATCTTCCGTAAAATTAATTTTTTAGTCATTTTTTGAGAAGAATTCAATGGAATAAAATAAAATCGGTCAGAAAATATTTTGACAACTTTTGTTATTTTATGAAAAAGTTTTAATTTTTTATATTTTCTTCATTTAGGTATTAAATTTTACCAAGAAAACAAATTGTGCAGTGTTGGTACAGATCAAAAAGTAATTATTCATCGATATTCTCTTGAAAATGATGCGTTATTATTGGAAAAAGAAAATGAAATCGTTACATGCGTTTCTGACGTTCAAGGCATTACTCTATCTGAATTCAACGAGTGAGTATAAATTATTGTATTTGAAATTTTAATAATTTATGTAGAAAAAATAAAATTAAATACATTTATTCCTTTAAACAATTTTTATTCTTAACGTAGTATTTAGATTTCTTCATAAAAAAGAGACTAAACATTCGACAATGAAAAATAAAAAATATGGACAAAAATAGAATTTTTAAAGTAACATCAGTAAATTTTAAGTCAATCTATAGAAGAATTCAAAATTAAAATTATCGAAAATTTTGAATTTTATTTGAACAAATGTTAATTAATTAATTGTTTTTTTAATGTTTCAAAATATATTATAATTTCAAATATTTAAAAATTGTCAGGGAAAAAAATTGACCATAAAAATTTAGACATGTTTGAAATTTTATTGGTCCCTCCCCATAAAAAAATATTCGTTGTCAAATTTTCAAAACTTGATTTTAAAAAAAACTACGATTTCAAAATAATTTTTCTCTTGTTTCAGAGATGCCAATACATTTATTTGTACATATGGAAAAGGATTTGAATTCATTTCTGAAAATGAATAATTATATAATTTCCAACGAAAATGTAAATACGTGTTGGGAAAAAAAATTTACAAAATATAATTTTTTATGCAATGGTAACAATAGAGTCTATTTTTAATTGTTACTATTGCAATTTAAAAGTACATCTCTGCGAATGTATATATATTTTAAAATAAATTTACAATTTAGTTTAGTTTTAATTTAAATACATATAATTCTTGAATAAAAAAAATTACTTTTTCGACTAATTTGATTGTAAAACTTTCAAATATCATCGGAATTTCGTAATAGGGAATTAAAAACAATTGAATTTTAGACGAATTTTAAGTAAAATTTCATTTTTTTTAAATTAATTAAACTCTTGGAGATTTTTTCCGAAATGTTAAATAAATTATTTTTGAAAAAATTACACGAAAGAATTCTATTTTTTCTTAATTCGTTATAAAATATTTCAAAAGAATTCAATTATTTTTAAAAATTTTAATAAATTCTTCGAAACAATTCAATTTTATTTATAAATAGTAAAATTCTTTGGAAAAATTCTATTATTTTCAAAAAAATTTCAAGAAAGAATTCAATTTAAAAAAAAAAAATTTTAATAATATTTTTCGAAAAAATTCAATTATTTTCTAAAATTTTCAAAATTCTTCGAAAAATTCAATTATTTCTAAAGAAATTTCATGAAAGAAATTTTTTTAACTTTTTTAATTAAAATTAATATTGAAATTCTATTATTTTTAAAAAATTTAAAAAAAATTTTGAAAAAGAATTTAATTAGAATTTTCAAAATTTTAACAAAATTTTTTGCGAGAATTCAATTATTCTTTCTAAATAATAAAATTCTTCAAAGGAATTCTATTATCAAATTTTTTGATTTTAAACTCTTGGTGAATTTTTCCAAAATTTTTAAAAATTATAAATTTAGAGAAAAATTCTAGTTAAAATTTCTAGAAAATAATTTAGTATTTAAAAATAATTGGATTTTTATTATTGTTTATTTATTTATTTCAATTATTAACAAAAATGATTATTTTAAAAACTTGAAAGAAATTGTTCGAATAAAATTGAATTATTTTTAAACATTTGTAATTAAAACTATTAAAGACATTACATTATTTTTAAAAAATTAAAAGAAATTCTATTATCAAATTTTTTGATAAAATTCTTTGCAAAAAATCGATGAGTTTCTGTTAATTATTTTAAAATTGAATATTATTTAAAAAGAAAAATTTTTAGTTTTAGTTATTTATTGATTTCGGTATTTTTTCAAGGATATTTAATTATTATTAAATTATTTATTTTATTGTTCAAGGTTATTTAGTGACATAAACCAGTTTACAAAGATAAAAATGTTCTTTTGAACAAATATGATTTATTTTCCTAAAAATAATGCAAATTGGAAATTTTGAAATATGAAGAAGACTATAGAAATCCACCAATCAAACATCACGTATACTGCGCATGCGTCGAACTAAGCTAAATTATTGGCTGAAATTCAAATTGTGAACCAATTGCAATTAAATATTTTTAAGTAAGATGCAATTTTGTAAATAAAAAGAAAATAGAGAAATACATATATTATTTTGATACACAGTCAGAATTATCACAATTGGAAATAAATTAACAATTTTTAAGTGGAAATATATTTTTGAAAAATTTCTGTTTAGTTCGGGAGCCAATGAACTTGCTGGAAGCGACGCATGCGCAATGGCGTCGCATCATTGTTAAAAAAAATTGGCAACACTGTATGATGCATACATATTTCGATTGCATTTGCATTATTGCATTCCTGTTGGGAGACGAACGCAGCCAACTTCCGGTGACTCGGCGATTGTGCTGTTTTCAAACATGGAGAGGTTATCTTTTTGAAATAATATGTGGGAAATAGGTAACCGCGGTGTAGTCGGTTTGTTAAGTGTGTTTATTGGATCAGTGGTCCTCTACAACGCCTGGGGACTGATTCTAGTCCTCGCGATTTTACTCTTTTTCGTAGTGAACACGTGTTACTCCCTCCTTGTGAACGACAGTCTTGTGTCTCCCTATAATTTATTAGTATTCCATTTCGTGAGAGAAGTCATTTTTGATCTCAGTGAAATTATCGAACAATTCAGCGTTATTCTCACGCGTTATATTCGTGATTTTGTGAACGCCGTTAAACGTTATTATCGTCAACGATTCAACACGAGTCACAACAACTCCAACATGAATCGCTCTCGAAGAAGTTCTTATCATCTCAGTAGTGAGTCATTTGTTAATGCTAGGGAACCATCGGCATCATCGTCGTCGTATTCGAATGCAAATGTTGTTAATCAATTGAGTCCAATTCCTAAGGAAAAGTTCCAGCAAATTGACGATTGGAACGAACATACTAGATACGTCGACAATAATGAATCTTTGGTTAAGTACACTTCAACGCCTCTTGTACCCTGGAGAAAGGAGAATGTGCCCAATGGAGAAGTGCAAAATGTGTCTATTCAAAATTCACCGAATAAAATTTCATCATTACAAGGTAGAAATCATACTGTGTCTCGTGATGAGACATTTTTCAGCCCGGAGGGCTCACCTTGGGGCACGAGCATCAGTCCAAAAATGCGTTCAAAAGCTGCCGGAGTCAAGACTGTTCAGACTGTTGCTGGACCACTTTTAGCATCAACAAGATATAATATTGACACAAAGTAAGTTTTTTTCAATTTTATTATCAATCTCAATAAATTTAAGTACAAAATGTCTATTTTACCGTCTAGACACATTTTATTTGGCTTTCAATTTGGACGGCATGTTCGCAGGGTTGCCACAGAGAAAAGTCAGGGAAAGTAGAATTTGGTCAAGGAAATCAGGGAAAAGTCAGTGATTTTTATTAAAAGTGCTGGAAAAAATTTAAATTTTCGAATTCGTAAGAAAATTCCGAATTTTTTTTTCTATTTTATTTGCTATAAACTATAAAATTACCACGAATTCTAATACAAAATCTTCAATATTTTCTATTTATGAAAAATAATTTCTTTTTAAATACGGAAGTCTTTTAAATAACTTTAAGAACTATCATAAAATTATTAGTTAGAAATTATTAAATGAATAATTTGACTTAAATATTTCAAAAATTAATTGAATTTTAAAAGAGTTGTGTTTACAATATTATTTTCATAAATAGATGAACTTCAAAAGGTTTCAATTTTAAATTTTGTATTTCAATTTTAGTTAGATTTTTTAAAAATTTTAATAATTCACATTCTTCTGAAATTAGTTCAATTTTTTAAAATTTATTCAATTAATTATTAAAAATAATGGATTTATCGAAGCAGTTTAGTTAAAAACACTGAAAAAAATTGAATTTTGGAGCAGTTACAAATAATAAATTGCAGAAATTCAATTATTTTCAAAAGTCAAATTCAATTATATTAAGGAATTATTATAAAATTCATTGCAAAATATAATTATTTTTATAAATAACAATATTCATTCAATTGTTTTAGAAGAAATTCAATTATTATTTTCAAAAATAATAAAATTTCTCTCAGAAAAAATTTTCAAAATATCTAAAAAAAATTGTCAGTATTTCAATTATCTTTAATAAATGAATAGCAAAATTCTTTGACAAAATACAATTATTTTTAGGAATTTTAATGAAATTGATTGCAAAATTTAATTATTTTCAGGAATTTTGATAAAATTGATTGCAAAATTCAATTTTTTTAAGGAATTTTAATAAAATTGATTGCAAAATTCAATTATTTTCAAGAATTTTAATAAAATTCATTGCAAAATTCAATTATTTTCAGGAATTTTAATAAAATTAATTGCAAATTTCAATTATTTTCAGGAATTTTAGTATTCATCAGAAGAATTCAATTATTTTTAAAAGTAATAAAATTCAATTATTTTTAAAAACTTTCCACAATTAAATGATTTTCAATATTTACTATTTTAATAAAATTTTCCAACAGAATAATAACATTTTTTACAAGGATTCAATTATTTTTATAAATAATAAAATACTTTTTTATAGTATTTATTTATACTTGCAATTATAGTTTAAGAAACAATTCAATTAATCAATAAATTATTTATTTTTGTATTTAAATAATTGAATTTTTGAATAAAAATTTATTTAATAATGAATTTCAGTGAAAATTTTAAATATGATAATTGAATGTTAAAAACATTTTAGGAAGAATTTTTATAAATAATTGAATTTTGAAAAGGTCTTCTCATAAATTCAATTATTTTTAAAATTTTTAATACTTAAAATGCTTTATGAAAATTTAATTTTAAGAAACATTCAATTATTTAACAAATTATTTATTTTTGAATTTAAATAATTTAATTCTTGTAGGATTTTTCATTTTCTAATAAAAACTGATTTAAAAATAGATTTTGGTTAAATTTTTAAATAATAATTGAATATAGAAGTATTATAGGCTGAATTTTTAGAAATAATTGAATTTTGAAGAGGTTTCAAATTAAAATCTTGGAAAATCTTAATTTTTCATTCTTTCAACTAACAATTTGGTAAAATTAATTTTTTTAAAATGTCTAATTGAATATTTTGAAAATTATTTGTAGTTTTCATTTTCTTTAATTTAATTGAAGAATTTCCAAATAATCGAAATTTCGTAAAATTGAATTCTAAATACCTAAATGGATTTGAAAATTCTCAAAGAACTTTGTCAAAAATTATTAAAAATAATTGATTTAAAGAAGAATTTTAGTTAAAAAATTCTAGAAAATAAAATTCTTGGCATTCAGTTATTTTCAAAAATTTTCCTCAATTCAATGATTTTAATGTCTACTAATTGAATAAAATTTTCTATAAGAATTCAAGTATTTAAAAATTTTTTTTATATAATTCTACGCAAGCATTTTAATTATTTTTATAAATAATAAAAATCTCACATGCATTCAATTATTTACTTTTTTTCGAGAGATTCAATTATTTTCATAAATTTTTGTAGAATTTTCTAATAAAAATTGATTTAAAAATGAATTTTAATTATCATTTTAGATAATACATAATTGAATATTAAAAGCGTTAGAACATGAATTTTTAGAAAAAAATATCTAATTCTTTAGGGTCAAGGAAAAAATCAAAATTTTGTCTGGAAGTCAGGGAAAAGTAGGGGAAATACAGAATCAAATTTTTATGGTAACTGTGGTTCGTCTAGACGTACATCAATTATCGTTTAAACCATAATTTATAACTCATTAAGAATTAGAATAGGACACTAAAAATTGACAAAAGTTACATATTTGCCTCATTTCATTCCTTACAATTTTTCAATTTTTAAAATAAAATTGACCTATTTTAATAACATTTCATAATTTGTAAAGAAAAATTTTTTTCTTTATGAAGTTCAAATTTTTATTAACGAATAAGCCGACAAGTCGGAACAAAAGTTCAACTGTAAAACAAATTTTTGTCGATTTAGTTTTGTTATGAAATTTTATATAGAAAAATAATAATGATTAAATATTTATTTTTAATAAAACTTGATGTTTTCGAATAATTTTACAATTAACGAAATTTGTAAATTTGTATTAGAATTTTGAGTATCTAATAATTTTTAGAGTGAATCAGAATAACATTTTTTTAAGGTCAGTGAAAAAGGCAAAATTTTATCTGTAAATCAGGGAAAACTCAGGGTAAAATAAAATATTTATAAATATTTGTGGCAACCCTGTAGTGACTGACTTTTTGCTTTTAAATTAGTAAAATTTACTAAAAAATTCGAAATTAATATTTATTAGTAAAACTTACTAATTGAAAAGTAAAAACTAAGTCACTCAGATTAGTAAACATTTTTACTAATCAAATTTAGAGAGTAAATATTGAAATTGCTTTCTACCACAATTTGGTAAATATGTATTTATTGAAAAATTCTTATTTCAGAGTTTACACGGACGTGACATCGCCAGGTTTGACGACAAGATTATCGAAATACGCCTCGGAAATAAACAATAAGTTACTTCAGCAACCACAGTATGGAATGGGCCATTTTCCAAAAGTCAATCTCAATCCAACGCCGACACCATTAATAAATACAAAAACAGCCAAAATGCGAATGCCAGTGACAGTGAGAATTGCACAACCCGAAGCAATCAGCAATCTCTCATCGTCGGAGAGAAGGAAAATTCTCAACAAAACATGTCATTCTGATAGTCAAGTATCGTCGCCTAATGTTGTTCAAGCATTGAGAGAAATATCTCTAAAGAGACATGCATCAAGGGAAGACGTTACAGCCGATTTGGTCAAGAAGCAACGCACCGATGGCATTTATAGCGATGAATTGGAAAATTTGGAGGAAATGACACAGAAGCGTGCCAGGGATGAGTCTTCGAAGTCGGACGAGGAACTTTCGCCATCGCACTCCACATCCAGACCATTGAAGCGTACCAAGGGCCAATCATGCAATGATATTTTAAATTCATTCAGTTCGAGTGTTCACGTCTTCTCTGGCGTCAAAAGAAAAGCCAGTAAGTATTAACACATGTTTGGGGAAATCAAGAAAAAGTCAGAGAGAAAAGAATCAAATTTTTATCACAAGAAAAATAATCTTTTTTGTATAATTTTTTTTGCTACAATAAAATAATAATTGCAGGGCTCAAAGTAGGTCCGTAAATCCTGAAAAAGTCCGTTTTTTTGAAAAAAGGTCCGTAAAGTCCGTAATTTCATTCAAAAAGAATGAAAAGTTCGTAAATTGTACGATATAATTTTGAGAATTTTAGAGAAATTACAAATGATTGCAGAAATTCAATTATTTTTAAAAGTAATCAAATTCTTCGCAAAAATTCAATTATGTTCAAAAATATTTTTAAATTCTCGTCAAAATTTCAATTATCTTTAGAAATATTAAAATTCTTCTCCGAAATTCAATTATTTTCAAAAAATCTAAAAAAAAAAATGGTCAACATCTCAATTATATTTATAAATAAATATCAAAATTCTTCGACAAAATTCAATTATTTTCAAAAATTTTAATAAAATCCATTACAAAATTTCAATTATTTTCAAAAGTAATAATATTCTTCGCAAAAATTAAATATTGTTCAATATCTACTATTTTCATAAAATAATACCAAAAGAATTTAATAATTTAAAAAAAAATTTAATAAAATTCTACAAAAACTTTTAATTATTTTCAAAAAATAATAAAAATTTCACAAGAATTTCAATAATAACAATTTTTTTTTTATAAATTTCTTCTCAATCATTCAACTATTTTCATAAATAATAAAATTTTTACGGAGATTCAATTATTTTCGTAAATATAATAAAATTCTTTTTAGGAATTCAATTATTTTCAATAGAATTTTAATCGAATTCCTCGAAAATATTCTTAAAAATTTTATTAAAATTCGTCCAAAGAATTTAATTATTTAAAAATTTGTTGATAAAATTTTTAATAGGAATTAAATTCCAAGAAACATTCAATTATTCAATAAATTATTTATTTTTGTATTTAAAATATTAAATAATTGAATTCTGGTAGAATTTTCTCATAAACATTGATTTAAAAATAGATTTCAGTTAAAATCTTAGATTATAATAATTGAATTCTTTATGAAGAATTTCATTAAAATTTTAAAAATAATTGAATTTTATCGAGACATTTTTTTAAAAATTGTCTTAAAAATAATTGAATTTCTACCAAAAAAAGTTTTATCAAAACTTTTTTAAAATGTATGAATTGAATTCTTGCGAAGAATTTTATTAAGAATTTTGAAAATAATTGAATCTCTGCAAAGATTTTTATTATTTTACGAAAATATTCAAATTCTTGGGAAAAATTTTATTAAAATTTCTAAAAGTAATTGAATATCTGCTAAGAATTTTGTTATTTTGAATTTATGTCAAGAATTTTATTAAAATTTTTAAAAATAATTAAATGCATGTTACGTTTAATTATTTTTGAAAACTTTAATAAAATTCTTCGCAAGAATTCAATTATTTTCATAAATAATAAAATTCAATGCAGAATTTCAATTATTTTATTTATTTTTAATACAATTTTCATCGAATTTCTCGACAAATTTAATTATTCTTAAAATTTTGATTAAAATTCGTCGAAAGAATCCAATTATTTGAAAATTTGTTGATAACGATTTTTTATGGGAATTGAATTTTAAGAAACATTCAATTATTCAATAAATTATTTATTTGCATTTTATTTTTATTTAAATAATTGAATTCTAGTAGAATTTTCTAATAAAAATTGATTTTCATTTCATAAAAATGAATTACGGTTAAAATTTTAGATAATAATTGAATATTAAATGCAATAGATAGTGAATTTGAAAAAATAATTGAATTTTATAATTAATTTTTTTGTAAAAGTTTAATGGAGTTTTTTAAATATTATTTTTAGTTTCTATTATATAAATATTTTTAATTTTTTAAGAAATTTTAATTAATTTAATTAGAAATATAACAGATTTTTATTTTTATTTTTAGCGGACATATCACGTAGCAGTACTCCAGATTTTGAGAAGCACTTTAAATCATTAGAGAAATATCCGAGTGAAAATTTTTCCACTGTTCAGCAAAATGAACCGTCAAAATTAATTGAACGTTATGTCAGTGAACCGATGCCGATTGTTAATGTTCCAATTAATTCTGAATTGAAGCAACGAAAAGAAGTTTCACCTAAAGAAATTGTCATTAATGATGAGACGCGAATGGAGGAACAAATCAAATTGTCGCCAGATGTTTGGGAAATTAAAAGACCGGCAATTTTGAAAAAACCAAAATCACCCAGCAGTCCTGTGAAATTGTCCGATAAATTGTTTATGCGACCTGAACCGCAGAATAATGATAAAATACGAACAATTATCGAGCAACAAAGTAGTAATGCGAAAGACAAATTTTCCATGGTTGATAAGGATGAAATTAAGAAGACGGACATTGTTAATATGAGACAAAATAGTATGCGAGCCAGACTTCAGAGTATGTTTGATGCCATTTCCGGAAAAGGTAAGATTTCTTTTCTGTTTTTTTTTCAGTTTGTTTTTTTATACTAATTCTAATCATATTTTTTTTACTACTTTTTTATTTTGAAAGTTACTTTTTGCTACTTTTATACTATTTTTTTGGTTGAAAGCTACTTTTTGCTACTTTTTTAAAATTAATTATCGAGTGCGAAGTGTGAAGTACACTTTATGTTGAGAAAAGATAGATTTTATTTCCGACATATTTTTAGTAATTTCTTTTTCAATATCTATTTCAGGAGCGAGTAAAATTAATCCAGACGTTGTTATTCAAGCCGGTGAGATGAAGAATAACGTTTCTGAAACAACAACAGCTGCAGCAACGGCAACAACTACAACAACACCTTTTACAACTCTAAGTTCAACGACAGTGACGACGAATGTCAATACATCTCCAATTTCTTCACCTGTCGTTCCAATTTTGAAGAAAGGTGTGATTAAAAAATCACCCAACAAACGTGTAACTTTCAATATTCCGACTTCTTTATCAGCAGAAAATGTCGCTTCCAAGCCGCAAGAGGTTCAAACGACAGAAACTCCTCCAGTTGAAGTTTCCTCGCTCAGTACCGCTGCCAGCAGCACATCTACATTTACTTTCGGTACAAGTACATCAACAATTCAAGCACCAGTTCCTATTCCAACTGCTGTTGAAACTTCGAAGGAGCAAATAACCCCAACTTCTAATTTCATTGCATCAAAGACAGAGAGTACTTCTTCATTATTTTCCAGTAAACCTCAACAAGATCTCCAGCCTAAATTAAGTTTACCCACGACCCAAATTTCAACTCCCACTTTAGCCGCTCCGATTTCGAATACTTTCGCAATTCCTCAAAATGTTCCTCAAACCACGAATATTCTCAGTACGAATCTGATGAATACGACTCAAAATGCCACGACACCGTCCTTCACGTTCGGCGCCGTGGCGAAGACTTCACCACCCGCGCCGACTTTTGGTCAAATCGCAACTACCACGAGTCAATCTACGCCCATATCACTTCCAAGTGCAACATTTTCAGCCCCTAGTTTCAATTCAACTCCTTCGACGACGCCAGCTTTCTCGTTTGGAACGAATAAACCGGCGGAAATCACACCCAATACACAAACATCAACAACTTTCGGAACCGCTCCTCCGAGCTTTTCTTTTCCCACCAACGCCCCGGCACCTTCGAGTTTGACGAGTCTGAACAAAGTGGAGGCAACCTCAGCAGAAAGCAAAACGCCAAACTTCACATTTGGCAATAATACCACTGCCAGTAAGCCGGGCTTCTCCTTCGGCACGCCGACCACCACCAGTGCCGCCACATCGATTTTCGGCGTGAATCCCACAACAACTTCCGCTTCGCCAGCTTTCGGTTTAACCACAAAATCCACCCCAAGTTTCACGAGTTCAACCTTTGGAAATAATAGTCTAAACTTTGGCACATCGAACACGGGTGAAGTGAAAACATCCACCACCACTTTCGGCGCACCGGCGACAACGGCATTCGGCACGCCGACAACGACAACTCCCGTGTCCTTCAAATCAATCAACAGTCAACCTGTCTTTGGCAATACACCATCGTCGAGTGCTTTCCGAGCGCCTCAAACAGCCTCGTCGTCGTCGACTTTCGCCTCCAATTCGGCGCCAACTTTCGGCACAACGACAAGTGCTCCGAGTCTATTCACCAACAGCAGCGCCAGCACGACAACTTCGAATTTATTCAGTCAAGCGAAACCTCCAAACACGGACACGACACCATTTGGCGCGAATGCCGTCACGAATGTCACCTCCCCGAATCCAATGTTGGGCGCCTCCAATATATTCAGTCAAACGAAACCTCCCGCTTTCGGTGCGGCAACTTCTTCGAATTTCGGCACTAGCGGAACTTCACTCTTCGGAAGCGCAGCGACGAACTCTGGCGGATTTAACGCCACGAGTCCCAGCAGCAATGCGCCGCCAACTTTTGGTACAAACGCAACGCCGCTATTCGGAAGTCAAACTCCCGGAAGTCAGACTCCTGTTAGTCAGACATCGTCCTTTGGATTCAGCACAACAAACACTTCGGCTTTTGGAACGACTGCGGCACCTCCTGCATTCGGCACCGGTATAACAGCGAATAACAGTTTTCAGCCGCAAAGTAGTAGTAATAATACGGGAATCAGTTTTGGAGCGGGGGGCAATAATCCACCACATCCACCACCAGCTTTTGGAGCCAGTTCGACGACAGGTTTCGGCACGCAGGCTGGAGGAAGTGTCTTTGGCACTAGCACACCTGGTTCGGCCTTTGGAGCGGTTCCCAGCAATAGCAGCAATGGAAATAATAATGCCAGTGCTAGTGGGACATTCACTTTTGGAGGGAATCAGAGTCAAGCACAGCCGGGTTCGGCATTCTCCTTTGGCGGTGCGAGTACAAATAATACTAGTAACAATAATGCCGCAACTCCCTTCCAATTTGGATCAGCAGCTTCTAAACCAGGTATGTGAATATCAAGCATCGGATAGTATGATTTTATCCACTTTTTTCTGGGAAAATATTCAATTTTTCAGGCTTCACAGTCTGTCCCCTAATTCCCTAAAAGTCCCCTTTTTTTAATTTTGGCCCAAAAACATAACCTATTTTGAAAATTTTCCCTATTTTTTTCGTCGCAGGAATTCAGGAAATCAATTATTTTCAATAATTTTTAAGTAATTCTGCAAAAGAATTCAATTATCTTGATAACCAACAAAATTCTCCCCATAAAATCAATTATTTTCAAAAATTTTAATAATATTCTTTTCCAAAATTCAATTATTTTGATAAAAATCAAAATTCGTAACAAGAATTCAAAAAAATCTTAATTAAATTCTTGGCAAAATTTCAATTATTTAAACAAAATTTAATAAAATACTTTGCACGAATTCAATTATTTTTATAAATTTCAATGAATATCTCGCCAAGAATTCAATTATTTTTATAAATAGCAAAATTTTTCGCCAAAAATTCAATTATTTTCAAAAATTTAAATAAAATTCTTTGGAACATTTCAATTATTTTAAAAAATTTTTCGCAATTCAATGTTTTTCCGTATTTACTACTTTCATAAAATTTATCAACAGATTTAATTATAGAAAAAACTTGTTGATTCAATTCTACGAAAAGATTCAATTATTTTCAAAAATAATAAAATTTCATTTACGAATTCAATTATTTTCATCGCAGAATTTCAAATATTTTTAATACAATTTTAAATAAATTCCTTGAAAAATGCAATTATTATTAAAAATTTTATTAAAACTTGAGGAAAGAATTCAATTTTAAGAAACATTCAATTATTCAATAAAACAATAAAATTCGTTGCAATAATTCAAATATTTTCATAAATAACATTTAATTCGTCGAAGAAAATCAAATTCAAAAATAACAAAATTGTTTACAGACATTAAATTTTTTTAAATCATTTTAATAAAATTATTCGCAATAATTCAATTATTTTCATAAATAATAAAATTCCTCTCAGGAATTCAATTATTTTTGAAAATTTTAATTAAATTCTTTGCAACTATTCAATTATTTTTATAAATTATAAAATTCATCGCAAGGATATCAATTATTTTTAAAATAAAATTTTATAGGATTTGCTCAAAAAATGTAATTATTCTTTCAAATTTAATTTCAATTCCTCGAAAAAGTGAATTATTCAAAAAAATGTTTTTTTAAAATTCTTTGGAAGAATTCAATTATTTACAAAAATTTTAGAATTTTTCAAAGGAATTCAATTATTTTCAAACATTTTAATAAAATTGTTCGAAAGAAATCAATTATTTTAAATACAATTTTAATTAAATTTTTTTGCAATAATTCAATTATTTATTTACGAATTCAATTATTTTCATCGCAGAATTTCAAATATTTTTAATACAATTTTAAATAAATTCCTTGAAAAATGCAATTATTAGTAAAAATTTTATTAAAACTTGAAAAAAGAATTGAATTTTAAGAAACATTCAATTATTCAATAAAATAATAAAATTCATCGCAGAGTTTCAATTATTTTTAATACAATTTTACAGGATTTGCTCAAAAAATGTAATTAGTCTGAAAAATTTAATTTCATTTCCCCGAAAAAATCAAATATTTAAAAAAATGTTTTTGTAAAATTCTTTGGAAGATTCAATTATTTACAAAAATTTTAGAATTTTTCACAAAAATTCAATTATTTTCAAATATTTTAATAAAATTTCGAAAAAATTAATTATTTAACAACATTTATATACAATTCTTCACAATTATTCAATTATTTTCAATAATAATAACTTTTTTCATGCGTATTCTATTTTTTAAAAAGTTTTTGATAAAATTCTAAGCAAGAATTCAATTATTTTCATAAATAATAAACCTCATCGAAGAATTTACATTATTTTTAATATTATTTTACAGAATTTGCTCAAAAAATGTAATTATTCTTTAAAATTTAATTTCAATTCCTCGAAAAAGTCAATTATTTAAAAAAATATTTTTTTAAAATTCTTTGGAAGAATTCAATTATTTACAAAAATTTTAGAATTTTTGACAGGAATTCAATTATTTTCAAACACTTTTATAAAATTGTTCGAAAGAAATCAATTATTTTAAATACAATTTTAATTAAATTTTTTTGAAATAATTCAATTATTCATTTACGAATTCAATTATTTTCATCGCAGAATTTCAAATATTTTTAATACAATTTTAAATAAATTCCTTGAAAAATGCAATTATTATTAAAAATTTTATTAAAATTTGAGAAAAGAATTCAATTTTAAGAAACATTCAATTATTCAATAAAATAATAAAATTCGTTGCAATAACTCAAATATTTTCATAAATAACATTTAACTCGTTGCAGAAAATCAATTATTTTCAAAAAATCTTAAGTAAAGATTTTTCGTTTTTGCAAACGAATTCAATTAGCTTGATAAATAACAAAATCGCATAAATTGTTCCCATAAAATCAATTATTCTAAGGAATTTTAATAAAATTCTTTTCCAAAATTCAATTATTTTGATAAATATCAATATTCATCACAAGAATTCAATTCTTTTGAAAAGTAATAAAATAGGTAGGGAAATTCTTCTTAAGAATTAAATTATTGTCAAAAATTTTTTTAAAATTCTTCTCAAGAAGTCAATTATTTTCAATAATTTTAATAAAATTCTTCTCATAAATTCAATTGTTTTCAAAAATTATTATTTAAATTCTTCTCAGGAATTCAATCATTTTTAAAAAATTTAATAAAATTCTTCAGAAAGTTTTAAATTATTTTCAAAAATTGTTGTAAAAATCCTTTAATATAATAAATTTCATTAAAATTTTTATTAAATTCCTAAAAAAAAATTAAATATTTTCAAAAGTTGTAGAATTAATTTGTTTGAAAAAGTTTAAATGAATGATAATTGATGTTATTGATTTAAAGTAGAATTTTAGTTAAAAATTCTAGAAAATGTTAATTGAATTGAAATGATACAAATAATTTTGAAGAAATTACAGTAACAATATTCTGATAATAATAAACTAATGATTTTGTCAGTCGGTCACCTTTAATTATTATAAAACACAAAGAAGACTCGGAGTGATCGATATTTTTATGTTTTATAACAATTTTTTTTAAATTGTTTAATTTCAAAAAGGTTTGAATTTGAAATTTTTGAACATCTGTATTCCAATGAAAAAAAAAAATGATTAAATATTTATTTTAAATAAAACTATTGACGTCATAGGGATAATTTAATAATAATTTTTTTTAACATTTCCAGCTTCGGGTTTCAATTTCACTGCACCTACAGCAGCACCAAGCATTAATTTTGGTGCATCTGCACCACCAGCTTTCAACGCACCAACACCAGGACCAAGTAATTTCGCAGCTCCTGCTACTGGAATGTTTAGTATTGGAACTGGTTCTACTGCTCCAAGATCGAGAACTGCACGAGCCAGACGACAAAGATGATGGAGAATGTAAATTTAATTTTTCCATTGTTATTTTTTTTTTCATACTGAAGCCAGTCTTTATATTTTTTTTCTTATTTAAGTTATCACTATCCGAAAAATGCTCAAACGTATGTTGTATATAATAATAATAATAATAATAATAATAATAATAATAATTTTTATTTAGTTCGAAATTATACGCAATGACGCAACTAAATTCTAGTTGCTGATTAAATTGATCTACATATATATTTATATAAATATATATTTATAAGAAGAGAGAGAAAAAGAGAGTGAGAACTCTTCTCGAATATTTTAATAGTCAAACGAATTTATATAAGTTCAAAAACTTTTCAGTAAATAATTACGTATATAAACTGTTAAAAGAAAATTCTTTTATATTTGACTCTTTAAATATTTTGAATTTTTTCCTTTTGTAATTTTTTTTATTTCTTTCGATACACGCATTCATTATTTTCTTGTCATTTAAATATTTAATTGATTTATTTTCGAAATAATAGTGAATTACTTATAATGCACTTGTTACTTAAAACCAAATTTACAATTATTTTTAGCGTAAAAAGAAATTTATACATCATGAATTGTGTTTAAAATTTTTTGTTTTATGAACAAGAAAATATTGTAATAGCTGTTTAAAAGCTTTATAGTCAAAATCCGAATATATGAAATTAGAAAATGAATTTTAAAAAAATTAGAGAATTAATTTTTTTTTTTCAAGTGTAATTGTAAATATTAAGGCAGGATTGTGTTTCAATTCCATAAAATGAAATTGTCTTCATCTTTATTTTTAGTAGTTGCGTCTTTGCGATATCAGCATTAGTTTATTATATTGGTTGCAATGTATATTTAATTTAATCGTATATTTAATAAAGAAAAATTATATTTAAAAAAAAATAAAAATAGCATACGTTTGACGATAATATAATGTATAGAATTGAATTAAATAATTTTTTTTTTAGTTAATTACATTGTATTTTGTTTTATATTTCAGATAGGCTATAATGAAAGATAAGTTTGCATAATCAAAATGCAAATTGCCGTTGAAATATTGCAAACATAAAAATGAAAGCAAAAAAAAAATCAATAAATTAAATGATGTAAAACATCGAAGAAATTATATAGGGTAATAAAATGCTTTCTTCTTCGGAATGTAGTGAAAAATGTGTTTCGAATTTTTCCAATATTTTTCACTGCCGCGAGATAGAAAGAGGTGATTGTTAATTTTTAAATTTGTTAACGTAATAGAAAAAAAAATGTAAATATGTGCGAATATTTAGTGAATGAACCCTTAAAGCGAATGATTCATTTGTTTAAAAATAAAATGAACAATAAAATTGTACAGTTGATCATTAGGATTAAAATGAGAAAATCGCCTGTTTCATTCTCAAAAAAAGAAAAAACAAATCACAATTTGTCGCATTTTAAAGTCACGAAGAAGAAAGAATTTGCGGCACTTTAGAATAAGTTGAATTATATGAGTAATTTCAAGACCACATGCGATTAAAAAAAATGCATACATACGATTTTTTTTTAAGTTTAATTTGCGTATGATTTATATCATAGAAAAGAACAAAAAAGAAAGGAAACTGGAAAATACGTAAAGGAAATCTTTTTTTTCAGTTTTTCAAAGCTGTATGATATTAGAATTAAGAAAAGAGCGATTTAGCTCCGTTTATATTTTGTCAGCTTGTGTGAGGAATAATAATTTTAAAACATATATTGTAATATGGCGATTAGTAATATATTATTATTATAAATGATTATCCTATGTAAACGGAGAAATAAATCATATTCTCATATTAATGATGAATTTTTAAATTTATTTTCCTTTTTATTTACATTAGAAAAGTAGAAAAGTATCGGGTATTTTTTAAGGATTTCTCACTGATCCTTTGACTATTTTCACGTCATCAATTGGTCGATCATTTTTATCAGTTTCTACGAGTCCAATTCTTTTTACAATTGCCATGCCAGTGTGAATTCGTCCTGGAAATTAAAAAAAAGGATAATTTTATATTTTTATAATAAATTTTTGATTTAATTATTATTATATTCCCTTGAAAGAATTGAACTTACCAAAAATTGAATGTTTTCCATCCAACCACTGTGTCGGAGCAAGTGTAATAAAAAATTGAGATCCATTTGAATCTGGACCTGAATTTGCCATCGACAAAATTCCAGCACCTGCAAGTAAAACGATTTAGACGTGATTAAAATTGTGTCCGATAAGTTTACTTCTATGTCAAATAATAACTTGAAAATTTGTTATATTTCTAATTAATCATTAAATTACCAGCGTGTTTCAAATCATCATGAATTTCATCATCAAAGCACTCTCCATAAATGGAAACTCCTCCTTTTCCTGTTCCAGTTGGATCCCCTCCTAAAAATTAAGTTATTTTTATTTAAAAACCTGCTAAAAATTTGAATCTTCAATTATATTATACTAAATATTAAAAAACAGAAGAATTTTTCAGATAATCCAAATAATTTATTCTCTATTTTACCTTGAATCATAAAATCTCTAATTATCCTGTGAAATTTCGTGCCATTATAATATCCACGTCTAACAAGTTCTGCGAAATTTCTGCAAGTAATTGGAGCATGTTTCCAATAGAGTTCAATAATTATCTCTCCCATTCTGTAAAGATAAATAATAATATTAATTCATTTAATTATGTTAATAATATTAATTCATTTCATTATTACAATTAAAACAGAACAAAGATTTAGTAAATTGAAGAACAATTGAATTGTTCAATTAATTGAATCAATTGTTATTTAATTGTAATTACATTCAAGTAGCAGATCAAGTTTCAATTTTATTGAATAAACAATGATATATTCTTTGTCTTTTTAATAATTTGTTAAATTTAAAAATATTCATTTTCTTTTCATTTTTCTAACCTCAAAATAATTTGAGATTAAAAAGGCGAATAATGTCAAATGAACTTGTTTGTAAGTAAATTATCGTTCATATATGTATGTATAAATGTTTATTTATTAAGAAAAATGAATAATAAATTATTAATATTGAAATTTGTTTATAGTAATTAAAATTTGTAAACCTACGATGTTTCTAAAGAAACAAATGGTGGTTGCCAATGCTTGTCAGGGATTCCAGAAGCTGTTGTTACTGCCATAATTAATTAAATAAATGATGTATAATTTAATTCTTTATATTCACTAAATAAAAAACTTATTTATATTTATTATTTGTTTATCATTTACGAAACTTGTATACAACTTTTTTTAGGTTAACATATACAAAACATGCGCGTATCGGCTGCGCAATTGTATGCGACTAACTTCAGCTTCTTAGATTCGAGATATCGAAATATTTCACTGCCGCCAGATTTGTCGTTTGTTCAGCGGTGCAGTACAGTGCAGTAATCAGTAAATACGTTATTAATCACCTCCACGTGCTTGCGTTCCAAATGAATTAAAAAAGAAGAAGTGTTTTAAAAAAATATTCTTAGTATTATGTTAAGTAAATATTAAGAAGAGGATTAGTTAATAATGCTGAAGAGACCTTTAAAAAGTAATTTGCAGCATAATTCTCAATCCTGTCAAAAAATAAAAGGAAACAAATGATGATTTACAAAAACCGTCAAATCAAGAATAAAACCACATTCGGCATATTACCGAATACTGATCTCGGTTTATCTACGGAACAGGAAATTGTAAATGATAAAACAGGTACAAATTCTTACTACGTATTATTTTTAACCCCTCGAAAAAACATGAAAAAAGTTACCTATACTTCTTTTCTCGTTTATTAGCTACTCCTTTTTGATGTTTTTGTAGTTATTTTACTATTACGTATATTCTTTATCTTTTAACATTTAAAGATCAATCTATATAATATTTAGCACGTAATGTTGGGAACATTCCAGCAACATTGGTAATGTTAAGGCAGTGTTCTCAATATTGTTGTAATTATAAAAATCATGATTAAAAGTTTTCACTGCAACAAATCTTACAATAATAAGAAGTAAAGATTTTGAAATTAAATTTTTTCTTCAGGTATTGTTTTTTAGTATAGATAATTGTTGAAAATTTTCGAATTATATTCCGGTTTGTTGTTTAATCCAATCTCGGAAATAAAGAACATCAGTGTAAACTCCAGGATATCCTTTCGTTCCACATTCGACACCCCATGAAACTAATCCAAGTTCCACTTTGTCCCTATTAATAAGTGGACCACCAGAATCGCCCTAAAAGTGATTTTAATTTTTTTTAAATATTAGCAACTAATTGTATATGTAGTATTATCAAATATGATGAATTTTTCATACTTGGCACTTATCGCGAACATTTGCTCCATTATTGTATCCATAACAAATTTCACCTTCTTTTAGTTTTAAGTTACCTTCTAAATATTTTTGTCTACATTGATTCAATTCTACTTTTGGTACAGAAACCGCACGCAATTTATCAGAACCCGGTCCACCTGGCTGTCAATTATTTCAAATAATTCTGATTTATTTTTACTTATTTTCAGTAATATATAATAAAAAATTATTAAAATAAAATATATTTTTTTAATTAGATTTAAAATTTTCGCATTTAATACATTTTTTTTATAATTAATTCTTACTTTAATGTGCCCCCATCCTGAAATTATGGCAGAATTTGTTTTCAATGCTAGACCTCGTTGTGGTAATCTAATTGGTTGAATTACGTTATTAAAAGTAAATGGTGGATTTACTTTAATTACAGCTATGTCGCCTCCAATTTTTCGATTATCATTACTTTTAACATAATAAGGATTTCGAGTAACCTTTATCACCTTATGTTGTTTTGCAGTTTTTGCTAAATTTTGTATATCAGTAGTACCAGCAATAACACTTATTTTGTTGTAATCTGTTTCTTCGCTGAAAGAAATTTTTTAGAATAACATAATTTTAGCTTTGCAACGATAAACATTTCGAATATTACAGTCAATGTAATTTTAACTTTCAGGAAACTTTCAGTTCTGTGAGGGATATCAAAAAATATTTTTAAAAATTGATTTGAAAAACTGCAAAAATAAAAAATATATTAAAATTACGAAAAATCTTACTTATCAAAGCAATGAGCGGCCGTAAGTCCCCATTCTCTGCTAATAATTGAAGCACCACAAGCGCTTATCAAATTACTACCTCTTCTTCCAACTTGAAGTCGGAGCTGTAAATAAATATTTTTTCATTTTCATCGTAATATTTTCTTTGCATTTTTTAATTATTTATTTTTATGTTTTTCTTTTATGTTAACGAAGAAAATATTAATCTTACCATATGAGGAAATCTTTCGATTGTAGTTTCACGTCCTCCTATTATTCTATTTTGTGCTAATACTGCTTCATAGTTTACTGGAATTATTCATTAAACAAAAAAGTATTTAATAATTTCATATGTATAAATATATTATAATAAATATAATTCACATATCTTTAAGAATTTTCTAATATTTAATATTTAAGAAATTTTTAAATTAGAAATATTTTTAAATGATAATGAATTCTAAAATTTATGTAAATTAGTTTTTAGCAAATGCTTTTTAATTTTTCTATTATTTCATTTATTATTATACTTATTTATTTAAAGATCAAAATCTTTTTAAAACAAATATGTATATTTTCAAACCAGCATGCTTGTATTGTATGCAACTGATACCTTCTCTATTTATTTAAGTACGAAATAAATATTACTTAATTTAAACAATAAATAATATTTAATAGGAAATGTTCCAAACTTACAAATAAGAAAGAAAATTGATAAAATACAGTACATCTTTTGAAAATAATAATTCATTGTTAATGAAATTCAATTAAATTCTTTGTCCAATAACGTCCAATAATAACTGGCGCCGAAAATGAAAGGAAAATAGTTTTTATAATAAAGTACAGGAACTCATATCGTCAAATAATTGTTATTTACGATATATCTATTTGCAACTTTTTCTATCACTTATGACGTCATAAGCTCTGTATACATATAATTACAATCATATATATACAGTTTATCTTTTTTGATGTACTAAGACGTGTGTATAATAATTGTAAAAAATAAATAAATTTATATTGTATAACTAAATTTCACTTCCTGTATTATTTAAAAAAATAATAATAAACTGTATCATTTATTTACATGTATAATTACACATGTAAATACATAGTTACACGAGGAAAAAAATATTACACTTATAAAAACTTTTCCTAGTGTATACCTACTTACACGTGTAATCACAAGTGATTATTTTTAATAGATTCCTTCTTTTTGTAAACCGTACTCTTTTAAGTCTTAAATTGAATTTATTGTATTCCAACCCTTAATAAGCAAAAATCGATGATATTTGGTGAAACTTCAATGTTTCTTAAGCAACAAGAAAATTTGGATTACCAAGATAATTACGAATCTACAGTCAGATTTTAAAAACCCACCCTCTGGGGTGGGACTAAAATAACGGTTTGTAGAACGTTTCATGTCCGCTACATAACGGCTTAAGAACATAAAACGTTTTTAAGACGTTATGTGGAGGACATTAAACGTTCTAAAAACTTTTTAGGAACGTTTTATATTAAGCCACGTTTTGTAATTGTTCATCAGAATATTAATTTTCACACATTCTACAATTCTGTTTTTCGTCTGATCGAAATAATTATAATTTTCCAAGTATTCTCGTATAGCACATTCATGACTTGCATTTACCAATGAAAATATTACTCATTAACGCTTACAAGTAATACAAGTTCTAAAGAAAATTATAATTAATTTAGCTTTCGATTTTTAAATACTAAGAATAACGTTTATTATTCCAGATTTGTAAATTTTACTTATTAAAAAGAAGAACCACTTAGAAGACTTATAACTTTAACTAAATGAAAAATAAACTTTTTCAGAATTCAAAAATATCGCGAGAAAAGTTAATTTAGCAATATAAATTAATAATTACCGCTCGCAAGATTTACGTGAATATAAAACAATAGTGCTTTAACAGATAACAAAAGGGCTACTCGATTAATGCTTATAAGACAGACACTATAACTTAAATTGAAACTGGTTTCATCTAGACGACAGTGGTTCTTTCTGGATTATAAACACTCGCATTCGTCCTAATGACTAATTTGTGATGATTGAAGTTCATAATAATTCTTAGGACTACCTTTTTGTAATTGAAACTGTGTGTAACAATTATTGATAGGTATTAATTAATTGATCTAGATTAGATTATTACAAATTTTCAAGTGACACTATATAGGAGAATAAAGAATTTCATTCACATGTTAAGTATAAATGACGTAAAAATTTAAAGAGTATGTCAGATTGCTAATATTTTGTGTTACGTCAAACAAACGTTTCATAATAATTATGTACATTTAGATTGATGATGTTGATAAAAATCAAAATACTTTTTAAAATTAATGAATGTTACATTAAACTATTTTCGTACTTTAAAATCGTTGGGAATTTTCTAGTTTCTTAAAAATACGTCTGTAATTTTTGTTATTGTAATTAATTACTTTTTCACTATTAAAACTATAGTCTAATTTCTGATTTATAAATAATTATGATATATTCAATATAGTAGATTAAAATTACTTTCTGACTTGAAATTTTTAAATTTGATATTTTATTCGCATAACAGTTAATCTGCTTACAGCTAATCTGCCTCTATAAAAGAAACCTTTAAATTCTCTATAAAACCTCTAAATTCATAAAGGATTTTCAATTTCGTAGTAAGCCTTTTGAATTTTTATAAATATTACGAAAGAGTTTCTCCAAAAAATTGTGATTTGAAACTTTTTTATTAGGGTAAACCAGACAGTAGTCGCGGCCACTTAAGTTGGATTCTATCAGATCGTGACAAAACTTTGCAATGGCTGCGAGAAATTGAGTTGATGCCTGAAAAGCAATACTGTACCAGACATAAGAAGTTCATGACTCTATGTGATCAAAATTTAGTCTGTGGTGAATTTCAATGTTACGAAAGAGGTAAGTACCATCATTCTAAGTTAGTGGCTGAGAATAGTTGGTTTGAAAATTGCTCAAGGACCTGTTGGGGGTGAAGGAATAGTAGTCGAAATTGATGAATATAAAATTAGGAGGCACAGACATGAACTCTGGAAAGTGGTGTAAGGATCGTGGATCTTGGCATTCATTGTGAAGTTGGTAGCTCTGTAAAGTATCAGATAGAAATCTGCCCTAAAATCAAGAGGGATAAAGAATCCTTTTTATTTTTGATAAAAAAACATGTTTTAGTAGGGACAGAGATTCATACCAACTGCTGGAAGGGCTACTTCGATTAAGAATCTCATGGATATGTGCACCAGACTAACGATTATTCCATAGAATTTGTTAATAGTAAAATAAGTGCAAATAGCAAAAAAAAAACCAAAAAAAGATTAAGAAGCAAAAAAAATTCACTTCTAAGATTTTTCTTCGACCTTCTCGTGGTGAAGTACGTGAGTATAGTTACTAATTTTTGAATATACCAAAACCAACGAAGAGAAAGTATCTCCGCAATTTTTTTTATCTTTTTCAAAAAATATTTAAGGGGTCATCAAAATATCGTATAATGGCATGAAGTGCGGAATTTACCAGTGATGACTCCCGACACATTATTATCAATGACCCAGTATGTCCTTGGACATGGATCCTTGGATAAAAAGATGTTTTCTGGGGAAGCACCTTCCATTAGAGTGTGGGTCACAATGAGGGAATTTACACCGATCATCTTAGAGCAAGGGTACGCCCACTTAAATGTTGTGACTTAGCTTATAAAGTAGGCATAAACTTATAAAAGTAAAAGGAGATGGCAATATAATATGTAATGCAAGCCAAGCCGTGTATTCTTGCATTAAGGGGAGGAGTTTGGTCAAACCGAGGGTTTTTTCCAAAAGTGTTTTTTCTAATATTATAATATATTTTGATTAACTAATATTTTTTTTACATAAAAAGGGAACATGTTGGGAAGGAAATTTAAACAAAACAAAATTAATTTAAATAATATACAAGACATAGTAGTGACAAGTCGAAGGGTCGTTAAAATCGGAGATTAATTTCTGAGATAATTTACATCAAATGCAATAATTTTACTATTAAAAAGAAGAAAGATGTACAGTTTCTTATAGTAATACCTATTTTCCTTCGCTTAATAAATTGAAATAATGCGGTTATAATTCATATTTCGATTGCTGGTCATTGACCCTATCTTCTGTATAACGCGAAAATTGTCAACGGGTGAGTCAGTTTGACTATAATCATTCGATTTAATATGTTTGTAATTTGTAAATTTAAATATTTTTCTTGTATTATGTTAATTTATTGACGCGATGTTTATTTTATTTATTTAAACTGCGTAAAAATTGTTTTTACTAAATATATTCATTTACATTTTTTGAAAATTCTGTAATTGCATTAGATGAGCAGTTTGAAATTGATTGAGCTTTGAATCAAAACTCACATTTAGTTAAGTGTATATTTTAAATTAAATAGAATAAAAGATTTATTAAAAGGTGATAAATTTATATTATTTAAATTATAAGATAATTATCTTTTTTTGTCCGTAAAATTAAGGATTTTTTAAAATAATTAATTAAAATTATAATAAAATATTTAATATTTTTTTATAATTCATTCAATACTAAACGAAATTTTAGAAGAGTTTTTTTGTGACATTTCTTTTACTCTTGTTTGCAGCTTCGTAAATTTTTCTTCAATCATGGTACGCAAGGGGTTACGTTTAGGTAGTACGGCATTATTATTTAAATATTTAAAACACTCTTGTGTCAATTCATTGTTGAAAAAATTTATGGTTAAATATTTTCTTCAAATACATTCAACCGTCATATCATCAAGTTTTTTCTGGATAAATGACTAAATAAGAATGAAAATGAAAAAAAATTTCTTATACAATTAAAAAACGTTAAAACATTTTTTTTTAGTTGCTGATTAGAATTTATCACCGCATCATTTTAATTTAATTCATAATGTTTCAGAATTAATAAAATATAAATAAATAAAATAAATGCTTTTATTGAAAAGCATATTTATTAAAAGTTAAGCATTTTGTTATCTCTTGTATTAATAAGCCTCACTATAAAAAAAGTTTTTTTTAATGCTTTATTATTATACTTTCATATTTTAGCATTAAAAAATTATTTTTTCATTTAAATATATAAATTGTTTTTTTAATTTAATTATAAAGTTTAATTGTTACTTCTGACGTAGTTGGCGACTTATCTGAAAAAGCCTTTACGAAATATTCCTTGTGATACAACTTAAGATGTCTATTTGTCAGTATTTTGAATTAAATGTAAATTATTTACCTTGAAGCAAGTCTTTTTCTAGAATTAGAACTGTCAAAATTTTCTTCCGTCATTGTAAACTATAAATTTTAATCTTCTAATATAAATGAATGAATGATATTTCCTTTTTTAAAATTTTTGGAAACAATCAATATGAAGTGAGAGGATTGAAAATCTCGTATTGATATGCATCACAACGTTGATCATTTATGATTAATTTTTCATAATTTCTATAAGTTATACTTCTTTTAGTTCTGGAATCAAAAATTTTAATCAAACTTTTTCTCTGTCAGTCTTAATGTCCTACTATGGATATGGATATAGTTCTATTAACTATAAGGTTTATGGTAATTATATTCTATATTATATTCTTTAAAATAGCGTTTAATTGTATAAACAATATAATACAATAATAGTAACAGTTTTTCAGTTTTTTTTCAGCTTTTCAATGAAAAACTAAAAAATATAATTTAACAGGGAATTTTTAGGAAAAAGCGGACATTTTTGTCCGTGCGTCACGACATAAAAAATAGTATATATATCTTTGATACATTATGCCGTAAAATTTAAATTGAGCATTTGTTTATATTTCTTAATGCATCATAATTAAAAAAATTTACTTTAATAATATTTAGAAAAAAAGTTAAGATACAGCCTATTTAATCATAGTGACGCACGGACACTTTTTCGTGTAAATGCCCAGTTATATATTATGTATAATATATTATTATAATTTTAAATATCGACTAAATTATTATTTTTATAGAAATTAAGATTTTCAAGAATTTCAAATTCAATAAGATATAAGAATATTATTATAAAACTTGAGAACTATCATTATTTTATATTATAAAAATATTGTTACTGTAATTTCTTCAAAATTATTTTCATTTTAATTCAATTCTTCATTTCTAGAATTTTTAACTAAACTTCTTCTTTAAATCAATTTTTTAAAAATAATTTTTGAAAAAGTTCTTTGAGAATTTTCATATCCTTTTGTTTACAATTTAATTTTACATAATTTCGATTATTCTGACATTCTTCAATTAAATATATAATTATAGAAAATAAAAACTTCAAGAATATTAAAATAAAAATTTAATTACTTTTTAAAAAAAAATAATTCTATATACAGAATTGTTACCCAGGTGCGAATTTAGGTTGGCCGCCAGAGTTTGAAGGTTGGCCCAAGGTTGGCCTAACTTTGGCAAGCAAAGTTTTGGTTGCCAGAGTTTGCCCAACTTTGGCAAGTACTTGTGCCCACAGTTGACCCAACTTTGCAAGCCAACCATTAAATGCAGAGTTTAACCAACCGTCGGGCCAACTTTGGCGACAAAGGTTGGCACAACTTATCCAAACGTAGTTTAAAAGACTTTCAGTTTCGGTTGGCCGAACTCTGGGCCACGGTTGGCCCGACGGTTGGCAAAACTATGTGAAACGCAGTTTAATTGATTTAAACTTACTTGGTTGGCCGAACTCTGGGCCACGGTTGGCCCGACGGTGGGCAAAACTTTGTGAAACGCAGTTTAATTGACTTGATTTTTCTTGGTTGGCCGAACTCTGGGCAACGGTTGGCCCGACGGTGGGCAAAACTCTAGAAACGCAGTTTAAATGACTTGATTTTTCTTGGTTGGCCGAACTCTGGGCCACGGTTGGCCCAACGGTTGGCAAAACTTTGTCAAATGCGGTTTAAATGACTTAAACTTTCTTGGTTGGCCGAACTCTGGGCCACGGTTGGCCCGACTGTTGCAGCTTAAATATACATTTTGCGTTATGCACTCCCATGTGAGCGTAGCGTAGTGGCCAGTGTTTAAGTCTTCGGTGCGTTAGGTTAGGGGTTCGATCCCAGCGAGCGATAGATATTTTCGAAAATGTATGTATGAGATTGTGTTTAATAATAATAGGTAAAGGTTATATCTGATGTTCCCGCTAATAATAACCTGTTAATTGTTTAAATAATGTAGTTTTTTAATAATTTTTTACCTTTGGCTGTTGAAGTTGGCCAAACTTTGAAAATTGTGGTTGGCCCAACTTACGCATCTAAAGTTGTGCCAACTTTGGCGTCAGTCTTTGGACCAACCATTGAAATGTATAGTTGGCACAACATATGCATTGTAAGTTGGGCCAACTTCCTTATGAGTTGTCGGGCCAACCATCGTCGCCATTAGACGGTCGCCGTTATCATCTGTATGGTTGGCCCAACCTCTGGCACGAGAAGTTGGACCGACTTTGTAAAAGTTGGCCCAACTATGGGCCGACCAAAAAATCGCACCTGGGTAATTGAAAGTAAGAAAAATTCAAATTTTCAAAGATTTTATTTGAAACCTTTTCAAAATTCAATTATTTCTTAAAATTTACGCTATATTGCTTTCAATATTCAATAATAATCTAAAATTTTAATTGAAATTCATGTTTAAATCAATATTTACTGGCAAAATCCACGAGAATTCAATTATTTAAATACAAAAATAAATATTTTTATTAATAATTAAATGTTTCTTAAAATTGAATTTTCATAAAGAATTTTATAAACAAATTTTTAAATAATTGAATTCTCTTGACAAATTTTAATAAATTTTTTAAGAATAAGTTCATTTTTCGGAAATTTGATTAAAATTTGATTAAAAATAATTACTCCAAAGAATTTTATAAGAGTTTTTGAAAATAATTGAAATTTTGCAAATAATTTTATTAAAATTTTTGAAAATAATTGAAATTTTGCCAAGAATTTTATTAAAATTTTTGAAAACAATTGAATTTCGGAGAAAAATTTATAAAGAATATTGAAATTTTGACGAGAATTTTTGTAAATTGTAGAACACAATTAAATTTCTGCGAGGAATTATATTATAATATTTTTGAAAATAATTGAATTCTTGAGACGAATTTTATTAAAATATCTTTTTAAATAATTGAATTCTTTTATGAAATTTTATTGAAATAGTAGACATTAAAAATAATAAATTTAATTTTGACAAATTTTTGAAATTATTAAAATTTTTACGAAGAATTTTATTAAAATTTTGTTTAAATAATTGAATTCTTTTGGAAAAATTTATTAAATTAGTAGATTCATTAAAAATCATTGAATTGAGGAAAGTTTTTGAAAAATAATATTGAATTTCTAAAAAGAATTTTACTACTTTTGAAAATAATTGAATTTCTGCAATTGAATATTTGTAATTTTGCTTTAAAATTTGCTGTAAAAAAAAGTGGCCCCAAGGTGGCCACAATTCAAAAATTCACTAAAAAATTTAAAAAATAGTTGCAAAAATCAATTTAAGATAATTTTATTTGAAATGTATTTTGGCTTATAATTACAGAATCAATAGTTGCAAACTCTGTTTTTTGCTTATAAGAAGCCATTCTAAAATATTGTTAATTATTTATCCTATTTCATACATTAAACACTAAATTATTTTATTATTCATCATAAAATTTTACAAATCGATAAAATTTACATTTTCTATAATATATTTTGATAAATATTACATCGTAAAAAAATTCAAAAGTGATTTTACATAAAAACGCATTGTGGCCACTTTTAGGGCCAGGACGACATTTTTTGAAAGTTATAAAAAAATTGTATAACACATAATTTTATAGACATTCATTTATTAGTTAAATTCAAGAAAGTCAGTCTTTTTGTTACATTACAGAGAATTTGTTTAAATAAATAAAAAATTGTTATTAAAGAAAATTCAGACGTTATGGAGATAGTGCAACAGATTTTAATTTAGCGACTAAAAATGCTTTAGGAATGCATAGTCCGGTTCACTGAGCCGAAGAAAAAAAAATTGTGGTCCTGTGTTTATCTAATATCGTAAGTCATATGCCAGTACCCCAATAGTCACTTTCTTGATCTTTTGCTCACATGAACATTAATTAGTAAAGCGTAATTTTAACAATGATTCATCACTATCATTTAATACAGGATAATAAAAGCGTACTTTTCGTCGTTTTCACGAAAAGTCATAAGTGTTATATTGGTAAGAAGATGACTTACTTCCCACTGAAACGATTTGTCATTAATTTAGATAATTAACCTTTCTACTCGTATAAGTTTTAGTGTCATAATACGCAAAACTGTATGAGAAACCTTTATATACACATCTTTGAAGCATATGCACTTTTAATTATTTTTTAGCCGATACCTAAAATTTATTTTTTAAGATGTTTCAAAGAATCTATAGAAAGTAAACGCTTTTTAATACTTAATAAAGAAACTTTGTTATGCTCTTAATAAACACTATACACTCAAGTTAGTGGAATCTCTTAACTTTGAGTAATAAAAAAATTATTGTCCACTGAACCATATATAATTTGTCGCGTTCTCACAACCATATTGAAGTGTTAATGTTGACAGGAGAGGACGTCTACCAAAGTGACATAGTGGAAGGGGTACACATCGTATAAAGGCGTACATGACAATTAAAATGATCAGTCTTAAAATTCTTCTTAATCTATCGAGCATTCCGAGTTCATTTTTGATATATGTGTGTTGGATCACATCGGCAACTGAAATTTTTAAGTCATTACAAATTTTTTTTTTTTTGCTTTAGTGCGTTTTATAATTCAGGAAATTGGTCGTTATTAAGTTTGTTTTTAACGGCGCGAAAAATACATTTTAAAGTAATAAAAACGAAAATTTTCAAAAAAGAAATTTTATCAGATTGCATTTATGCGTTACGTCAGGAAAACCATAAAAATTATTCAATTACAATTTCGTACCTTTTTATTAACTTTAAATCACCACGTGAATTCGGTTGAGTTATTCAATTGTCCTTTCATTAAAAAGTGTATTCGGATAAATTATCAATAATATTAAGAGACAATATTTAAGGTAAGTTGAAAAATAATTTTCTTTTTTTTATGCTTGCTTTTATTGAATTTTTAAAAAAAAATTTTAATTGACAAATGTTATTTTTAAAAACAATACTTAAAAATAAAAGTGGTACTTGCTTTTTAATTTTTTTAAAAACATTTAAAAAAAATTTTTTTTTTTTGGTAAAAGTTTTATATTTGTTAACAATTTTTATAAAAACCAAATTACTTTTTTCTCATAAGATTATTTTATTATCACTATATATAATTAACTGCAATGAAAATATTTTCTTTTCTTTTTAAATAAGATTTTTTCATAAATATTTTATAGTTATCATCGTTATCATATATAGTATATTAGTGATGCATTTGAGAAACTCCTTTCATTAAAGAAAAAAGACAGAACTTGGGTATTCATTTGTTTTCCATGTATTTTTGAAGAGATTCTCGTTTTTTTCCCGAGTGATTTATTGCTCGAATGCAACACTACCTTGAGAAATAAAAAATTGTAAATATTACATTTTTATACTTATCTCTAGTTCCATAAGAGCTAAAGAAATAAATTTCTTTAAATATCAGATCTTATAGGGAGATAAAAAATTAGTAGCGTTTGAACCTCATTCATCAAGTTTAACAATTTTTGCTTTTTAAAATTTTTCAAAAAACCCTTTTGTAAATATTTTTAAAATAATGTTAAGAGACGTATATATTTTTTTTCTTTAATTTTCTAGCATCTTTCAAGACAAAACTTTTGACTCCATTATTGGACATTTTTCGAAAAGTTCCTTTTCGTAATTATTCGGCATTAAATTACCATTTAATTTAATTTAATTAAAATTTTTTTTTTAAAGCTTTTCGATATTGAAATGTAATAATGTACAGCAATAATGCAATTTTTTTTATGAAAAAGTAAAGTGTTCATAAAATAAACACAAAAATGTCAGTTTTCAGGGGGTAAAAATGTAAAATCTTAGAGGTTTTTTGTCTAGTGTTTTAGATAAAGAACCTAATTTTTATAAAATTGGTTATTTACATCATAAATATTATATCAATATATTTTTATTTAATTTTTGTAAAAACTGAATTCTACCTAATTATTGCTTATTTTTTCAAGGAAAATAAAATGCAAGTGTGCATAAATTATGTAAAAGTTTCATGTAACAAATGTTAATATAAATTTATTGTTATTTTTCGATCCCAAAGATTGATAGAATGATAATGAATGATATAATGTTCACATGAAAATTTATTCTTATTATTGTACTCTTTTCTTTCAATATAATTTTATAAAAGCAGAGAGTGTCATTCACTGGAGCATACATTTTAATTGCTTCAAATTGTCTGAAATGTGATGACAATCATTTCGAGTTTGAGCAATACCCATGAAGCTTGTAAAATCTTATTATCTTCCTGACGCAAATTACATTCTCTATTATTTTGTTGTGAATGAAAGAAATTATAGTTGATAACTATTTAATCTGACATACGCTTATATATATATCATGTTATACAACCATAAAATTCATTTTAAATTATAGTCTTATATAAAAATTATATTGAAATAATATTGTTCCCAAATAAATATAATCTGAAAAAGTAGTATTATTTGAAAATAGTTAAAAAATTTTATTTTTCTCAATGTAGTTCTAAATTAGTTCTAAATTAGTGAGAAATAATGTATCACATTAAGTAACAGAGAAAGATTTATTAATGTTAGTATTTATTATTGTCTTTTGGAAAGAAAATGATCTTTTTATTTATTATTTATTAATTCCAGTAAGTAAATTTACACTTTTGAAATTTTAGAATTTAGTAATCTAGTTTCATCCGCTTTAGGCTGGTAATTATATTGCAATGAAAACTAGTTTTCGATATTCTTCAGTGTATATGTATATATGTAAATTAGCATATGAAGGCATATAAAAGATTACCTGATATAGGAAAAAGAATATTAATTTATTCATTTAGATTAGTCACTTGATGTCTGGGGAATCACTTTTCCCAAAGTTGTTATAATTTTCGGTTCTTTAATTCGTTCGGAAAATGACATTTATATGAAGTGTTTATACATTTATATGAAGCAATGAAGACGAATTGTATGTCCACTCTTTTTGATGAACAGAACACATTTTCTCCTATATGACTCATATATCAAACATTGATCTTTATTGGACATTTTTCATAATGTACATTATATCAACAATAACTAACAATAATGCATAATAATTGACGCAAACGTTCATTTATCAGAGTCTTTAAATGTAGTTGAAACTTTCAATCACCTTCTATTCGATCAGGGTTATTATAGGTGTCAAGTGCAAGGATCAAATAGTTTATTGATAAACAAGGCCATAATTTTCAATTTTTCATACGAAAGCTCGTACATGAAACACACAAAAATTACATAATTAAGTCAAATTAAATAGAAGATCATTAAAGTTTTTTGTAATTCCATATTTAATGAATAGAAATATTAAAAAAAATCACATAATTGCGTAGTTTTTATATCGATTATCTTATCAGCATTACCTTCATTTTTTCAAGGTTGATAAATTTTTCAAATTTATTTCCTTAATTTCTAATTTTCTATCAGCGCCGGAATCAGATCAGAAATCCCAATGTATTTAAAACTTTTCAATTAACCGAATTTTTATTTTCCCTTTCTGTCTATAATTTTTTGCATCCAACTTATGACAAAAAGAATCCGATACAGATTATAACAGCGTGGAAATCATACTGATTATCACAATACTATTTAAAAAATCCAAATTATTGAGAAAGTGTAATTTCATACCCTTCTACTTAACTCAGTAGAATTATGTCTCAAAGAACTAAAACTGTTTATGTTAAGAGATAAAATTTATTCAAGTCTGGTCAGAAACTGAAACTTCTTTATTAATCATGTATATCAGAGTACATTACTCCAAACCCAATATAAATATAAGTATTTTAAGTATTTCAAATTATAATACACTTTTGAAAAATTAAAATTAACAAAAATTCATCACTCAAATCACGTTCATACAATGTGATTCAAATTTCTACTATTCAAATCTCTACTAAATTAGTGAAAATAAAATGATTGACTATAGTGTATATGCACTATATGTACTTAGAAATAGTGCTGTACGCTTATCACTGATACAAATTAAGAGAGCACGTGATCAGAAAGTTAATTGCTATATGTATATATGTTTTTATGGCTTATAGTTAGAAAAGAGAAGAACAACACAATCTAGTTAAATTAATGGTTATTCATTCAATTACCCTCTTAATTTGAATCAATGATATCACTTATTCAAATCAGTGCATATAAACTAGTAAATTAATGTACATGCAGGAGTAAATTTTACTAGGTGTTTAGTTGTAATTGTAACCCACACAGCACCGAAACTTTCCTAAAAATTTATTAAAGATTCACTTGCAAACTTCGAAGCATTTACTTGCAAAGTTTAGTAAAAATTGTTAAAAGATTTAAATGTCCCACGTCAATAAATGTTTATCGTCAAATTTACCTGAAAATTTAAAAAAAAATTCGCCCACTGTATATTATGCGAAAATTTAATTTAAATTTTCAGGAAAGTTTTAAAGCTACATTTTCACTTATACGAGAAAAGTCGAAAATTTAATTTAAATGTTCAGGAAAGTTTTAAGCTAAATTTTTAGGAAAATTTGACAATAAAAATTTATTGAAGTGGGACATGAATTAATGCTTTTCGTATTGATGCATAATAAAAATATTAATAATAATTGAAACTTACAAAAATTAAAATTAAATTTTGTTTTCTATAATTTGACATAAACATGTTGGGTAATAGGAACTCGCAGAATCAAAAATGATTACTAGCAATTAGATTGTATTGGGCTATGCATGAGAAGGCCAAATCATCAATTCAGATGTAAGTCTGTAATTTACAAAAAAAAATGTCAATGAACTCATAATTTCTCCATCTGAAATTTACTAAATGAAACAACCAATAGTGTTTAAATCTGCAATTTTACTAACAAGTAGTAAAATTTCGTTAAATGTTAGTAATTTTCATGCAAATTTCTCAATTTTTCTCCGATTGACTTGAAATATTTTATACAATATTCTTGATTTATTAATTCTTTTAAAAAATTAAAGAAAAACATTTATAGGTGTCATAAAATTTATTAGAAAATTATTAGCAAAAAACGGTTTTTTCAAATTTTTTAAAAACTTGTTACTCAGGAGTTTTTGGGGTCGCTAATTAAGAATCTGAAGTCATTTTTAAAACATTCAAAATGGAGGATCCAATATGTCAGACAAAATTCAAATTTGATCATATTCGCTTAAAACTTATTACTCGGGGGTTTTTGGGGGTTGCTTATTACGAATCTGATGTCACTTTTAAGAAAATCTACAAGCATGTTAATCTATAATGAAATAATTTATTATGAAATAATATAAAATAATATATTATATTGATAAATTTTAGATCCAACGTAAATAATTTATTATTTTTATGAGTTTTAGACGAATTGCATCAAATTTGAAATTTTTTTCAGCTATATTGGATCTGCCATTTTTAATTCATAAAAAATGACTTCAGATTCTTAATTAGCGACCCCAAAAACCCACGAGTAACAATTTTTAAGGGAATTGCATCATATTTTAATTTTGTCCGCCATATTGGATCCGCCATTTTGAATATTTTAAAAATGACTTTAAATTCGTAATCAGAGACCCCAAAAAGCCCCCGAGTAACAAGTTTTAAGCGAAACTGATCAAATTTGAAAATTTTGAAACATTCTCTTCGTTTTGTTTGTTAGAATCTATTTATTACGCTATTTTGTCTTAAAAAAAATTTTTTGTTTTTAAAATTTCAATAATTTCGTAATTTTTCATCGAACAAGGTTCGAAAATAATCCAGTCGAAGCGTTCTTTTAATGCTCTAAAGGTTGATTTTGAGAATTTGAAAATTACATCTACATTTTTAAATAAAAGTTCGAAAATATAGTCTTATTTTTCAAAATTGCAGATTTTTAAAAGTTTAACTCTTTCTTTAAAGTGCCATTTTTAAACTCAATAAGTTACAATTGCAGAATAGAAAAAATGAAAAAATTCGTTAATTAAAATTTTAATACTTAAATCTATAATAAAAGCTTCCTTCAAAACTACTTCATTAGACGTGTTTGCTAATTTAATTTAATCTTACTAAAATCAAATTGTTTATTGTATTTGTTTATAAACATTACTGAATTTAAATAAATTAATTCCAGAATTTCAAAGATGAGATTGCGGCTCTTTATATTGTTTCTGGCGCTTTCTGCCTCGTCAGCGGAGCAACGAGTGAAAAAAATGGAAGATGAAGAATGCCTCAAGGAACATCCTAGTTTATTAAATTATTTTTCATGGGAAGATTATGCTGTATTGTCTGCGATGTTAATCATATCATGCCTAATTGGTACATTTTATGGATTTTTCTCAAAGAAACAAGAAACCAGTGATGACTTTTTATTAGGAGGTTCCAGTATGGGAACTTTTCCAATGGCGATGTCATTGGCTGCAAGTTTTATTACTGCCATTGAATTGCTCGGCAATCCTGCCGAAATGTATACACACGTAAATAATTTTTTTCATATGCGAACCAACTTAAATAAAAACTTTTGATGAATGATATTGACAATATACCAAAAGATGCCTTTTTTACTGAAATTCTAAAAAAGCAATTTTGAAAAATGTTTTCAGAAAGAAAACTACTTAGCAAAAAGTTAATAAATCTTCTGTTTCGGTTTCAAATCGTTAATGTCATTCAAAAGAGTTTTTCAAAGCTTTATTTGAAATTAATAATAAATTTATTTACAGGGCACTCAGTTTTGGATGACGTGTCTAGCATTCATTCTGGTTGTTCCCATAACATCTCAGTTATATTTGCCAGTTTACATGAAACTCAGATTGACTTCAAGTTACGAATATTTAAATTTACGCTTTAATCGACACTGCAGACTTTTAGCGAGTATTCTTTATATGTTCCAAATGATTTTGTATACTTCAGTGGCTGTCTACGCACCAGCGCTAGCATTGAGTCATGGTAAGTTAAATATTAAAACACAAAAAGAAATTTTTTCAATGCTATGCTTTTAATAAAACATTTTTCAAAATGTAAATCGATATTTACTTTCTTCCAGACAATTTTTTTTGTATTAAAATTCATTATTTAATAACAAATTTTTTCCTTTTGAAAATGTACTTTTAAATGTACTTTTTAATTTACTTTTTAATTTACTTTTAAATTTACTTTTAAATTTACTTATAAATATAAAAACTGTTTTGATATACAAATTAGTTTATAAACATGTTGGTTTGTCTGCTTCTTCTTGACTTTTTTATTTTTTCATATTTAACAGGCATTTCTTTTTAATGCACTCCTTAAGCTACTAGTTGAAACCAGATGAATCTGGATAAAAGGATATGATGAATGGAGGAGGGGTTATTGATAAAATGATGAGAATTATTGATTATTTCTCTTCTCCTTAACAATTTTTAAAAAATAAAAAGAAACGGCATAATATTAATTTAAAATGACGTTGATTGCGGTCCAAAGTATTAATCAATAGACATTAAATAAAAAGTATTACGCAATAGTTTATTAATTACTAGGTGGTAAATAATTGAATGAATGAGGAAACAAAATAATAAATTAAATACTCTACGTGAATATAAGATAACTCAATTGCGAATTTTCCTTTCAAGAAAACTTAAAATTTATGTCTTATGTTTGAAATAATAGAATTAATTACTGATTTATCCGTTTCAAATCTAATCCAAAGTTTTATATCAATAAAACCACAAACGTAACAAAATTTTATTAGTCATCATACATATTCTCATGTTTCTTAAAAAAACATGTCTATTTTTTAAAAATTTTAAAGTTTAACCTATCATTTAGACAAACAACTTTAAGTATACAGAATTTAAAATAACTTTACTTGAAAATATGATTATATTATACTGAACTAAAATCAAGATATCTTAGATTTTTGATTTCTTGTTTAACTCTATTTTTAATATTTTATTTACAGTTTTTATTAATTTAATTTGTATATCAACATCATCCACTAACTTTAGTACATTTTTTAAAAGTACATTCTTTTTTTATTACTTTATAGAGCAAAGTTATTAATTTAACTTCATTGTTAAAATAGATTAGGAGTTTTAATTATATAGCTTTCAGTTATTTGTTTTCAATATCGCTTTCGTACTATATATGATTCTATTAACTCAAAATTTAAAGAAGACGATTAAACTTCTGAATTAAAATATATACTACATTAAAATTAATATAGAATTTAATAAAATTTGAAGTTCTCACAAATTAATATTATAAATACTTATTTATTTTGTTTCAGTTACAGCTTTAAATACTTATATTGCTGTTACTCTAGTCTATGTAGTGTGCATTTTTTACGCATCCCAGGTAGGTTTAAATTAATTTTACAAAATTATTGTCCTTAGACTTAGTTACAATAATTAAACCTTTTAAAATAATATCTGTAACAAATGTTATAATTCAAAGCTATTTATATAAAGTCACAAAACACGTTAGGTCAGCAACCGTTTGAAAATTTTTTCACCTTTATTTAAACTTTATACTTATTGACAATATTTGGCACATTTCATCTACACTATTAGCACTACGTCACTACATCAAAATTTTAATAAATTTGGTGGAAAAGGTCCAATTGAGTGCTCACTTGGCGTGTTTTGACTCCTAATCATCATGATAAGTTAAATTTTAAATTATTAAGTAAAAATTTTTTTTTTATAGGGTGGTATGAAAGCTGTTATAATGACAGACACTTTTCAAGCTGCAGTTCTTATGGGTTCCTTATTTCTAATTGCTGGCTTAGGTGTATCCTGGGCTGGAGGATTTTCTTTAGTGTGGAATGATAATCTTCAGTCTGGAAGAATTGAGATTTTTAACCTTGACCCATCACCCACTGTCAGACACAGTTTTTGGAGTGTTGTAGTGGGTGGAACTTTTTATTGGGCTACTATGTTTTGCAGTAATCAAGCCTCTATTCAGAAGTACCTCAGTGTCGAAAGTATTAGTCAAGTTAGGAAGTATGTGCAGTTTTGAAAATTTGTTTTACTTAAAATTTTATTTAAAATTTGTTTTTCTAATTATCTTAATCATTTTTTAGATCAAAAGTCTACTGATTTGAAATTTTAATGAAAATTTTATTTTAGAGCGTTATGGGTGTCCTCATTGGGATTAATATTAATTTACACAATAAATTTTCTGACTGGAATGGTTTTGTACTCCGTTTACAAAAATTGTGATCCATTACAAGCGGGACAAATCACAGGCCAGGATCAGTTACTTCCGTTATACGTAATGAATTTCATGGGAAATTTGAAAGGAGTACCTGGCTTTTTTGTTGCTGGTATATTTGCCGCTTCACTGGGGTTAGTATTTCTAATTTATGTTTGATACTTATTAAAAACTGAAAGATTTGGTAGTTTCATAGAAAATAAAAGAATATTTTCCTTTCTTACAGAACTGTAGCTAGTGCCCTTAATTCACTTTCTGCCATTACATTTGAAGATATTTTTCAAGGATTATTCAATATCACATTACCAGCTAGTAAGGGGGCACTTTATGCTAAATGGATTAGTATATTCTTCGGAGCTTTAAGCTTCGCTTTAGTATTTGTAGTGGAACGACTCGGTGGTGTACTTGAGGTAATTATTTTTATGAATATATTATTAATATTTAATTTTGATAAACTTTATAGTTTATACTGCTACATCTAATGAAAATAACAATCAATACCAAATGAGTTGTAAAGTGAATAGCATAACTTAATTTCTTTTACTTAGGTTGCTTTATCGTTCAACGGGATGGTTGGCGGTGTAACTCTTGGACTATTTTCTCTGGGGATGTTTGTTCCTTGGGCCAATGCAAAAGGAGCTATGGTCGGAGCAATTACAGGTATAGCTTTAGTAGGATGGATTGGATTGGGAGCACAGATTGCTACAATAAAAGGAGAAATTCATTTGGAAGGAAAACCAATATCAATTGATGAATGTCCTTGTGGCAATGAAACCATGTCGAATTTGATGCATTCTGTGGATTCTTCATCAGAAGTTTGGTCCATATACAGAGTAAGATTAAATTATTTATTTCATTTCTGGGTATAAAGAGAACCAGACATTTTTATTTTATTAGTCACTACTGATATAGCAATTATTTATGTTAAATCATTCTTTTTAGATAAGTTACCTATGGTACAGTGCAATCGGTTGTCTAGTGACAGTTTTTGTAGGAATTCTTGTAAGTTACGTAACTGGTTTTCAAGATCCAGCTGAATTAAATTACGACCTACTTAGTCCTCCAGTAAGGCACATTTTGGGACCTCCTACAAAGCCAAGAAAAGTCAGCCAAATTCAAGGAATTACAAATTTAGCCCTGGAAATGAATGACGAGAAAATACAGATAGAGAATGAAAAGAAAACTAGATTGTGATAAAATTTAAATCACTTGATTCAGACTCATGCTGAGATATGAGAAATTCATGTCTGAAAATTTTCACGTTCAATTATCAGTATTTTATATTAGAATCTTAAAGTACATTTTCTTACATCGAAACATAAAAAAGAAAGTAATTTATAAATGAATTATTTTCTTTGACAATTTATTGAAAGGATATTTTTTACTCCACAGACACGAACATTGCATTTTAAATAGCTGCTAACAGGGAGTGATCTTTGTTTTACAAGTGTTCTGTTTGCCTTAGGTCGAATATTTAAATTTAATCTGGTTTCGAAAGATCCTAATGAAAGTGTCCTTAGTAGATTTTTTCTTCAAAATTCCACAATTTTAATTTGATGAAATTTCTGTAAAAAACTATTATTAGTTTCGAGTAAATCTACATGAGGTATCTTATGGACTTGACTCTGACACGAAGCTTTTGACTTGCTTTACCTCATGATGAAAATGTCGATGTACTTTTTACAAGATTCTTTTAAGAATATTTAATTTATTCTCTCTTAAAGTTGTCTTAAGAGTTTTAGAAGGTCTTTGAAATTTTTTCATTATAAGATCTCTAATTATTGCCTAACAGAAACAGTATTGATAGACTTCAAGAGGAGTTTTACAGACACTTTTATCATTGGTATTGGCTTAGCAATTTTTCGTCATTTGAACTACTTACTACCATTTCTGTTGGACGAAAATCAGAGTTTTTAAATAACCAAAAAATTTCAGAGACATTTGAACACTCTTGAGTGTTCCTAAATTATATAAAACTTGCGTTATTGTACAGTAAAAATTACTGTTTGTAGACGTGTCGTCAGTATTTATTATTTATAATATTAAAAAAAATAACTTGCTTCTGTGAATTACCTACCCTTTATAGTATTTTGACGCTAAAATGAAGGAAGAATTCAAAATACTTTAAATCATAATAATCATAGAAAAGTTCCTTCTTTTTTCATACATAAGTAATCTTTGTAACACATTCTCTATCATTGTAGAATAATATCTACACGATATTACGTACCAGTATATGATATTTTACATTTCTACACAAATACTTAATTAAATTAAATAGTACACAGAAATAAAGCATTTTAGGCGAAAGCAATATACTGAGCTGTAAATATTACATATACTCACATTAGACGGAGAATTTCTTAAAACTTGAAATTAATTTGCTAATTTCAACTTTTTTTTACCAATAAAACCCATTTTTGGATTTTACTAAATTTGTAATTTGAACTATAAAAATTGTTGGCGAATTAAATAAAATATAGAATCGGATAAGTTGTGCCACAAAAAATCCACTTTTTTTTGTTTCATCGGTATTTACCTCATTAAAACTTCATCTTGCAAGATAATTTGAAGTTTAAATTCTCAGTGCAATGTGGGACAACAAATGAATAAGTTACTAAATGAAAATTGTTATGTATATAAGATTTATTGAAATAAGAATCATGTATAAACATAATTAAACGATTTATGCAAGAAGACAAGAGACAGAAGAGGCAATTGGAGAGCACATAATCAAAAAGATAGCATGTTTAACGAAATACATTTTAATTCTGACTCACCGCTAAACTACAAAAAAAATGATATAAGGCTTCTGTCTCTTTTTTCTCTCGTATACGGAAAAACGGTCGTCTGCTCACTAATAAATTAATTTTTGAATCTGACATTAATAATCACCTGAAGATAAAAAAATTTCTTTTCTAAACATTGTTTAAGAAAATTTATACAGCAATATTGTCTTTATAAATATTTAAACAGTCAAAACTACTTTAACCCAAATATCACAATATTTGAACTTATTGTTGGGCTCAAATGTGCTACTTGGGAAGCTTTTAATTTTTATATATTTCAACTTGAATTTAAGGGCTAAAAATTATAAAAACAAAAATACATTTTTGAAAATATTACTGTACGTCTTCAGACAAATATTAGTGGATTGACCGAACAAAGTATTAATAAGTTTTCATTCCTAATTATATTAAGCATTGTTAAAATTTGTATATAGTTTTTAATATAAAGCCATTTGGATATCTATTTTATTAAAATATGTTCCTATTTGTTGTGCATATAGAAGTATATCTTTTATGTAAACATTGTACAACTGATAGCACTGAGTACTTATTATGAGTTTTGTAAGTAGTACTTTATTGTAATAAAACATGCAGAAATATGTTATTATTTAATTATATTAATTTAATTTAACCATTTACCTTATCGTTGCTAATAATAAAGTTAGGAACAGGACATCATCAATGCAGGTCAAAATGTCTTAAACATTCGACTAATTTTGAATGGTATTCTACGGTTAACATCCATAAAGATTCCCGAAACGTTACGAGCCTTAAAGGAAATTAAAACAATTATTCGTCATTGGTGTTGAATTACGAGATTAACAGAGTGATCAAGGCAGAGTAGAAATTTTGAATAAGGGCTCTTTTCTGTTAATCTACTTTGAAAAGAATTGTGTTCACCTGTAATAACTGTCGCGTGATCGGTAGCTAGACCAACCATATTTCTCAAAGGTATGTATTTTTTTCTAAAGCTTTCAACAGCTCTAATATCTAACTAAAATTGGTAACCACTTTTCATGACTTATGTCACTGGCCTCATCTACACAAATCGAAAAAGGAGTTTCAATTTTCCTCAACGGTTGACAGATTATCATTCGCGATGGCAGTCATTTTCGTCCAGTCCAATATAATAGCTTTCAACACTATCGGATCTATAACCTGAAAAAGTTGAATTAATTCTGAATGTGCCCTGAAAGGAATATTATGTTCTATAAACAAAGCTGTTAATCTAATTTCCGCTTCTTTAACTTTTTCATGAATATTTAACGATTTAAAAAAATTTGAATTTGAAGAAATTTTTAGATTAAATTTTTTCATTTTCTATTAAATCTACCTTATTACCAGTTACTGCAACTTTCTGATCATTTTCAGAATGGGTAATGAGAGGTAGTGTATGCGGTAACTCTCTTAAACAATCATAAACAATATTCATCTACATTTTCATTATACCATCATGAGATGCATTAGATACTTTTTTCTTAGTAACTTCAATTCCAGAATCATCCATATCTTCATGACATGATATCATTTTAGTAAAAATCACTTTCTTCAATTGTCAATTTCTAAAATTTTTAAAATTAATAAACAAAGTTGGTGACTACTTTGTTCGAAATTTTTTATTTTTTAAGAAAAATTAAACAATAATTAAAATTTTTTGGGCTCATTGTATTTTTATGAAAATTTACTTTTAAAAATACAACAGTAACCTGAGTAATAACAATTTCTAATTGACAATGTCTTAAATTATTATTTTCGTTGAAACATCTTTAATTACATTTAAGAAAAGGTGTTGCCTATTGACAGGCGTTCAAATGAAAAGTATTCTTTACATTTTCAAACAGTAAAGGGGTCATTCATATACCACGTGAATAAATTTTTTTTCGATTTCTTCCCCCTCCCTTCCCCATCGTAGACTGTTGACAATCCACCCTCCCCATAAACTTCATCATGGACATTTTTTTAATGAGAAATAAATATATTTTGTAAACTATAAAAACTTATAACTATAAAGAAGGTGTCTTATTTTATGATGGTAAATAAATTGATATTTAATAAAAAAAAGATGTTTACCATATATCAAAATATCTTAGTTTTATACTACAGGTCTCGAATCGACTTTAAGGCACAAAAAAAGTATCTTTAGTCAGAATTAAATTACACCGATTCTTACAAATGTAACAAAAATCACTCTAGGTATAACACCAGAAATGATTTGAAGAACTCAAAAAATGGCAACACTTAAAAAAGAGTGGAAAACCTGAAGAAATTTCAATTAAACTTACTGTTGTGATGATGCTTATAACCTTTTTTTCTTCGCGACGCGACGCAGAACGATATGTAAACGAAACCGCCCGGCTTCTTATTTTTACGAAAATCACACGTTTTACGAAAAATAACACTCGCCACAATAAAGACAAATCTAGAAAATTAAAGTTCAGAAAATACTAAACAACAATTGGCTTTACAAATACGTGATAAATCACTCAAACTAAATTCTAAGTGGTCGAGTACACATTCCGCCTTTCCTTTCGAAATCCCATTATGAAATGAAATCAAATGACAGCGGTGATGCGGTAAACGGACGAAATATATATGGGTAATTCCACGTAACATTTTTCTACGACATTTTAAAATCAGTGAAACATATTTTTTTCTTGTTCTTTACAGAAAAATATTAATTACGTATTTTTTTATAATTTTAAAAATTTTCGAGTTATGAATGTTCGAAATATTGGATTTTTAACCCTCCGTCACACACATGGGAAAAAATTACGACTTTACACACGTTTAGAGGGAATCCCTCACCACATTGTAAAATAAGCAACATTACAACATAAACAAAGGAATCAACAAAAATTTAGTTTTAACACAAACTTACAAATATATGTAGTAAAAAATCATTAAACAATTCATTTTAATTATATTTATAATATAATTTTGTCATTAACCAACAGTGGAACAAAAAATGTTTTGAAAACTTGATTTGTTTATTTAACATAACCTCACTTTTTCGAGTTTTTTCTGGCTTTGAAGCTTCATAATTAAATATTAATTATGTCTAAACTAAATGTTTTTTTTAGAAATGTGTTGAGGAGTAAATTGTCGAAAGGTATAGAAACTTATTATATTTTGCAATGAGGAAAACAAAAGTTATTTAAAAAATACTGAAACCGTAGAGGGAATCCCTCCCTAGGTGTGTGACGGAGGGTTAAAACTATATTGACCTATTTTTAGTAACTTATAAGTTTGAAAGTATTGACTTTAGAAAAAAGTTTTTAAAGAAACCAATTTTTTATCTACGCCATTTAGTTAAAAAAAAATTCCAAAATTTAGGAAAAATCGAAATTTTTTATTTTTTTATGTGTCATTTAGCGTCATTATTTTTAGGCTATTCAAAAACACTTTACTTATTAAATTTTCTCCAAACTTTGGTAAAAAATTAAAAAATTTTAAAAATTATCAAAAATTCAAAAAAACGAATTTCTTAAAATTTAACATTTTTTCTTGTATTTTATGGCATTTACACAGGAAAAAAAAAGTCTGACTCCGTTTACACCTTAAATTCAGCCCATGTATTTCACATAAGTCTGTCCTTGTTTAACGGGGCTGACTCCGTTTACACGCTTAAATTCAGCCTCAAAAATAGGCTGAAAGTAAAACTTTTTTTTTAGTGTGTAGCTTCAATAATCTTGGGCTCTTCAAAAACACTTTAGTTATTTAATTTTCTCTACCCTTTGGTAAATGATTAAAATTGTTTAAAAAATATCAAAAATTAAAAAAAACGAATTTCTTAAAATTCAACATTTTTTTTTCTATTTTATGGAATTTAGCTTCAATATTTTTGGGCTTTTTAAAAACACTTTACTTATTTAATTTTCTCCAACCTTTGGTAAAAAATTAAAAATTTTTAAAAATTCAAAAAATCGAATTTCTTAAAATTTAACATTTTTTCTATTTTATGGAATTTAGCTTCAATATTTTTGGGCTTTTTAAAAACACTTTACTTATTTAATTTTCTCCAACCTTTGGTAAAAAATTAAAAATTTTTAAAAATTCAAAAAATCGAATTTCTTAAAATTCAACATTTTTTCTTTTATTCTATGGCATTTAGCTTCAATATTCTTGGGCTCTTTAAAAACACTTTAGTTATTTAATTTTCTCTACCCTTTGGTAAAGAATTAAAATTTTTTATAAATTACCAAAAATTCAAAAAACCGAATTTCTTAGAATTCATAATTTTTTCTTCTGTTTTATGACATATAGCTTCATTATTTTTGGGCTCTTCGAAAATACTTCAATCGTCTTTTGAACTTCACCATTTGTTAAATAAAACTACTTTGACCACTTTATTTATTTGAATTAAAAACTATTATTGAATCAAGTAATTTTCATAATTGATTTAAAGCAATATTTATTAGATCCAATTATTCCATTTATTTGACTTAAGTAATTCGTATTTGGTACAAATAACTATTTATTTGATACTATAAATTAAAATACAATTTTTTTAATAGAAATTATTGCAACTTTTAATTGGAGAACTGTGAATTTAAGTTAATATATATAGGTATTATGCTTTTTTCATTTTGAGATAAAACGATGAAAGTCTGAAACTCTCTTTGTGACGTAGTGTTTAATATTATGACGATTATGACCTTCCCCAAGCCTTCCCCTTCCAGTGTAATAACAGTACTATGTAATAATCAGAAGTCAGTTGAAAAAGAACCGTCATAGAGTAAAGATTCTGTTTTCGTGATATTTTACCTCATAAGAGTTTTGTTTTTAAGATTTTTTTTATTATGTGTTCTAGTTCTGACAGTTGGCTATGCCATAAGTGATATAAGAAGAAGAATAATCAGTATAATACAATTTTAAAAAAATATTTTTAGTAATAATAGATGCCAAGAAGTGGAAAGTAAATAAAAAAAAATGAATGATAATAATAATGAACAAATTTATATTTACGAAATACCTTATTTCATTCGTATGGAATTATGTGGAGTCTTAAATCAGAATGACAAATGGGAAGAATTAGGTGAGAATCATGTGCTTGTAATTATTTCTCTTTATTTTTTTAAATGAAAAATTAGTGTCTTGCTTTAAATTCCGCATTAATCCATGTTTAATACATATAGGTATTTGTTTTCTGAAAGTTCGATTTGACTGTTAGTTTTATACAGCTTTCTAAACGTAACAAAACAATCTCTGAAATTGCTTAAAAAGGCATTAAAATACTTTTATCAAGTGTCAACAATTTCGACTCATTTTCGGATAATATATTTTGTTTACAGTGCGACTCCATATTAGATTTTTGATATTTCGGAGTAAGTAAACCAATTAATGCGCACGCACATCTCTCCTTCTGAAACTCGCGTATCTAAATTTACATGTTAAGTAGCAGAAACATCTAATGTTTACAAATGTGAACAAAAATATTAAAATTTTATTTAAAAATGTTTCAATATTTTTCAATTCTTTTTTAGACTTATTTAAAATTTCTTTTGGAAAATTATTACAAAAATAATTGATTATTTAATAGATGAAGTTTAGTTAAAAATTGTAGAAAATAAGTGAATTTTATTGAAATTTGTTACTCGGGGGTTTTTGGGGTCGCTAATTATAAATCTAAAGTCAGAATTTCAAAATTCAAAATGGCGGATTCAATATGGCGGACAGTTTTTCCAAAATTCCTCAAATTTGCATAAAATTTGTTACTCGGGGGTTTCCAGGGTCGCTGATTACGAATCTGAAGTTCGATTTTTGAAATTCAAAATGGCAACCCTGAAAAACCCCGAGTAACAAGTTTCAAGCGAATATGAGCAATTTTTAAAAAAATGTCCATTAACTTAAATTTTGAAAATTTTGAAAATCCGATTAATATTAATTGTTTATATTATATATTATTATTAATATTATATTAATTGTTTATATAAAACTTTTAGTTAAAACATTTGTTTAAATTTGATTTGAATTTTAGTTTTTGATTGACATTTGATTAAACATTTGTTTTGTTATTTTCCAGGAATAGGAATGCAATTTAACTTCGATGTTGTGAATGAGCTTCGAAAAGAGAGTAACCCAACTGATGCGTTACTAACTAAGTGGAGTCAATATAACCACAAAATATTAGAACTCTTTATTCTTTTATCAAGAATGCAACATTATCAGGCAATGAATATTTTGAGGCCATTGGTCGATCCAAAATATCATCTTCTTATAGATAAAGGAGAGGGAAATTTGCGAAAAAAAGTTAAAGAAAAATTGCATAAAAAGACAAAGGAGAACGATATGAGTATTGATACAAAAAATTTCAATAATGCTTCCCCCACTCAAAATCTTATTCAAAAAGTCGTATTAAGAAATACTGATGATGAAGAATGGCGTAAAATAATAAATGAACCGAAGAAATTTATGAGTCCGCCTCATCCTCAGAGTTATTCGAATAATCTTTTACATGAATCTTCGATTGATAATAATTTACCTCTAGCAATGTATGATGAACTTACAATTGGTACTGATAATTGGAATAAAATGAATATTCTTGGAAAAGGTGGATTTGGAATAGTTTACAGAGGTAATGAAGAAAATTTTATTTTAATTTTTTATAAATAGGTTTCGATGAAAAATTTTATTTTGAAATATTTTTTTTGACAAAAATTCCAAAATATTTTTTGAAATCAATAAATTTATTCAATTCATAGAGTGAATAATTTTTATTTAGGTGTTTGGAAACATACTGATGTTGCAATAAAGAAAATAGAACGTCGCTGTGGAAAGTCTGACGAGAGCTACGCAACACAACTTCAACAATCTTTGAGGGAAATAAAAATTTTAAACTCACATCCCCATGATAATATATTGGCCTTATATGCATACAGTTTAAATGGAGATGCGCCTTGTCTCTTGTACCAATTAATGCCTAATGGATCTTTAGAGGATAGATTATTAAGAAAGCAAAAAACGGAACCACTGTCATGTGGAAAACGATACAATATTGCCATTGGAACAGCAAGGGGTTTACAGTATTTACACACTATTGGAGGCAAGCCTTTAATTCATGGAGATATTAAGAGTGCCAACATTTTATTGGATAAATATTTTGAGCCGAAAATTGGAGATTTTGGTTTAGCTAGAGAAGGACCAAAGGAGGATTCCATCAAAGTAAGTTTATTTTTTAGAAAGAAAAATTTTCAATCGTCCTTATTTCTATAATTGATTTATTTTATTTATTTTATTCAATTGAACAATTAAGAAAATGGTTTTTTACAAAGATTTATTCGTGATTAAAATTTTGCAGGTTGTGAGTAAAATCTTCGGAACCAGGCCATATCTTCCTGAAGATTTCATTTCCAGTAGAAATCTTTCAACTAAAATTGATACTTATAGTTTTGGTATCGTTATTTTTGAACTGGCAACTGGATTACCTGCCTATGATCACAATAGATCGGAATGTAAATTTTTGAGAGAGTTGATGAATAAATGGGAAGATAAAGAGAACTATATTTTAATGGATAAAATGGCAGGTTATAATCATGTAACCTTTACTTATTTAGTAACACTAGGAAAGTGGTGTACAAATAAACTCGCACAAAATAGACCCGAAATGGACCAAGTTTATAAAAATTTGAGTGATTCTAAAAACAGATTTTTTATTCTTTCAAGGTAGATTTTCGAAGTGTAAATGTTGTGCTGTACTTTTGTCTGGATTAATCTCATATGCTGTTAAGTTTTCTGTTATATGTGACATCTACTTTTTAAAATAAAAACACTATTTTGTTTAAGTTGTTATAAAAAATTTTTTAGATTATATATTATAAACTTTTAACCACTAAAGATTATTTCCCTCTGTGTGAAATATCCAAAATTCAATAATTATTTTCAAAAAATATCTAAAATTCAATTATTTTCAAAAAATATCAAAAATTGAATTATTTCCAAAACATATTAGAAATTCAATTATTTTCATAAAATATGGCAAAATAATGCAATTATTTAAAAAAAATTGATAAAAATCATCAAAAATTCAAATATTTTCGTAAATAATAAATTTTCAACAGGAATTCAAATAATTTAGAATAGCATTTTCAAAAAAAATTCAAAAAAATCAATCATTTAACAAAATGTTTATACAATTTTTCACAATAATTCAATCACTTTCACTAATAATAACATTATTCATGGAAATTCAATTTAAAAAAAATTTAATTAAATTCTATGAAATAATTAAATTATTTTTATAAATAATAAAACTGATCTAAGAATATTAAATTATTTTCACAAGAATTCAATTATTAAACAATTAATTGTAATAAAAAAATTATAAAATAACATATGAGTAATAGCCCAGTGGGCAAAAAAACCATCATTGTTTTAAAAACGTTCCAAAAACGTTTCATGTCTGCCAAATAATGTTCCAAAAACGTTCCATTGCTTTTAAAACGTTTTAGAAACATTTAACATTTTTGGGACGTTATTTAGCAGGCATGAAACGTTCTAAAATCGTTTTTGGAACGTTTTTAAAACAATAATGGTTTTTTGCCCACTGGGAGGGAATGTACACGTGCGATCTAATAGTGAGTCACCACAAGTGTTCCTGTAACAAAGGTTTTCTACAAATGCATGGAAAAGTGAACAATTCCTAAAATACATGAAAAAGTGAACAATTCCTAAAATACATGGAAAAGTGAACAATTTCTAAAATACACAGGCAAATTTTGGTATAAGAAGAGCCAGACCATCAGCAGCAATTCAGTCTAGAAAAGCAGTCAAGAACAGTCAGTCAAGAAAATGTAGTCGTCAATATTATAAGTCTCAAATTGAGAAGTGGTGCTCCGTACAAGTCCAGTCTTCAAATTTTATCTATTATAACAAGTGGTTGTCTACGACACAGTGCTCCAAAAACCCAGTCTTAGTAGTTGTCCTTTACTCTACGTGTGGTTAAAAGATGAATCTTTGAAGGTAAATCTGGAAGTCAAATTTGCTGTTATAGTTCCTGTTTCAAGTCACACAATACTGCATCCACTTAGTCAACCATTATTGGACTAGTGTCATATTATACCTCAGCGACCAGGATCACCCATTGTCCAAGGTAGAAACCACTTATAGACTCATATTTAGAAAGCCCGTGTTCATCTCTTATTTTTCATCATTTTATTCTTATTTTAAAATATATAAATATTTCTTCAACTAAAGTATTTTCTTGTTTCTTACCAAACCCCGTCCCTATTTTAATTAATATTGAAATGAAATCGGGAAACACTAGGGATATAATAATTAGGATCGTTACATAATATTTAGTATATTTCGAAAAAATTAATTATTTAAAACAATGTTTATAAAATTCTTATAAAGAATTCAATTATTTTCAAAAATAAAAAATTTTTTCACAGAAATTCAATTCTTTTTAAACATAAATTAATAAAATTCTTCGCAATAATTCAATTATTTTCATAAATATAATAAAATTCTTCCCAAGAATTCAATTATTTTTAAATATTTTAATAAAATTCTTAGCAACTATTCAATTATTTTCATAAATCATAAAATCGCAGGATTTTGAATTATTTTTAATACAATTTTACAGGAATTACTAAAAAAATGTAGTTATTCTTAAAAAGTCCAATTGGAGATTTGTTAAAAAGGCTTTGAAGATGAAATTATTTATTATAATTATTTTATTAAAAAAAAAATAAGCCAACAGCACGCGGTATTCCCAAGCGGTCACCCATCCAAGTACTAACCGCGCCCAAAGATGCTTAACTTCAGTGATCGGACGAGAACTGGTTTTTTCATCGTGGTGTGGCCGTTGCCTATGTACTCAGATGTAAAAGTTTCACATTAGTCACGGGGGTGACTCGAATAAGTTGCAGAGTGTCCAATGTGTTGAAAATGGCCACCAGTTGTCGCTGATAGTATCTTTGTCCTATGTAAGTATATACAATTCATTGCGAAATAATATAAAAAGCTGATAAAAAGTAGAAAATAATATTAATAAACTTTTAAATTATTTTCGGTTTTTAAATAACATAAATAATTAATAAATACGCACATTTTTCATTTAGTGCAATTACTACAAAGTATTTAATAATGACAATAATTAATATTGTTAAAATGATAAAACTCAATTTTTTCAGATATAATTTCAATAAACCATTTTTAAATACTATTTTTTTATTTTATATACGAAATTGATTGATATTGTTGAAAATATGTACATATTTATATTATATAATTAAATAATTGTATAATTTTATATATTTTATGTATAATTTATATATCACTTATATATACAAATTAAATATAATTTGATTAATTATTTACAAATTAATCAAATTGTAATTTAGATTTTACTGAGTTTCAAGTTGTAATTTCATTTGCAGAAAAAAATTATTAATTAATAAATAATTACTACTGATATTTGTATATATAAATCTATATAATTATAATAATTTTTGTTTATGGGCAATTCTACGTGAGATTTCAGTCGACCTCTTAAAATCGGCCAAAAATATTTTTTTTCTATTCTGTATTGAAAAAAAACAGATACGTATTTTTTTTTTATTTTTTTGGAGGCCAAATTTTTGAGTTATGAATTTTCAAAATTTTCGCTTTTTAAATGTAGGTATATTTTTAATGTCAGATAACTAAAAAAATATTGCTTCTTTTCATTTTTTGACAAGAGAAAAAAAGTTTTGTTTTTCTCTCTACTTTTGAATAATCATAACAAAAAAATTTTTTTTTCATTTTTTATTAAAAAAATAAAAAAATTTTATAAACAAATTAATTTTTTTTAACTTTGGGTATGATAAATTTTTAATTTTCTTTTTTTAAAACATACCTGGAAATGATAAGAAGGTTTTGCAAAAAGTTTCAGAGTGGGCCTGACAAGTTTGATGGGTCCAAAAAAATAATTAAGCTCTCCGTGCAGGTCTCACGCACGTGGCACAATGGGATTTTTTTACAATTTATTATTAAAAATTGTCTAGAGCCTACAAATTTTATCGGATTTTGATTATTATTGAATTTTTAGGCTCTAAACAATTTTTAATAATAAATTGTAAAAAAATCCCATTGTGCCACGTGCGTGAGACCTGCACGGAGAGCTTAATTATTTTTTTGGACCCATCAAACTTGTCAGGCCCACTCTGAAACTTTTTGCAAAACCTTCTTATCATTTCCAGGTATGTTTTAAAAAAAGAAAATTAAAAATTTATCATACCCAAAGTTAAAAAAAATTAATTTGTTTATAAAATTTTTTTATTTTTTTAATAAAAAATGAAAAAAAAATTTTTTTGTTATGATTATTCAAAAGTAGAGAGAAAAACAAAACTTTTTTTCTCTTGTCAAAAAATGAAAAGAAGCAATATTTTTTTAGTTATCTGACATTAAAAATATACCTACATTTAAAAAGCGAAAATTTTGAAAATTCATAACTCAAAAATTTGGCCTCCAAAAAAATAAAAAAAAAATACGTATCTGTTTTTTTTCAATACAGAATAGAAAAAAAATATTTTTGGCCGATTTTAAGAGGTCGACTGAAATCTCACGTAGAATTGCCCTTATATAATATGTGATTACATTTATATTATGTTCATATTACCTATATTACCTATATTTTATATTATTTTATATAGGCGTATAAATATATAATAATTAATTGATTAATCAATATTTTTTTAACAATTAATTATATATTATTATTCATATTGTGTATGTTATTGAATTTAACACTTATTTATGTATAATAAATTTTTTTATTTAGGTATATATTTTTTTATTTGCAATGTATTATTATTATTTTATAATTTTATTATTTAATATTCTTTTGCAAATTAAATTTTTTCGTATTAGTAAAGATAATGTATTTTAGGTACATATTGTCTTATTCTATTTCGTAAAAAGAAAAATTAAAATTAACTAAATTTTTAATTTTATACTTTGCACAGTTGAGCAAAAAAGAAATATTTAATTCATTGTAGAAGCAGGTGTAATTTACAATTTCAGAAACAGTATATTTTTATTATTTTTATCACATCATATTTAAGTAAAAAAATAGAATTGTTCACTTGATAAAATTTTTTCTCACAGAAGAATGTAAAATTTTAAACAAAACAATTTGATCAGGTTATAAATAACATATTGATGTAAAATTAACTTTTATTAACTGTGTTAAACAAGAAAATGAAGTATTAGCTTAATTTATTTTTCTATATTATAAAATGGAATTATTAATTTAATATTATTAATTTAAAATAATTACTTGCTTGAAAGAAAGAAATTATAAATTTGTAAAAAAGGAAGATAGCTAAATTAATCAAATATTACTTTAATTTTATTAAACTATAAGTTTAAGCTTTATTTTGTTAAAATTGTATATTATATAAATAAAAGTATTCGGAATCCCTTCAATTGTTTAAGGATCACAATATATTTAAACATATAATTGTGAAGGAGCAAATAAATAAATATTTATAAGAATACTTTACGGAAACTATCTTAAAAGTGGAGTTTTACTTTATTATTATTTTCATTATTAAATACTTTGCAGTAATTGCACTAAATGAAAAATGTGCGTATTTATTAATTATATTTATGTCATTTAAAAACCGAAAATAATTTAAAAGTTTATTAATATTGTTTTCTACTTTTTATCAGCTTTTTATATTATTTCGCAATGCATTGTATATACTTACATAGGACAAAGATACTATCAGCGACAACTGGTGGCCATTTTCAACACATTGGACACATTCGTACATGATAAAGCATAGGCCGTGTCACCCATGTGACATTAGTACATGGGCAAACTGTCTATATTTTTTCCTTGTAAATAACGTCTTTTTCGATTTTCACACGTTTCAAATAAGTATATTAGCTTTTAATTTAAAAATCACTCAATTTGAAGAAATTTTTTTATTATATTTGGAATTTTTTCCAAGTTTTTTTTTTAATGAAATATGAAAATATTTTCGTCTAGTTTAGAAAAATATTTAAAAGTGGAAGGAATTATTTCCTAATTACGCAGTTGGAATTTTTTCCAATTTTATTGTATTTTCCATTTTAATTGGAAACTTGAAAATTATGTCAAATGGAATTTCGGACAAATAAATTTTATGTTAAATGTTTATTCGAATAAATGAAAATTATGACAAATAAAATTTCTATAAATGAAAATTTCTGAAATATGACATTTCGTAGATTTAAAGGTTATGTCTCATGAGAATTCGAGTAAATGCGTTTTATGTCACTTGATAATTCGAGTAATGAACATTATATGACAAATAAAATTTCGATAAATGAAATTTCTTAAATATGACATTTCGAAGATTTGAAGGTTATGTCACATGAGAATTCGAGTAAATGCGCTTTATGTCACTTGATAATTCGAGTAAATGAACGCATTATGACAAATAAAATTTCGATAAATGAAAGTTATGTAATATAATATTTCGAAGGTTTGAAAATTATGTCAAAAGGCAAATTCGGAGGATTAATAATTATGACAAATAGTCATTCGGAAAAACAAAATGTATGTCAAAAAAATTTTCGACATATTAAAAATTATATTAAAAAACAATTCGACTATTTAAATAATAGGATAAAGAATAAATCGATAAATTAAAAATTATGTTGAATGAAATTTCGAAAAAAATTGAAATTTGAGGAATAATCATGCGCCCCTCATGCGCCCTATTTCTAGCCTCTTCTTTTCTTAATTCCATTCATTTAAAAAGTCTTTTACAAATAGAAAATTAACAATTGATGGTTCTAAACTATTATTATAGCTATACGTATATATTTCTGGATTCTTGAAAGGTAGTCTTCTTGGTTCTATTACATAACAACTGTAATAAATGCAATAAAAATTTTAATATTTATTTGATTATTTCTGAACACCAATTTTATATATCACATTATGGTTGTACACGTTATTTGGTCGTAAAACACTATCTGGAAAGTTATTCTGCAATAAAAATAATCATTAATATTACATTAAATTATATATGAATATTTAGAGAAGAAAATATTTTTGTCTTACATGATTTATAGCATCCGGATAATTTTGTGTTTCCAAACAGAATGCACCGTGTTTAAAATATGGTTTTTCTCCTTTTCCCAAAATAGCTGATTTATTTTTTTCAGGAAAAAAATTTGCCGTGTAAAATTGCACTCCAAGCTGATCGCTATATACAACTAGAAATCTGCCAGACTCTGGATGTACAACTTTAGCAACGAATTTTGTTTTTGTTGTATCTGAGTCTGGCAAACAGAAATTATAATCGTAACCACCTCCTGGGACTTTATTGATAACTTTACCCAAAACTGTTGGATTTCGAAGATCCATAACACTATTGTCAACTGGCCTTAATTCTCCAGTTGGAATACTATCTGAGTCCGTTACTGTCCATCGATCTGCATTCATTTGAATTTGATGTTTATAAATTTCATCGGCATTTGTGTCCTGAGCATATTAAATTTTTATTAAAATATATATATATAAAATATAAATATATTTAATAATAGATTCTTTTAGGATAATATTTCTGAAATAAATGTTTAATAGCCTACATGTCCAGCAAGATTGAAGTAGCTATGGTTTGTTAAATTAATGGGAGTAGCTTTGGTTGTAAATGCCTTCATCTCAACATTAAATTGTCCATCATTATTGAATTTGAAAGTTACGGAAGCAATAACAGCACCAGGAAATCCTTCGTCTCCATCTTCGCTTAAAAGAGTCATTACAACAGAATCATTATTTACGACAGCTTCCCATATTTTTGAATTCCAGCCTCGAAATCCTCCATGAAGAGTGTTTTCTCCTCTATTCTTGGCTAAATTATATTTTACACCGTCTAGTATAAAACTTGCATTACCAATTCGATTTGCAACTCTGCCTACGGTTGCTCCAAAATAAGGATTGTCGCTGTTCAAATAACCTGAATTTATATTCATAAGATTATTAAAAATTCATTAGAATTATTGAAGGATGCTATTTGTGCACTAAGATTATAAAAAATGTGTTTTTAAAAAAATGCTTTTCCAAAATAAAAACCAGTTTCTGTTACTCATACAGTAAGTTGTAATTTTTAATGAAAAGAATTTTAGTTTTATAATTACCATCCAGATTATCATAACCAAGAACAATATCTGCAAGTTGATTATTCTTATCAGGAGTTCTGATACTTAATATTGTCGCTCCATAATTCATCACGTCAATCTCCTGGTTATTGTTATTTTTTAATGTAAATTTCTTCACCTCTTTTCCATTAATCATGCCAAAAGGCTGAACTTCAATTTCCTGACCCATTGAAGACATCAGTGTACTGCAAATAAAAATATCAATAAATAAAATATTATACAAAAAACAGGTAATTTTCATAAATATTTAAATAAGAATATTTAATTCCTACACTTTTTATATTCAAAAAATATAATCTCAATTTCTTTTTTGACAGTAAAAATTTATTAAAAATTATTTCTAATTTATAAAACTGACGAGTTTGAACTGCTCAGAGAAACTAAAGTAAATATCGCATCACATGTTACATATTATCTTCAACTGAAATGTATAATGCATTTGATATCAGTATTTATAAAGTTTATAAATTGCTCTTGAAGAAATCTGATGATAAAGAACACTTGACAAGTTTGAATTAAAAAGTGCCGATTATAGTCAATAGATAGCGACACAAGTATTAATTCTTTTCATTCTTTTCAAAATAATGTATAAATCAAAAAGTCTATAATTATTCAGTATTTTTAAAAAAATTTTCACACTATTTAATATTTAATAATTGTGAGATTTTAACGAATAATCGCAGAAAATATCGCGATAATACTTTTGAGATAATTTACTTCATTCTGTACATAGTAATTTATTTTGTTTACACATTATTGCAATTTTTATCATCATTCATCATGGATGATGATTCATTATAAGTAGGTAATTAATTTGTTATCACATTTTTTAAACGATTTTATTTTCGATTTAAACATGATATTAACTAACTTCCAAGTATTTCATTCATGTATTATGTATTATAAAATTTAAAAAAATTAAAAACAAAAATTAAAAAAAAATTTTTTTAACTTATTTTATAAGATTTTTAAAAAGTTATTTTAAAAAATTATATTTTTTTATTAGTGTAGAAAATAGAAGACTTTTTCTTGATAAACATGAATTTTTATTAAATTATTCACTAATGGAAAATGCATAACTTGAAAATATAACTAAATCTATTTTTATTAGTTTACATGAAAGTATTTAAAATTTTTACAGGTCTTCGGTTTGAAATTATATAAACAAGATAATGACTTTTTTAATTGCTTTTAACAAATCGACAAAGTGAATCCAAAAAACAATTATTACTTCTTTATTTAATGAGTTCAAACATTGTTTCCTTATGGAAGCATTGTTTTTATTTTCTGAATCATTAGAAAAAAACTGTAAAACGCAATTCATTAATGTCACATTAAAAGAAAATGGAAAAATTTCAATTATTTCCTCATTCTAAAAATAGGTCAACAATACATTTAACCTTCATCATAATCACTGAAATGTGAAATTTAAAACATAAACCCGCAGATCTTAACAATTATTAAAATATACACGTTTTTACCTAAATAGCAAAAATGTCACAAAAGTCAGATGTTTTATCATCTTAATTTTTTTTTACTAAATATTTTCGGCACTACTCTCACACAATTTTTACAAACACTTTTATGTCTAGAATTAAAAAGTGATCAGTAAAACACTGAAATTGACGAAAGATTAGTTTGACGTTAAATATCAATCCAAGACACATTGAAAGTAATAATTGGAAGGAAGTCTCAAGTTGCTGGGGGTAGTTTCAGGGTTCCTCCTTTCGAATCCTCTTTGCCAATGAGAAATAGGAAATTGTCTGTTACCGTGAATATAATTACATTGTTACAAACCTGAGTTTCACTTTATTTATTTCCTATTCTCTTTTTTTGTCTGTTATAAATGATGTCAAGGTTCTCAGTTATTAAATTGAAAAAAAATGAAAGTTAAATTCAGTATTGCTTATGTTAGTGTGTTCCATATTTGTAATTATCTAATTAATATTTTTTCTGCATAGAATCACATGAATTTTATATATTATTTTTTAAAAGCAGTTTTATTTTAATTTTTAGAAAACACGTAATATTTTATTCTATTTTTCATATCTGTTGACGATTATGTGTTTAAGTAATAAAATTAATGTTTAGATAAATGAAGTCACAAAATGCGAAATAAAAGTTAGCATTATTAATGTTTAATTCTATTGTTGAATATTCCCTTTAAATTTATTCAAAATAGAAATTTTTTTATATAGAACGTCAGATTTCGGCGTTATTTTAATTTGTAAGATTTATTAATAAATATATATGTAATTTGTAATTTTTAATTTGTAACATATTTTATAAAACAAATATTTTTATATTTTTGAGGAATAAAGAAAACATAATGAATATGTGTTTAGTAATAGGAAGTGAAATATGATAGTTTCAACGGAAGTGTTTATTAAAACTGTGTCATTAGTATAATTATATAATAAAATTCTTGTACTTAGTAATTTTGTATATTGTATAAAAGAAAATAGATACTGGGATAAATTCACTCGTCAAAAGTGATATTCTCTGAAAATTAGATAAAAATTCTCATCGTTTAATTGTTGTAACGGGAAAAAAGAAATTAAATTATGCTTTATGATTGTAATTAAATTAACCTTCATTGACAATTAAAAAAAATTCCTTTTGTGGATTTCAAACCCTTTGAAGCATACATTTTTCTAGTCAAGGAATTTAATAACAAAGTACACTTTAGGGAGTTCAAAAGACATTATTAAAGTCATTCCAAAATAATATACATATCTTCAAAATATTTTATATAAAATTATTTGCCACACTTATGTATTTACTGCTTTAAATATTAAAAAATAAATGTCACAGTAAAACGTAAAGTGTTAAAATAACACCAGAAAGGATTAAAATTATCTATTTTGGTGTTATTTTTAACTATGAATTAAATTTTACTTTAAATGAAACACTAAATTCAACGAATTTAGCTTCTCCAGGGAGAATAGTAAGTTAGTTACTAACTTACTAACTAACTTAGAAACATAGTTACTAAATTCAATTGTGTTCAAAATTTTTAAAAATTCTCGTCAAAATTTCAATTCTTTTTATAAATAATAAAATTCTTCTCTGATATTCAATTATTTTACAAAATTTTAATCAAATTCTTGTCAAAATTTCAATTATTTTCAAAAGTTTTCTAAAGTTCAATGATTTTCAATATCTACTATTTCAATAAAATTTTCCAAAAGAATTCCATTATTAAAAAAAAATTGAATAAAATTCTACGCAAACATTCAATTATTTTCATAAATAATAAAATTTTTTACAGGAATTCAATTATTTACAAATTTTTTTTATAAATTTCTTCGCAATAATTCAATTATTTTTATAAATAAATAATAACATTTTTACAGGGATTCAATTATTTTTATAAATAATAAAATTCTTTTAGAAATTCAATTATTTTCATAAATAATAAAACTCATTGCAGAATTTCAATTATTTTTAATGCAATTTTAATCGAATTCCTCGAAAAATGTCATTATTGTTAAAAATTTTATTAAAATTCGTCCAAAGAATTTAATGATTTAAAAAATTTGTTGATAACATTTTTCATGAGAATTTAATTTCAAGAAACATGAAATTAATAAATTATTTGTTTTTGTACTTAAATAATTGAATTCTCGTAGAATTTACTAACAAAAATGGTTTTAAAAATGAATTTCAGTTAAATTTTTAGATTATAATTAAATATTAAAAGCATTATAACGTGGATTTTTAGAAATAATTAAATTTTTGAAAAAGTTTCAAACTAAAATCATTGAAATTTGTAATTTTTCATATTTTTGACAAAAAATTCTGTAGAATTAATTTTTTTTCAAAGTTTAATTAGGATTTCTATTGAAATTATTTCAAGTTCTTATTTTTCAATATTATATTTAATTGCAGAATTTACAAATAATCGAAATTTTGTAAAATTGAATTGTGAACGAATGAATTTAAAAATGAATCTACAAAATTTTTAAGAATAATTTGATTTGTTGTGAAATTTGATAAAAATTGTATTAAAAATAATTGAAATTCTTCCATGAATTTTATTATTTTGAAAATAATTGAATTTCGGAGAGGAATTTTATTTTTTATATAGATAATTGAAATTTTGTGAATTTTTGAACATAATTATTGGATTCCTACGAAGAATTAGAATACTTTTGAAAATAATTGAATTTCTGAGTCGAATTTTATTAAAATATCTTTTTAAATAATTGAATTCTTTTGTGGAATTTTATTGAAACAGTAGACATTGCAAATAATTGAATTTTGACAAATTTTTGAAATTACTTAAATTTCTACGAAGAATTTTATGAAAATTATTTTTAAAAAATTTTATTGTTACAAAGAATTTCATTATTTATGAAAATAATTTAATTTTTTGAAGAAATTTAATTAAAAATATATTGAAAATAATACTTAAATTGTAATAAATAAATTGTAGCAAAATTTTTTAAAATAATTGAATTTTTTTGCTGAATTTTAATAAAATTTTTAAGAATAATTACATTTTTTGAGGAATTCCATTAAAATTGAATGAAAAATTAAAAACAATTGAAAGTCTGAGATGAGTTTTATTATGAATTTATGAAAATAATTGAATCCTTGTAAAAATGTTATTATTTATAAAAATCATTGAATAATAATTTTTAATTAAAATTTTGTTAAAAATCTTTAAAAGCAGCCGAAATTCCGGAAATTTTTTAAAATTCCATTCTATTTACAGATTTTCCAGGATTTCCAGGCTCTGTAGCAACCATGAATTAATTCTTTTTAAAAGTTTAATAGGATTTCTATTGAAATTATTTCAAGTTTTTATTTTTCAATAGAATATTTAATTGCAGAATTTTCGAATAATTGAAATTTTTGTAAAATTGAATTGTAAACGAATGAATTTGAAAATTCTCATAAAATCCATCACAGCGTTTTAATTATTTTTCATACAATTATAAATGAATTCCTTGAAGAAAGTAATTATGTTCATGCAATTTCGAATAAAATTCGACAAAAGAGTTCAATTATTTAAAAATTTGTTACTAAAATTCTTTATGAGAATTGAATTTTCAGAAATATTCAATTATTCAATAAATTATTTACTTTTTCATTTAAATAATTAAATTCTTGTAGAATTTTCTAATAAAAATTGATTTTCATTTCATAAAAATGAATTTCAGTTAGAATTTTAGATTATAATTGAATATTAAAAGCAATATAGCGTGAATTTTTAGAAATAATTAAATTTTGAAATTAATTTTTTTCAAAAAATTTAATTGAATTTTCTTTTATATTATTTGAAGTTTTTATTTTCTAATATGCATTTAATTAAAGAATTTAGGAATAATTGAAATTTCGTGAAATTGAATATTGTAAAGAAATGGATTTGAAAATTGCCAAAGAACTTTTTCGAAAATTATTAAAAAATAATAGATATAAAGTAAAATTGTAGTTAAAAATTTTTGAAAATAATAATTGATTTACTGTGAGTATAAAGAAAATCTACAATTCGAAAATGAGCGAACAGTATGCCAATAGACGCCCGTTAGTTATAATATATGTTAATTTATTTTACATGTGTAAAATATGAAGTTTTTTCAACAATATCTTCTATCGTAAATTCTAAAAAATATATTTTCCTTCAGTCTTCTCTTTGCAAGACTTAAGAAAACTTGATAATGTATTGAGATTCTTAGTTGACAACTTTGTTGCGTAAATCTTGAAAAAAAAACGTTATCTACGTATAAATAAATTGTAGGCAATTTTATCAGATGTGTTTATTTAATTGATTTAAGATGGTACGATAAATCCACCTTATTTATTTTGTGACGCATTTCATTTTGACGCGTTTTATTTTCTGCATGGTATTTATTTGTTTACTTGAAAAGTTAAAAATTACAATATTGTTTATCATATTTTTTAATAATCGACACTTATTTATTGCTATTATTTAAATAAAGTGTAGTTATACCGGTTTTAAACCTCTACCTGCACTACGTTATCCCCACTCTAGCACTGTAGAATATATTTCTTTTGTCCCCGCCAGGTGACTGAATTGACGTTTTTTGTAGATAACAATATCAATATACCGTTTTCATGAAGAAAATGTGAAAATGTTATTATTTATATTAAAATAAAACCGCACTAACAATTGAATTTTTACTGTATGGTTTCTATAAAATTTCATTATTTACATTATTTCATAAAATCGTGCGTATGTATCAGACCAACAAATTATCTGGAAATGCAAGTTGATGATTAGACAAATAGTTTATTTTAATAATAATAATTATAATTAATGTAATTTAAAGCTTAAATCCGAGGTAGGTATTCAAAAGATAAGATAAAACGTATATTTACAATCTGTAAATCCTTGTGAACTTTTATGAACCCATGTGGAAAAGTCGATTGGACTCCAATTATAAAAATTTTGAATAAGTTAGTTTTTTTAAACATATTTATTTACATTATTTTGAAATTAGTTATATTTTTAATATTTAATTGAAAAATTTTCAAATTTCATTAAATTGTCTTGTAAACAAGTGTATTTAAGAAATATTTTTGTTTTAGGTAATTTTTTTTAAAATAATTGGATTTTTAAGGAACTTTTTTAAAAAATATTAAAAATAACTGAATTAGAGAAGAATTTTAGTTTGTTTTTTAAAAAAATAAGCTTAATGTAGAAAGAAGATCAAATTTCAATATTCGTCAATAAATTAAAAACTAAACTTAGTTTTCAAACAATATTAAAATTGATTTAATTTATGAAAATTTTCCTTTTATTAACTTTATTTTTTAAATTTGTGAATTTTTGCAAAAAGGATCCTAACCAATAACTATATAAGTTCGCTGTCTTGACATATTTACGAAGGAGTTTAAATTTTCCCCACCATAAAATGTTATGCGAATAATGATGCCCCTCTGACTCCCCTCTTCGTGGTCCGATACCACGTACCAAGCTAACAAGCTAACTTTAACTCTTGCGATGCTTTCCCTGGCTTTCATTCTGTTACAGTCACAAGAATAATCTGAACGTGTTATTCAGTGAGAAATCAGTTTTCTTATCATTAACACATGGACATTTAGTTAATTCTCTATTAATGAGAACTAGTTTCCGGTCACTGAACTCTTATACAACAATAAACTACAGAAGTGAATAGTTTAAAAAAATTGTTTTTTATTTTAAAAAAAAGGATCTATTTTTATCCGCATGTGAAATATTGTGTATTTTCTTCAAGTAACAAGTGCAGTGATTTTTTTAAAAAAAGAAGTGTGTTCATTATTAATTTGTATGTCATTGTCTCGACGATTATTTAAAATGGAAAGTTTCAAGGTACGTGATGCGTTAAAAAATATTTTTTTTGCATCTTTACTATGTTTAGAATTTAATAGAATATTTTTAAAAATTATATTGAAGAATTTTTAATATAGTTTTTTTTAATACACATTATTTGATTTATTATTATTTATTTAACGACTGTTCCCTTGGATTTTTGCAATATTTTTTTCGCAAATAATTTTATTTATTTTAGAAAGAATAATCGCTACTGTGTGTTTTCCTACCGTCCCAACCGGTACCAACTTATTTTTAGTGATTGAACTTGACATCTAAATATGGAAATTCTGATGATGTAATAGCAACTTTGTGTTTCTCCAAATTCACTTTTTCTTTAACCCAACAAAAATATAAACAAGTAGAAGTTTTTTGCATTCGATAAATTTATCATATATATTAAAATATTATGTTAAATTATATAAAAAAAATAAATTTTTTAAAAAAATAAAAATTTTTTTTAAATTAAAAAATTTTTTTTTTAATTTAAAAAAAAAAATTAAAATACAATATGATAAATTTTATGAATGACAGCATAAATGGAGAAAAAAAAATGTAAATAATATAGAAACTTACGTATTTTAATGATAGACTATCGTTAGGAGTGGGGAAGGAAAAAAGTGTCTTCAACACCAGACTCGATGTATGTGTATACCTGTCGTACGATTTACGGGTTGATCCCAGAATGAGTAGGACCTTACGATTTTCTATATAACGGGTGTTCATTATTATCATCTTCAATGGAATTTAATTCCATTCCTTTAAAATAGGAAAAATAAAAAATATTTTTGATGAATCGAAGAAATATTTTTATTTAATGTTGTAAAAGCAAAAAAAATTCTTATTAAATATTTAACAAATAAAATAAATTTCAATACAAGATTTTTTTATTAAAAATAAAAGTTTTATTGAGAATGGAATATTTATTTATTGACATCAAACTTTTGTTTTGTTTATAAAAATTTTTTTATACTACATATTTTGTATTTATTAAATTATTATTATTATTATTAAATTATTAAATTATTATTATTATTATTAAATTATTATTATTATTATTATTATTATTATTATTATTATTATTATTATTATTATTAAATTATTTTTTATTATTTATAATTATTTATTTATTTAACTTTTCTTATTGTAATTTTTCTTTACTTTAAATATGTTGTAAAACTATTTTTTATATATGATTTCATAATGTTAATACCTATTCAAAAATTCTAACAATCGTCAATTCTTCTGAAACCAAGAATTGCAGATTGCATAATAAATCGATTGGGAATTACAGTGCTTCATTCTTTAAGAAATAAAAAATGTCTTCGTAAAATTAGGATTAATAACAGAGGAAGCATAAAATTTATACTAATAATTTAATAATTTTTATAACTAAAAAAAAATAAAAAACTAAAAAAAAATAAAGAAAACAAAAAAAATAAATAAAAAATAAATAAATAAAACTAAAAAGATTGAAAAGTAGCTTATTCTTAAGCTTAAAATTAAGTCAATTTTAAGACGTAAAATCATCAAGGTTCAAATTCCATAAAAAATGATTCTTATCTATAATAACGGTTTTAGTCAAGAAAGAACTGAAAGTAAATTTGTTTTTTATAGTAAAACCGGAATTATTGAAAAAAATTTTTAATACAATTCTACGAAAACATTCAATTATTTTCATAAATAATAAAAATTTATTTAGGAATTCAATTATTTTAATTGCAAATTTTCACATATTTTTTAATACAATTTTAAATAAATTCCTTAAAAAATGCAATCATTTTAAAAAATTTTATTAAAACTTGACGCAAGAACTCAATTTTAAGAAATATTCAATTATTCAATAAAATAATAAAATTCGTTGCAATAATTTAAAATATTTTCATAAATAACATTTCATTCGTCGCAGAAAATCAATTATTTTCAACAAATTTTAATAAAATTCTTCAAAAAGTTTTTAATTATTTTTAAAAACTGTTAGAAAATTCTTTAATATAATAAATTTTATTAAAATTTGAATTAAAATTCTTAAAAGAAATTAAATATTTTCAAAAGTTGTTAATATACAATTCTCAGTAAAAATTAAAATTTTAAAAAACATTCAATTATTGAATAAATTATCTATTTTTGTATTTAAATAATTGAACTCTCGTTAATGAAAGAAGATTTTTATTTGAAAAGTGTAGAAAATAATTTTGAAGAAATTACAGTAAATATATTTTTATAATTTTTATAAATTTTTTAACCTCTTAATTACAATGGGAAACAGAAAAAGATTAAATATTTATTTAATAATAATTATTAATTTTTATTAATAATCTTATTTATAGAATCACTTTGAGAAAATTAAGTAACAAGTTAAAAAAATCTCTTCAGTTTCTTAAAAAATATCCCCTTAATTTTATTCACCAATTATTGGAATTTAATTCACTTTATTCAAAAAATAGAATTTACGTGTGCGTTTGATTAAAAGCCAAAGTGTAAAATGCGCTTTTAATGCAGGGATCTAAAAATAAGAATAATTCAGACAAAGGAAGTATAAGGTAAACATATTTACCAAAACTTGGTCTTGATATCTTTCCAAGAAGGAAAGTTATGTTAAGGTGTCAATATCATTAAATCTCCCAGACAATATTATAATTAAACAAGAAATTGTTTGAAAACAAAAATTTTATTTGAAAAAACTAGAAAATTATTGAAAATTTTAAAGAGTCTATAAAAAATAAAAAAGCAGAAAATATTTTTCAAAAATAAAAAATTGTATTAAAATTTAATTTTTTGTTAAAGAAATTTTTTTAAAGAAAAGAAAATAGTTAATTTTGAAATATTTCTGAACTTATGTTCATAAATATTTTAAAATTAATAAAATGAAATAAAATACAAAAAAATAAAATAAATAATTAAAATAAATAAATAAAAATAAAATAAAAAAAATATTTAAAAAATAAAATTTGAATACATTGTAACTAGAAATAAAAAGCAACCCCATTTAATACAAGCTTTGACCTTATGATATGGGTCATCGAACATTAACCTCCATGAATGAATAATTTAATTTTCTTCAATGAGAAATGGTAATATAGGTTTGATTACGATTAAAAAATACTACATCTTATTTTACTATAGTATCACTTTTTTTTAAACGTAGAAATTTTTTTCTTTTTTTAATAATATCTTATGTATTATTTCTAATATACTTAATTATTTCTTGTTTCTATTAAAGTTTAAACTTTAATAATAAAAATATTAATATTTTTAATAAAATTTTTATTTTTTATTTTTTTAATTATTTCTTCTTTTTTATTAACAACTTTTTGCTAATAGATATACCAAATTTTAATACAAAACCTCAAATTTTTTAAATTTCTGACAAAAATTTCTTTTTAAATAACTTTGATCTTGAACAATTGTATCATAAAATAAATAAATTATTTAATGAATAATTTTACTTTTAAATACATTCAAAATTAATTCAATTTTAAAAGAGTTGCATTTACAATTTTCATATATAAATGAACTTCAAACGGTTTCAATTTGAAATTTTAGAAAATTTCAATGTTGAATGAATTCAATTAGAAATTTTAATGAACTTAGATTTTTGAAAAATTTAATTCCAAATCTTCTGAAATTCGTTAAATTTGTCAAAATATATTTAATTAATAATTAAAAATAATGGATTTATAGACGAATTTTTGGTTAAAAACACTAAAAAAATTGAATTTTGAAGAAGTTACAAATGATTGCAGAAATTAAATTATTTTTAATAGTAATAAAATTCTTTCCAATTGTTTAACAATATTTGTTTAAACAAATTAATAAAAATTAAAAAATGTTTAAAAACAGTTAACACTAATCGATTCTATATATGAAAAATTAAAAAAGTTTTGTATGAGTCATTTTCCCCCCACATATTATTTTGTTTAAAAAAATTTTAATAAACAAATTATGTTGGATATAAGGTGATTCATCCCAAGCATATAAATAAATGGAATTTAAGTAAATTTAACAATTGGATTCATAGGCAAATAAAAAAAAAATATATACCTGTTTTTTTGTTTTTAATTTTCAATTGTTTCTACTTGGGATGAAACATCCTCTATCCAACATAATTTGTTTATAACAATTTTATAAACAAAAAAAAGATTCGGAAAAAAATATGACCTATAAAAAACTCTCTTAATTTTTCATATAAAATCCATTAGCGTTCGTAGTTTTCATAATGTTTTTAATTTTTATTAATTTGTTTAAACAATTATTGGAAATTAAAGTAAAAAATACAGGTATCTTTTCAATTTGCCTATGAATCCAATTGTTTCTATTTTAATGCAATGGCTAGTTTTTTCATGGGACTTAATGGGTTAAAAATCTTCTAATTAATTAAGTTTATTTATTTATAATAATAATTATTATTAACATTTATTTTTCTATCCAAACTTTTGTTTAAACTATTATTTAAATTATTGCAGCAAAAATAAGCAATTTTTTTCTTTTTCTTGGATTATTAATTATAGGTATTTGTTTAAAACTATTGTTAACAACAATTGGAATTTGGTAATTATGCAGAAGAAGGACTTTTCCCAATTTTGAAAATAAATGATTAATTTTTCAATTTTTTTCAAAAGTATTCAACAAATATTGACATTGTAGGTTCAATTTTTAACTTACTTGTTTAAATAAAAAATATTGCAAAATGAAATTCATAATTCCGGCTCAATAGGAAAATGAGGAATTTATCGCTGAAGATTTTAAAAAAAAGAAAAGTCAAATTTCATCGAAAATTGTAGGCTGTAGGTGATTATGAACACTAAATTGTAATTTTGAACCCCGGTGCGTCATAATTATGACGTAAGCTTGGACATGCGCACAACTGTTTCGCGAACGGCGTTCACGAACGCAAAGGGGGGCAAAGTATGAGTTAGAAAAGGACAGAGATTAATTTGTGTCCTTTTCTATCTCATGCGTCTCGTTCGCAAACGAATTTTGCGTTGGTCTCTGTCTAAAGTACTTAGTATAATAATACTGCCTCAACGTCATATTGATTCAAATGCCCTTAAGGACATATTTTTTCTATAATAACAAAAATATTATAAGTATTAAATTTTAAAGTTTTGTTAGTTTCTGTTTAAGAAATGAAAAATTTTACAAAATATTAATTTACAACTGTTAACAAAAAAAACAAAAGTTTATCTCTAATGTCTTTCTTTTCAAAACACTGAGGTAGTAAAATGATTGTATTAACTATTAATAGTAAATTACTGTCAACTTAGAAAATAATAAATTAATAATGTTTGTAATAAAATTATAGTGTAAAAAAAGATTATTTTCTATTGTATTTACTCTTACCAGATTCCTTTTGATAGCTACACGTGTGACGAAAGAATATTGATCGGCTTTTTGAGCTGCGCAAACTCCTGATTGTTCACCTCGTGTTAAATGTCAGTTTACTCAGGTTCTCAATCGGGTTGGTATTCACGAATTATAATGAAAAAAATTATTTCCGTAATTATGAAGTTTAATTTTCTTTTTATCGAGATATAATCATCTCTGAGAAATAATCAGTGGATGACGCGTTGTGTATATAAAATTAAAACTTAATTAGTGTTTTGTTTCGATTGAAATTTTAGTGATTCATTTTTTTTTTTATGTTTTACTACTTTTAGCAATCAATGTTTTTTTTGTCTTAAACATTAAAAATTAATTTTGATTATAGTACTGTCATCTGTAACAATGTAATGACATTATGCAAAACCTGGTAGATATTTTATTAATTATTAGCTGTGTTTGTGATAATAAATTATTAATAATCGAAAATGTATATATATTCAGTTTAATTAATTATTAACAACTTTATTTGCTCTATTATTCATAAATGCAAAGAGAGTTGAATTTTTTTTTCTAATACAAAAATATTCTGGTTTTTCATGACCCAAAATTATTTAAAATTGAAATAATTTCCTTTTTTTTAAATATTATATTTTGCTACTGATTAATTTTGTTTATTTCTAAATTAGTTTTTTAAATTATTTAAAGATAAGTTTATATACTTTTAGTTCCTTAAATTGTTTTAATTTTGTTGAAATATTTGGAAATTTGGAGCAATTTAAAATTTATTTAGAAACCGTTAATTTTTTTATTTTTATTTAATTAAACTAGTTACTTAAATGTTTGGAATATTATTTTGAAAATTAAGTTTACTTATTATAAATATTACACTATGCAGAAATTATAAGTTTATCTAAAAATATAAAGAGTTTATAAAGCAAGGTTTTAATATAAGTTTTGCAATTTGCGGATTACGTGACCATGACATTTTATAAACGAGTAAAAATAACGTATATTAATTTTATTTTCAATAAGAAAATAAATAATTTTTTTTTAGATGTCAGATAAGAATCCCGAGATGAGAGCAACAGCTGCGAGAATTTGTCGTGAACATTTACATGGAGTTTGGAAACACGTCACCCCGGATAATATTGTTGTTAAACGTATAAGGTACGTTAATATAAATATTCATTAAAAAAAAGATTTAAAATCATCTGAAAGCAAAAATAAAAAAAATTGATTATTGAAATGCTTCTTCATGTATTTGTCAATGTCATGTTATTTTTACATGCAAAGGGGAATCCTTTATAACCGTATAATTATTACTTGATCCAAAGTCGTGCACCTCTATTAATAAATGATTTTATTTCTTACCTTTTTATAATATTGTTAATTTCCATTGTCGAAAGTATTAATTACTTTTATTTTACAACAGTGGTGGACTAAGTAACTGGTTGTACAATGTACAACTGCCAGAAGGCACAAATCCAGTTCGTGGTGAACCCAGACAAGTATTGGTACGACTATTTGGCCAAGTCCATGGAGAAAGGGCATTGGAAGGTCTCATAACCGAATCAGTAATATTCACACTACTATCAGAAAGACAACTTGGTCCAAAACTTTATGGAATCTTCCCTGGTGGTAGAATTGAGGAATACATCCCTGCCCGTCCACTTCTCACTAAAGAACTATCTGACCCGATATTAAGCGAGTTAATTGTTGAAAAATTGGCAATGATCCACAAAATGCATGTCCCTATTAGTAAAGAACCCTCGTGGATTTGGGAAACAATGACTAAGTGGCTTAACATAGCTACTGACATTCTGGAGAACGTCGAAGATATCGATTCCCAACAACTTGACAATGTTAAGGCCATCAAATCACTTAAACTTGAACATGAAATCAAATGGTACAAGTAAGTATTAACTCGTTTCTATTATGTTTATTTCATGTTCAGTTCTATTATGTATAGTTTTAGTTTCTATTTTTAACCCGAATCGAACATTTCCTTAATTTTTTTTTTTATTTTCAGATCGTTAGTTTCTCTGCAAAAATATCCGGTGGTGTTTTGTCATAATGACTTACAGGAGGGTAACATTCTTCTACGGCAAAATTCCTCTAAACCAGAACTAGTTGTCATTGATTTTGAGTATTGTTCCTACAATTATAGAGGTTTCGATCTTGCAAATCATTTTGCTGAATGGCAGTACGATTATAAAGAGGATAATCTTCCGTTCTTTGTCGAGAGACGAGGATTCGCCCCCACAAGAGAGCAAAAGGTAAGTCTCAAATGGGGGGGTTGGGAGAATAGTAAAAAAAAAGGCTCGGTAAGAAATACTTCTTCCAATTATTGTAACATTGTTTGATCAGTATTATAGAGTCAATTTACAATCTCTACAACATTTTTTTTTTTAAATTAAGGAATTTATTTTTTCAAAAGAAGCTATTTAAAATAATTTTCAAACCCAAAATTTCAGTTTGATTTTTATACTTTTTTTCAAATTAAAATAGTAATCAAGTTTTATATCATTCATTTTGTAGTTTGCTCTATTCATTGCAAATATCATATTACTTGGAGAGTCTATTAAAGAATCATTTCTTTCGAGGATGGATCGCTATTGTAGAATTCTGTTTACGAAAACATAAATTTACTTCACTATTAATTTTCTAGTGTTTTTTAATATTATCTTTTAAAGACTTTACTACAAATATTTTTATTTAAACAAGAAAATTTATTTGCATTTAAAATATGAACGAATAAACTGCATGTTTATTTGTTGGGTATTAAAAATTCAGTTTAACGATAAAAATTTATTTTTCACATTTTTAGTCATAATTTTGAGATTTGAATTTTTCCGGAATTATTCACGAATAAACAATTGTCAAATTTTGTTTTTCGAATACCCTAAATGACGCTGTAAACATTTAGTTTTTCAATTCGTAAAGAATTCTACATTAAAGATCGATACTCAAAATAATATTATAGAATTTGGACTACTTATTGAATTCTGTTTCCTACATTCTGTTCTTGCCTATACAGCGCAAGGATAGTGCAAACAACTTTGGAATCAAAAATCAAAATTGCCAGAATTTCTAGTCCGAATTCTATATTTCACATAGAAAATTTGACTACTTTTTTTCCTTTAAATAAAATATCCATTGGCAACTAAAATTTGAAGAAAGTTTAAAAAATATCTAAAAGAAGCGAAAGGTTAGGTTTGTGAGGATATTTGAGGGTAGGGTATATAGGACACCTTGGCGTGTGTTGCGTGTGTATGTATTAGTTTCACAGGACCACCATTCGACAAATTGTGGGGGGCAATTGATAACTGCCTGAGTCCTGGAACTCGACTTCCGGTGTGCTTTTGGATCCTGAGGAATCCGATGTCATATCCATCATGCATGGCCTGATGACCAGAGCGGCATCTACGCCTCTTCAACATTAAATAGAGTACCTCAACACGCACTCTAATAGTCAATTTTTAATCCACAAAATTCAATTAACTGCTGATGCCTTTTGGCGCGTGACAAACAATGCGAAACTGCAATCCGATGCTCTTGTTAATGGCCAAAAGTACAGAACAGCTTCGGTCGAAATTTAAAAAAAAAAATGGCCAAGCTGATGTACTATCTAATCTCTAAATGTGAGATTCTGACTTAATATCCCATGAAATTCTATAGTTAATTTTTATTACTGTTTAGAAAACATTTAATTTCGCTGTTTTCTAAAATACAATATTTATTTTAATATTTTTTTTTTCAAAAAAGCAAAAATTTTTTTATTTCATTTCAAGCTTTCGTCATCATTGGCTTTTCTATTTTGTGTCTTTGTTGTCTCAATTATTCGAATATTTAAGAATTTTTTATTATGGTGTAATTTTATATTTAATATACAATCATATTTAAAAGATTGAAAGTAACTTTTATACTTCAAAAATAGTAAACAAAAATTTTTTTTGTCCTACCTGCACGAAAAGTATGTCATTTCGGGCACTTAAAGTGGGCGCAAAGTAACTGATTCTCGCCCGGGGTCGGGGAAGCGGGCGCAAAAGTTCTTTTACGCCCGCTGACGTCACACAAGCGGGCGCAAAAGTACTTTTGCGCCCGCTTCATCTAGCCCGAGCGGGCGCAAAAGTACTTTTACGCCCGCTTGCTGGACTTTTGCGCCCGCTTCGCTCGTGCCCTCAATGCCATACTTTTCATGCAGTTAGGACAAAAAATTATGTTCGCAACATGGGCGCAAAATAGGTGATTACGACTTCGGCGAGATTTCGGGACCTCGGGGACACTTTCGCACCCTCGGCTTCGCCTCGGGCGCGAAAATGTCCCCTCGGTCCCTTCATCTCGCCATCGCCGCAATCACCTATTTTGCGCCCTTGATACGATAATAACTATTTCATGAAATTTTAACATGTTGGCTTACATTGTAAATTTAATTTTGTATATTACAGTTGGAAATATAGATTTTTAGTTTACAAAAATCTTTTCGTTTTAAAAGAACTTTAGTTGGATTTTTAGAATTTCTTTTTCAATATCTCGATTAATTGAGAATTATGTATACTACACAAAATTTAATTGATTGTCATTTCTCAAAATTAGTATTAGTAGAAACTGTAGTCAGGGGTTGGACAAAAATCATCTAAACTTTATTGAGTAATTGGGTCGATTTACATAAATAAAAAAGCATAAATGATACGAAGAATCATAAAAAGAAGTATAACTTAAAGTGATTTTTGAACGGCCCCTTAAGAGGCCATCCCTACTTAATACAGGAAAGTAAATGAAAATAAATGAAAATAAATTCACAAATATTTTTGCTTCACTAATTAAATGTATATTTTATTGTATAAATTCTTTTTAAAAATACACAAATGAAAAAAAAATTTTTATAATGAAAAAGACGACACTTAAAAATACAACTACAACAATAATATTTTTATAAACTTTCTATCAAACAGTTTTCTGAAATGTTTTAAACTCGTGTAAATTTACAGAAAAAATTTGTTTAAATAAAAAATGCAACTAATTAGTACGTAAAAAGCCATATTTCTTGTGTTAACTAGAGACGTTACCTTTTAACATTTTCATATTTTTTCAACTATTATTTCTTATTTCATATTATTCATCTTGACAAATTCACGATATATTTTCTCATGAAAATTTATTTTTTATATTTATTATATATTTATATTGAAGGAATAAAAAAAAGGAAGAAAATATTATAAGATTCCTTTTTCTAAATTAATATAAAATTCAAATTCAAATGTCGGGAAACATTCACTTCTAAAATTGTAATTTCACCATGTTTCTCATCTACTTGTCTTCTTAAATTGAAGTTAAAAAAAAACTATAATTAAAGTTCAATTAAAATTGGAAATTTATTTTAAATATAATAATTTTAAAAAAAAGTTGATAGTTTGAAAATTTTTTAATATCGTATTTTAATAATGTTCTCTTTTTCAACAGCTGAATTTCATCAGGTGTTACCTGAAGAAAATAGGTAAAGAAGGCGAAGCTGAAGAGGAAAAATTAATGGCTGAAGTTCAAGTTTTCTCATTGGCTACTCATCTTTTCTGGGGTTTGTGGGGAATTGTCAACGCCAAAACATCTGATATTCCATTTGGATATTGGGTAATAAAAAAAAAATTTTTTAAAGAAATAAGAAATAACAAATAAATTCACACGGCATTCGAAAGCCTTTCTTTTACTATAAATTTTTCACCTGTAGAATTTATTTGAAATTTGTTCTGGGCAGAGAGGTGGCTCAGTTGGCATGGAATGACTCATTATGGGTCATTCCATTTCAAAACGACCCTCCTTATAAACAATTGACATTGTAAGGCAATTTTTAAATAATCATTTAATAATAATAATTATTTATTATTATTTTTATTTATTATTATTTATTATTATTTATTAATAATAATTATTTAATAATTTAATAAATTATTTATTTTTGTATTTAAATATAATTGAATTCTCGAAAGATTTTCTAATAAAAATTGATTAAATAATCAAAAACAAACAAAATTAAATTTTTGTGCGGCAACCCTGTAATAGTAAATAAACTTTGGTGAACTTTGGCTTTAATAAATAGGAGAATTATTATTCAAAATTCGCCTTACTAAAAAATGTATTGTAACTAATGAGAAAACATTTTTTTTATTCAGGAGTATGCAGCATCACGACTAAAAAATTATCTACGATTGAAAGAGAAATTAATTGCTTCGAGTAGCATAAACGGAGGAATGAAAAGGAAATTCCTGGACTGAATCAAAAAAAAAAAATAAATAAAAAGCTGGACTTAATACTAAATCTCATGAAAAGGAGAAGGCGCTACTGTTTGTTACACGGATATTGGAAAATTTTAGCAAGAATAAAGAGATTAATGATACTTAATGATGTAAACGAAACATTGTGATATGATCGTTCTAATGAGACTTACAGTTTCGTACTATAATTAGTAACTCAAAGAAGAATGACAAGAATGAAAGAATATAGGTGCAGAAAGAGAATGTGATATAGAGTACTTAGAAAATGAAGAGGTCCCCTGTTTCTAATGAAACATTTAAAAAAAAAGTTATTAACGAAATAGTCCTTTAAAATTTGAAAAGTGACTTACTTAGGTAGAAAATAATTACAGACAAATTGTTTATTGAGATTATCAATAAAATCAATGAAATTTACAAGAGAATATATTGATATATAAAAAGAACTAAAAGATTGATTTATAGTATTAATTAAAAATTCATTACAAAAATTTGTAATCAAAGAAATCTTTTCTGATTTTTAAAAATAGAAAACTTGTAGTAAAATAATTGGAAACTGTATTCATATCTCATAAAATTTTTTCTAAAAGAAAATTGTATTTTATACTTTTAAATTAGAATTGTAATTTATGTTTCTGAAATCGAATATTAGGATCTTTACTAATCTGTATTAAATATTGTGCTTCTTTGCTATTGAAAATAATTTATTAAAAGATTCATAATTAGAATTTAAACACAAAAAATCGAGTGTTTAAAATATTTGTATTATGCTGATTGTATTTATACTACGTCGTATATATATAGTATGAAAGCTTTATTTTTATTCACGTCAATTCGATGTAATGTGAAAGTAATACAGTGATTTTATACCATTTTATCTACTAAATGGAACGAAATTACCTTCTAAGGCCTAGGGTTAAGTTCTTTTATATTGTAAAAAATTTCATTTGACATCCTCTAAAATAATCTTTTTAAAACTGAACTTTCCAAAAAATAACTTAATAATAATGTAACACTTCGCTTACAAAAGGGTACTTAATCTAAAAGTAATCACTTTTAGGATCAAATTGTACAAAATCAACTAAATTTTATAATCATTGTATTTATTAGACCAACATGTTTAATATCATTTTGTAAGTTATTTTATTACAATAAATTATATTTATGTTGGATAATTTGAAATTATTGAGTCGTAAAAGTAGATTTAAATAATCTATTTTGGTGTTATTTTTAACTGTGAATGAAATTTTACTTTAAATAAAACACCAAAGTCAACGATTTGTAAAAATTCAACGAATTTAGCTTCTCCAGGAAGAATAGTAAGTTAGTAAGTTAGTTATTAACTTACTAACTAACTTAGTGACATAGTTACTAAATTCAATTGTGTTCAAAAATTTTAAAAAATTCTCGTCAAAATTTCAATTCTCTTTATAAATAATAAAATTCTTCTCTGATATTCAATTATTTTACAAAATTTTAATCAAATTCTTGTCAAAATTTAAATTATTTTCAAAACTTTTCTAAAATTCAATGATTTTCAATATCTACTATTTCAATAAAATTTTTCAAAAGAATTCCATTATTAATAGTTAAAAAAAATTTCGATAAAATTTTACGCAAACATTCAATTATTTTCATAAATAATAAAATTTTTTACAGGAATTCAATTATTAACAAATTTTTTTATAAATTTCTTCGCAATAATTCAATTATTTTCATAAATAATAATATTTTTACAGGGATTCAATTATTTTTATAAATAATGAAATTCTTTTAGGAATTCAATATTATTTTCATAAATAATAAAACTCATTGCAGAATTTCAATTATTTTTAATGCAATTTTAATCGAATTCCTCGAAAAATGTAATTATTCTTAAAAAAATTTATTAAAATTCGTCCAAACAATTTTATAATTTAAAAATTTTGTTGATAACATTTTTAATGAGAATTTAATTTCAAGAAACAAGAAATTAATAAATTATTTATTTTTGTATTTAAATAATAGAATTTATCGTAGAATTTACTAATAAAAATGGTTTTAAAAATGAATTTCAGTTAAAATTTTAGATTACAATTAAATAGTAAAAGCATTATAACGTGGATTTTTAGAAATAATTAAATTTTGAAAAAGTTTCTAACTTAAATCTTTAAAATATTCTTTTTTTTCATATTTTTGACAAAAAATTCTGTAGAATTAATTCTTTTTAAAAATAAAATAGGATTTTTATTCAAATTATTTCAAGTTTTTATTTTTTCAATATAATATTTAATTGCAGAATTTCCGAATAATTGAAATTTTGTAAAATTGAATTGTAAACGAATGAATTTGAAAATTCTCATAAAACTCATCGCAGCGTTTCAATTACTTTTCATACAATTATAATTGAATTCCTTGAAAAAAGTGATAATGTTCATGCAAGTTTTAATAAAATTCGACAAAAGTATTCAATTATTTAAAAATTTGTTATTAAAATTCTTTATAAGAATTGAATTTTCAGAAATATTCAATTATTCAATAAATTATTTACTTTTGCATTTAACTAATTAAATTCTTGTAGAATTTTCTAATAAAAATTTATTAGAATTTTTTAAAATAATATTGAATTTCCAAGAAGAAATTTATTACTTTTAAAAATAATTAAATTCTTGTGATGAATATTGTTATTTATGAAAAGAATTGAATTTTTGAGAAGAATTTTATTATTTATGAAAATAATTGAATTATTGCGAAAAATTTTATTAAAATGTTTAAAATAAATTGAATTTCTGTGAAAAAATTTGTAATTTTTGAAAATAATTGAATTCTTAAAAACGATTTTATTAGAATTTTTTTTAAATAATTGAATTTCCAAGAAAATAATTATTACTTTTAAAAATACAATTGAATTCTTGTGATGAATTTATTGTTATTTATAATAATAATTGAATTTTGTCAAAATTTTATTAAAATACCTCAAAATAATTGAATTTTTGGGATTAATTTTGTTATTTACCTACATAATTTAATTTTTTCGAAGAATTTCTTTATGTAAATAATTTTTTCTTGGGAAGAATTTTATTAAAATCTAAAAGAATAATTGAATTATTTAAAAAAATTTAATTAAAATTGTATTAAAAATAATTGAAATCCTACGATGAATTTTATTATCTATGAAAATAATTGAATAGTTGCAATTGAAGTTTGCAAAGAATTTTATTAAAATGCCTTAAAATAATTGAATTTTCTGGAATAATTTTGATATTTATTGACATAATTGAATTCTTTCGAAAAATTATTATTACGAATCTGTTGTCAAATTTAAAAAATTAAAAATGGTGGATCCAATGTGGTGGACAGATTTTTTTTAAATTTTAACGTATTGTCTTGAAATTCATTATGCGGGGGTATTGGGTTCACTGATTACGCGAATTCGGTGTCAGATTTTAAAAATTCAAAATGGCGGATATAATATGGTGGACAGATTTTTAAAAACTCAACGTATTGGCTTGAAATTCATGACTCGGGGGTTTTTGGGATCACTGATTACGAATCCGGTGTCAGATTTTTAAAATTCAAAATTGCGTATCCAATATATGGATTTTTTTTTTTTGAGACTTACAAAAACTAGAATTGGAAAGTAATGGTAAATAATATGATATCAAATTTTCGAAATAAATTATTAAAACCAAGTTATCTTTCGTAAAACAGTATTATTTATTTTTCATAACATGTATTTGAATGACTCCACTAATAAAATTTACACAACAAATGCACTCAAATTAATTATCTTAAGTCGTAACATCATTTTTACAATAAGTCCAATACGTTAAATGTTTCATTATAGACGTTTTTCTCATTCCATAGTGGAGTATGTCAAGGTGATATTATTTTTTTTTAAAGTCCAGTAATCTTTTGTATGTTCGACTGTGCATTCTTTTTTAGTTGTGCGTTCATCGCTGTACTTTTTTATCGACATATTTTTTTTATTTGATACGGTTTGCAGTGAAAACGATATAAAGATCATTATTAATGAAAAAAAAATCACCTGTATCTTAGTTTATCTCTGGTTTTTTTTTTGTAATATCCACGTTTCCACGATTATTAGTATCACATTCATTGACATAGTCGCGATAATTTTTGTTGACCATCTAATTTTATTAATTTTATTACAGCCTTTAATTAATCATCTATTCACATTATTGAAAATTACAATTTTTTTACAGGCGGGGGGCTTTTTTTTTATTTATTCGTGGAAACGAGACGAGCTGAGCATATTTAGTATATGTTTAATAGTTATATAACGCTAGGTTTTTGGTTTCTCAAAACTGTAATTAAAAGTTATTAAATAATTCTTTAACATTATAAAACACGCATTGTATTTTTGGTTTTGTTCCCATTCGAATAAAAAAATTTGAAAAATTTTTTAAAAGAAGACTTCTGAAAATTATTTTTAATTAGATTGTTGGGCAGAATGGGACTGGAAGGTTCTTGTGTTTAAGTTACTTTCTTTGACGTACGCCGATATATTAAATCTAGATTCTAGATTTGACTATATTTTTTTTTCATTTAATTAGTTTACATTTAAAAATAGATGACACGGTGGGTAGTTTTTGGAAAATCAAATTTATTTCCTTGTTTTCCTTTTTCTTTTTTTTAATGATGATAGGGGTCAGTGAAGTTTTAGCATTATCAAAAATTACGTTCCTAAAATTTTTTAAAACCATTTTTTAACTATATTGTTTTTTTTATTAAAAATTTTGTTTGTTTATAAAATAAAAAAAATTGTTGAAATCCATATAATTGCTTTTCAAAAATTATATTCCAAAAAAAATCATAACAAAAATTATAATGTATTGTTGAGTAAAAGGCTTATCGGTCATGTTTAAAAAAAAGTAAAAATTCACTTTTTTTATTTTAAAAAATTTTTTTATTAACAAAAGTATCGACGTTTCGGGTCGGTACTGATCCATCTTTATGACTAAAAAACAGAAAAGAAAAAAACGTCGACACTTTTGTTAATAAAAAAATTTTTTAAAATAAAAAAAGTGAATTTTTACTTTTTTTTTAAAACACGACCGATAAGCATTTTACTCAATAATACATAATTAATAAACGGTCACTAACTTCAAGTATATATAAAAATTATGTTTAATTTTTATTGAATTTAAAAAAAAAATTAATTTTACTATTTTTAACACTGCAGGGGATCGATTATTTGATTTCATTTTTACTTCTGACTTTCATTTTCATTAATAAATTATTTATTTTTGTATTTAAATAATTTATTTCTCGAAAAATTTTCTATTAAAAATTGATTGAAAAATGAATTTCACTAAAAATTTAAAATTATAATAAATTGAAATTAATAGCATTATAGCGTTAATTTTTAGAAATAATTGAGTTTTAAATTAAAATCTTTGAAAATTTGAATTTATAGTAACAATATCCTTACGATATAAAATAATGATTTTATCACTCTGTCATCTTAAGTTGTCATAGAATTATTTTCAAAATTGTTTGTAAAAAATTAAAAATCTTCGAAATAATTCAATTATTTTCGTAAAAAATAAAATTTTTCGAAGCAATTAAATATATTTTAATAAAATTCCTTCCAAGAATTCAATTCTTTTCAAAAATAAACATTTTCACATGAATTTAATTATTTAAAAAAAATTTAATAAAGTTCTTCGTCAGATTTCAATTATTTTCAATTTTTTAAGGGCATTTGAACCATGATGACGTCACAGATTTAAAACTAATGCTTTGCACAAACTGTGACGTCATCAAGGTTCAAATCCCCTTAATGAAATTTCTCGATGGAATTTAATTTTTTTTTTTTTGAAAAAGTTTTTAAAAATTCTGAGAAATTCAAATATTATTTTAAAAATTATTTTAAAAAATTTAAATAAAATTCTTGTCAAAATTTCCATTATCTTTATAAATAAAATTCATCCTAGAAATTCAATTATTTTTAAAAGTAATAAAATTCTTCGCAGAAATTCAATTATTTTCAAAATTTTTTTAAAATTTCTCGTCACAATTTTAATTATCTTCATAAATAATAAAATTAATTCTGGAAATTTAATTATTTTCAAAAATTTCTGATAAACTTCTTTGGAAAATTCAATTATATTCAATAGTAATAAAATTTTTCGCGAAAATTCAATTATTATCACAAATTTTTTTTTAAATTCTCGTCAAAATTTTAATTTTTCTTTATAAATATCAAAATTCTTCTGCAAAATTCAATTACTTTAAAAATTTTTTTTTTTATTTGTTCAAAATTTCAATTATCTTTAGAAATAATTCAATTCATCTCCGAAATTCAATTATTTTTAAAAGTAATAAATTTTTTCTTGAAAATTTAATTTTATTTAAAAAAATTCTAATAAAATCGTTCGCAAGAATTCAAATTATTTTCATAAATAATACAATATTCTTCTCAGGAATTCAATTATTTTCAAAAGCTTTAATAGAATTATAAGCAAAAATTTCTATTATTTTTAAAAATTTGCCTGAATTCAATTTTTAAAAAAAAATTAATAAAATTCTACGCCAACATTTAATTATTTTCATAAATAATGAAAATTTCACTGGAATTCAATTATTCACTTTTTATTTAAATTTCTTCGCAATAATTCAATTATTTTCATAAAAAATAATTAAAAAAAAATTTTTTTTTATAAAGTAATATTATAAAATAATGATTTTATCAATTTACTATTTTTAATTATTATAAAACATGAAGACTCGGAGTGATCGATTTTTTTTATGTTTTATAACAATTTTTGTTGTTTAATTTCAAAAATGTTTGAATTTGCATTTTTTAAAAAAATAAAAAAGTAAAAAAATAAAAAAGTAAAAAAGTAAAAAAGTAAAAAAGTAAAAAAGTAAAAAAGTAAAAAAGTAAAAAAGTTAAAAAAGTAAAAATAAAAACCGTTGAAAGTGAAAATGAAAGTGAAAATAAAAACAAAAACCGTTCGAAGTGAAAATAAGAATGAAAGTGAAAGTGAAAATGTAAGTCAGTAAAAAATGAAATTACATAATCGACCATCAGGAAAAACAAATTTTGAAGATAATTTGCTGTAAACCAATTAAATGACTTGTATTAACAGGTATAATTTTTCTTTATCGAGTAGGACGTTATTTAGACTCTCACTGCACATTAAAGAACCAAAATTAAAAATTTGACTATAATAGTTGAGGGAAACCAGGATCAGTGCATTAAGTAATCGGAAGACAAGTTACTTTTCATTTTCTTAAATTAATTATACTATTCTATTAATTTTATTTTTTTTATTCATAATTTGTATCTCTTTTATTCCTATTATTTTAATTAATGAATTTATTTTCATTCAGCTATTGGAAATATAGTTTATACTCTTTGATTTTTGCTAAACATTAAGCTTGAATTTATGTCTTTAAATCGATCTTTTTATGTCTTTTTGGACATAAATTTTTGGGATTTTTGGACATTAAGAAGTATTTTTTTCTTTGCTTCATATGAGCGATTCTTGATCAGTGTAAGGTCGTCATTTATCGAAATGTATTACTATTCAGTATTCTATTAGATTTTACATACTTTATTGACTTTTTTTTTATAAACGAAAAGTAAATTATTTTCAGATTTCTCGTATAAATTGATCTGAATAGTTTTTTTTTGTGGGATTGTCAAGGGTTGAAAATGATGAACAAACGCACCTACGGCAGTGAGTATAAGGTATTTTTCTACATAAAATTTTTCTATACAAATTACAATTTTTTTTTTTAATATAGGTGCGGCACCATTTTGCTAGTGCAGTGCTTTGATAAATATTATGTCGCAAATATTTCATCTCTTAAATTAATTATCTTTTCTAAATAAACCTTTTCTGATAATAAAATACCACACAGTTTTTTTAATAATTTTTATATTAATATACTTAGTTAAAAATCCTTCTATAATTAGTAAGTATATTTAACAGCTAACAAGGATCCATATTTCTTAAAGCTTGAAAATGCATTTTATCTCACTAGTTTCTTTTTCTCGACAATTATACACTTTTTGTAAAGAATAATTTTCAACGTCATCATGAATTGTTTGGAATGAAAATTATACTAGATTTTTCCAACATAAACAAAATTATTTATATTATAATATATTTTTGTAGTTTTTTTCAGTAAAAATGAATTTTATATACTTTTTTGAAATAGTTAACTGTTAGAATAATAAACTTTAATCAGAAATATATTTTTCTTTTTTTTTGATAAAAGAATCTTTCATTATGATCCAACAAAGAATTCTGTATTGTATGCGAGTATTAATAGAATTTTATTCTTCTCTTTTAATAAAGAATATTTTAATATTTTTTTTAAAACAGAATCTTTTATCATAGGGTTTTAACAAAGAATACTGAATTTTCTATAAGAAAAGAAATATTCTATTATTATTTTTTAATAAAATTATTTTTGCCATTTTATAGTTTATATCGGCAAATGTGGAAAACTTATTATAAATTTATTTGTAGGTAGAAAAAATTATAAAAATGCAACGTCAATTAAAATAATGTTCTATATTATTTTTATGCTTTCTTGAAAAACTAAATATAAAAAATAAATAAAGTAATAAAATTAATGATAGGAACTTTTCATATTAACGAAAATTGCGTACCTTTTCCAGTCTTACTTTTCACTTAATTTGTACAACATATTGCGTACTGAATTTGAATAAAAAAAAAAAATTTTAATTTTTGTATTCTGATCACAAGGTGTCTCCAAATTTTGCATTTGAATAAATAAATTATAATAAAATATTATCTAAGATGTATAATAATAAAATAATTACAAAAAAAAACCAAAAAATTTTCTAATAATATTTTTTTTACTGATTTGAGAACAAATAATGTAGAGGAAGCTTTTTTTCAAAAACTGAAAAATAGATGAATAAAAAATAAAAATTAAAAAAATGACGTCAAACCCTGTTATGTCATTGCAAAGTACGTCAATTATTTTGTACAAAGCCCTAATTACCCGTAAAATCATTGGCACCGATTATATTTTTTTTTTAAATTTTCTTAAACACTGCTGGTTGCGTGACAATCTTCAAGAGTTGCTAAACTACTTGCTCGTAACGATGCTAAACTTAAGGAACTCTGATTCAAAGGATTCATTCCATGAGGATCGTCACAATGAAGGTACAGTCGAGAACTGACGGATTTATGGCAATCGGGACATAAACGCTTCTTTTTCTTGTCCCTTCGTTTTAAAATGTCGTATGCACACCTGAAAATTGTAGATAATTGCAATTAACTTTCGTTTTTTAAATTTTAACACTTTAAGCGAGCAGGTCTTTTAATTTTAAAAACAACCTGGTGTAATTATAAAAAGGATGAAAGAAATTTAATCTCAAAGATTAAGAACTGTATTAAAGTAATTTTAAAAAAGTATGTTTTAATCCAAGTCACGGATTAAAAAATACTGTTATATTTCAAAAACATTTAATGCCGATGGTTTGAATATAAGAATTTTTGAAAAATTAGATAATGTTGAAAAGAACTTGCGGATTACATTTTACTTGAAAACTAAAGTAAAGTGAAATAAGTTAAAAGAGAATATGTAATTAGAATAAAGATAATTTTGAATCTAATTATACAATTATTTTTAATATGTATTAACATTTTAATGAAGAGATTTTATAATTTCATTCCTTGTGAAATTAACATGTAATCCGCTTTGTTCTGGGTGATGATTTTTTTATAGATTGTACCTGGCATGTAAAATATGTGAGCAAGGCAAAGCCTCTAGGGAATCTGCTTCAAGTCCGAAAGGTTCATTGCAGCTTCCACAACGTAATTCTAAGTCTTCTTCCATCGTTGCTGCTAATCTTTCATGATGACTTTTTTGCTCTTCATCTCCTAATGATGCATAGATTCGAGATAATCGACATCTTACTGTTCTCACTAGAAGCTGAAAATTTTTATTGCAATTGTATCAAATATATTCAAATCGATCGGTTACAACGGTTGTGATGATTTTTAATTCTTAAATTGCAAATAACGAAGTACCAACGGATCTGAATTCGTTAAAATAATGTTACAATAGTTCTTTATTAATTTGGCCTTAAGTCTTCTTGTATGCAAGATATCAAGTTCCAGTTGATACCAAAATGAAGCTTGACTCTTTACCTAACTTTTATCTCATTACGAGTATATGCTAGGAAAAAGATTTGAGTACGTTTTTTAAGAGTCTAGGAATTTGATATTCACAACGTCTAAACTTTTTTTAATTCAAATGGCCATAATTTTTCTTATATGCAAGATATCAAGTTCCGATTGGTACAAAACTAAAGCTTGACTCTTTCCCTAACTTTTATCTCATTATAAGTATAAGCTAGGATAAATATTTGACAATATTTTTTATGATCTTAGAAATTTGATATTTTCAGCATGTAAACTTGTTTTGATTCAAATGGCCATAACTTTTCTTGTCTTCAAGATATCAAGTTCCGGTAGGTACCAAAATGAAGCTTGACTCTTTCCCTTACTTTCATCTCATTACGAGAATAAGCTAGAATAAATATTTGACAATGTTTTTTATGTTTCTAGTAATTTGATATCTTCAACATGTAACATTGTTTTGAATTCAAATGGCCATAAGTTTTCTTGTATGCAAGATATCAAGTTCCGGTTGGTACCAAAATGAAGCTTGACTCTTTACCTAACTTTTATCTCATTACGAGTATATGCTAGGAAAAATATTTGAGAACGTTTTTTATGTTTCTAGTAATTTGATATCTTCAACATGTAACATTGTTTTGAATTCAAATGGCCATAAGTTTTCTTGTATGCAAGATATCAAGTTCCGGTTGGTACCAAAATGAAGCTTGACTCTTTACCTAACTTTTATCTCATTACGAGTAAGTGCTAGGAAAAATATTTGACAACATTTGTCATGATTCTAGTAATTTGATAATTTTGACATGTAACATTGTTTTGAATTCAAATGGCCTTAAGTTTTCTTGTGTGCAAGATATCAAGTTCCGGTTGATACCAAAATGAAGCTTGACTCTTTCCCTAACTTTTATCTCATTACGAGTATTTGCTAGGAAAAATATTTGAGAACGTTTTTTATGATTCTAGGAATTGTATATTTTCAACATGTAAACTTGTTTTGAATTTAAATGTCCATAACCTTCCATAAAGGCACCTAAACAGATCTTAGGGACAGGAAGATTATAGAGGAAGCTGAGGAAGTGAGATAATCGATTTAACAACTGTGACTATCGTTCTAACTTTGTGACTCGTTTTATGTAAAATAAAACTGTAAAAACATAAATATTCCAAAAACATTAAAATTTTTCGATTTTTTTATTACCTTCGCTCCAACAGATCCGGCAACTTCCAATAGTCGAGTATTAAACTCAAGAGGTCGACAGTTGCAAATTTTATTCTGTACCCTAAGTATTTCGAGACACCTTGCTGCACCATCCATAGCTTCCATTTGACATAAACGATCTCCAGTGGCTGCAGCAGATCCCATGGCACTTTCGTATTGGCGAAACGCCTTCTGCAATATTTGCAATATTCTTTTATGTAAAACATGTTCAAAAATTCACTTAAATATTAAAATTAATTTATCTAATGTGTAAATAAATTGTTTAACTACTAAAGAGGCGCTCAATGTCAAAAAGTATGGATTTTTTTTGTTATAAAAATAAACCAACCAGTAAATTTTGAATTTTTATTAAAATGTATTTAATACTGGATGATATAGCAGAATTCTTTGAGTTAAGAAAAAAAACTTAATTAGAATTTATACAAACATTTATATCGGACTTTTTTCTATAAATATCTCCCATGATTCGTATACTTCGAGCATAACTGGCTTGATCTCCAGAAACCAAAGATAAGCGTGTTGCCTCCTGGAAAAATCAATTTTGAAAAATGTTAAAAGAAGCTTTTCTTTAAAAATTTATTTTCTATCAGGAAGTGATGATGTAAGTAATTTACCGAACAGTAATCATGAGCATCACCAAGCTCGCCCTTTTTTCTAAGAGCAGCAGCCATTTGGAGCAATGCAGCTCGATGGTGCCTAGAATTTAAATCTCCCAGTTGTAAGCTCCTTGATAAGTCATAAGCTCTCGCTGCATATCGCGAACTTTTGTCTGCATCCTGTAATCTGCAGAACAGTTCTGACAAACCGACGTACACCTAAAAATAAACAAATTTTATTATTGAATTCAAATTCACTTTAATGTCTAGATATAAATTTGTATGTATACATAATATATCGAAACAAAAATGAAGAATAAACAAAATAATAGACATGAAGAAGATAATGACTGTAAAGTAATACTAAATTGAATGAAACTGTAAGCATAAATGTTATTTACTTGTAACTCTAAAGAGGGATCTTGAATGGAATGCGCAATTTTATGCGCCCTTTGGAAGGCTTCTAAGGCTTTGCAAAATCCCGCTAGTTCCAAATGAACCCGACCGACAGTTAAGTGAACAAGACCAGCAGTGGCACATTGGTCACATTCGTTGTATAAGCTAAAAATTGTTATTTAATCAATTATTTGCTTTCACTAGTTGTTATGTTGAAAATAGAAAATAAATACCTGTGTCTGGCGAAAGCTAAAGCTTTGTCTAACGCCCCCAGTCTTTCATGAGCTCTTGCAAGATTCAAGTACGCCTCAGCTCTCATATTAGGAGAGTCTAATTCTTCTGAAATACAAAGTTGTCTCTGGCCGAAGTCTATACTGTCTCTAAAAATAACAGAAAGAAGAAAAAATATTTCAAATCACAATTATTTTTTATTTATAATTTTTTTATAGTTTCCTATTAATTTTAAAAATCATATAGTAAATACTCGTCAATGAGGCAGATTATGTATTCTAAATACCATTATTTCAAAAGTTGGTCCTAAAAACTCTCACTTCATTCATAACGGATTGTTTAATATTTGAAGAAGTTATAATAGTTTTCAAAAGAGAACAAATATGTCAATAGTGAATTATTTATTAACAATACAAACATAATTAATACATAAGTCATTTAAACTCATTTTACTCCTGACATATCGGTATGTCCTGTAAAAGTTATAAATTGTAAATGAAAAAATTTTAGTACTATATGAAATACTGAAAGGATAAGGGACAATTCTATTTCAAGAAGAAATACATTGCCTCAGCGTTTATTTATTGAGGATTTATATAAGTCAAAGAAATTCTTTCACAATATAAAAATTTATGACTTAAACAGTTATTGCCGAATAGAGAAACATTCTCATCGTCGAGTTGGAAGCTGCGAAAGTTATTTTACGAGAATATCTTTCTCAGGCGACTTCAATATATTTTTCTCGCACTCCAAGATTACTATTTCTAAAAATAAAGTCCTATCAAAATTCGATTCATCTGTACATAGAAAGTAATATTTTTATATTGAATATTGATATTATTTTACAATCATATTCTTAAGCTGACAGTTACATGAATAATATTGAAGAATAATGTTATCAAAATATCTTGTATTATATTATGTTAGCAAGAAAGTTATTACTTCATTTAATTTTATTTAGTAGAATGAGTATTGGTAGTGACAAATTGTTCAACTCATTGTCGTAGTTCCTACTGCCTCATCGTTTGTTATTTTCTGAAGTAATTTATTTTTGCCAGACAAAAGATACATTTATTTACCTTTCTAGAAAATATCTTTGTCTGGATAGTAGATGCCAAATATGTTCATCTGTATTTTGTCAATTTTCTATTGGTTCCCTAGTTACATGTAATAACATTTTTATCACATCGACCCAAAGATGATAAAAGTGAGTAATTTTAGAAGGTAAGTAACTAATAGTTTAAAATTATGTCCCGATTTAAATTATCTTTTTGATTCCACAAAGTTCTAGTTTTGATTCAGTGTGCCTGACGACATCTGGATTTACTCTTTTTCTCTGATTCTAATTGTAAAGGATTCATAAATAAAACCTTTAATAATTTAATTTCAATTTAACAGTTACTCTTTCTTAAGACCCGTCCCTTAATATCAGAACCTATCGTTCTGTGAACATCTCTGTAATTTCGTAGAAATATTATCTAATTTCCACAAACCAATGTTTATCTGCAGGATGTCCGTAATATATTCTCAATATCCGAATGCTGTGAGGGTGCAACCTCTATTTTAACGATACAAGGGAAAAGTATTCTCCTCAAGCGAAAACTATTGGATAAAACCTCCCAATGTGGTTTGATGTTTAAAACGCATTGAGCAGTTTGCATACTTTCAATACGAATCGAGTTTGTTAAAAACTTTTTTTTACAATGTATTTAAAAAATTCAACTTTGCATAAACCAAAATAAAATCAATGTAAAAAAAATGATTTAAAAATAAAATAATAAAACGCTTTGACGTTGTAGAAATTACCAATAAGAGTAAAGATTAGTATCTGATGCACAGCGCAGTTTGACTAAAGGAGATAGATCCTAAGGTCAGTATCTACTCCTAGCAGTTGTTTTAAAACTTTATAACTTATTACAGAAGTAAGTTATTTTACTGTTTTCAAACAAATGGATTTTCTGCAGATAAACATAACATTAGAAAACTGTGATGAATATTAATTGAAAATTAAAGTAAAATTTCCCATGACTCTTGAACTTGAATTACTCTGTGCTGTAACTTTAATTTATCGAATCTTAGGTAAGTAAATATAATTAGCAAACAATCTTTAAATTGGTTATTAGGATTAAAATCGAATTTAGATATTGAAAATGCATTTTCACTTTGAAATTATAAAATCGATTTAACGTAAAAGAGAATTTAAAATTTACGTCGAAGTGCAATTCAATTTCTTAACCCTTTGAGGACCAAATTTTTTCTTAAAAAATCGCGATTTTTCATTTTTAAGCAAACTTTTCAGGGAAAGTTATTGAAGTTTTTTTACTTAAAGACCAGTGTTTGTGATACGAAATTTTCCAGACTATGTGAAAATTATTGTTTCAATATTCAGTTTTGAAAATTAAGAAATTTATGCCCGAGTTAATAAAAAAATGTTCATGTTGCCTGAAAGCAACACTGGTCCTCAAAGGGTTAAGCACCTCCCTAAGTGTATGTATTCCGTTTATTGTGGAAACACTGAAAGAATATTGAATTATAATATAAGAGTCCGCATCTGTAGTATGTTAAAATTTGAAAAATTTTCACATCCTTCGTATTTACGTAGAAAATAAGTTGTTTTGAAAAATTAAATAAAGTTTTGCTATAAAAAATATTGATAATACCGCGCTTGGTAGGTAATAAACAATATTTTTCAATTGTTTACAATCACGCACTGTGGAAACTCTTTCGCCGTTGAATAATTTTCCATCGCAACTCCATTGGAATTTTGATGAAATTTCCAATTGCGTTCCATTCTAGATGGAATTTCATAGGAAATCTGTCGGAAATCCAATGGAAATTATTAACAGAATTCCGATGAAGTCTTCAAGGGAAAATTAAAGTTACATTTTTTGTGTTCAACATACATTGACTCAATCTTTATTTTTCGTCAGAAATAGAACCTTGTAATTTGTAAATTCGAGTTTCATGATGACAATATATTAATTGTTTTTAGGAAAAATGCAGTTTTGACAATATATAGTTGATAACCTTATTTTATTAAGCGCGTAGACTATACATTTCAATTCCCTTTTCGTTAGTTTCTCAAAATTTGAAATTTATTCTGCCTCATAAGTATTATTTGAACACTAGTGACAAAAATATTGATATTGTAATCAACAAAAGAAAATATAGTTACAAAAAAAAAAATGTTGACAGCAGAAATAATGAGAAAGATAATCGAAAAATAGGTGAAAAGAAAATTTGTTAATTTAAGAATTTAACGTAGAATGAATGTTTGTATCTGAAGCATTATAAATTGGGGGAAGGAAGAGAAAATTATCTGGCTGTTGGTACTTAATGAACGGAATAAAAAAGAAGTTACAACCAGAATGATTTATTACCTGTATTTTCCCCAATCCATGTAAGCTTGGTAAAGGTAGCCAAGCAGAGCAAATTTGTCTTCACGTTGCCTAATACTTTTTAGAGCACCTCTCCATTTGCGCACAGCAGCTTGTTGTTTGTGAGCTCGATATAATTTCAGCCCCTGTTCCACCTGAAAATCACCAAAATTCTCCGTTTAGTTTTCGTTTGAAATTACTTTCAATTTGCTTCCTAAGTAAACAATTTTGTTGAAAATTTCCTTATTGCTCTAGAATTAAACTTCGTCAAATGTACTTTTATTTAAAAGGTGTGTTTTTGCTTCTGAATTACGTAGTATAAATTTGAATATTTCCTTTTTTTTTAAATCATAAAGAAAATAGTGGAAAACAAAAATATTTATTAACTAGAAGGCAAGAGTTTGTTAACACTTTTGTGTCCCAGAATAATCCTAATAGAAAAGTTAATATTATTCAATATCCCAGCACTTAATATCTCGAGGTTCTTCTATAAATAATTTGTAAATATTCTGCAAACCTTCTGTAGATATCAATTTGTGTTAATCTCTTTGTGTTAAAAAATATAATTTTATCTTTTTAATATCGATTTATTCCTGGCCTTGACCTATATTTTCAGTAAGCATAAAAATAATATTGTCATCAATAACATTCATTTATTTATAAACAGACAATTATAAGACATTTCGCAAAAAAATGAAATCATAAACATTATTAAATTTTCTTAAGATTATATCGTTTTAACGGGTTTCCAACAACAACATTATTAACAAAAAGTGTTTTTTAATATAGTTATAAAACCCGATGTAGAAGATTGTCCAAAAAATTAGCATTATCGGCAATTGAATTTTCTCTGCAAATGTATTCACAGTAGAATTTATTTCGTAATTAGTTTGATTACGAAATACGTAAAATTAAACATAATTTCTGGGTGCATACGGGTAGACATAAATTAGCAAAAGACAACAATGGTGGACAATTCAATGCATACGGTTTTGAATGCTTCAATAAAAACAACGAATTATTTCGAACAATCATTTATTTTCTATTGAAGAAATATTTACTTAATTTACTTGAAATTTGTCAATCAATTATTCACCGAGAAACACAATGAACAATGATAATCTGAGTCCAAATATGATAATGCCAGCTTTTGAAAATTAACAATATCATTCTCCTCAATAATATTATTGTCTCCAAATCTAAATTGTTTACTTTTCAATCTTCATATCATTTAATAAAAGGGCGTTTTTTTGTCAGCTCGTATAGATTGTTAAATAAATAAATTTCACTTTCTATAGACTCAAAAGACTATATTCAAAAATCAACAAAAACTAATTCTCAAATTTTTATACGGCGAGCCTCGTTCAAGAATGGTTTGTTTAATAATGGTTTGTTTCATAATGCAAGCAACATTTTTCTCTTGAATCAAATTTTTCAAACATAATTCAAGTGATGGAAAAATTTTTCCATTCAATGTTGTTGACCATAGGTATGACTGTATGAGATCTTGATCTTGTGTCCCATGAATAATAAACCATGTATATTAATCTGTGCGCCAATGTCAAGATTTGATTTATTCAGATGCGTGAAACTGTTTGTTTTGAAATGTCCATCTGTATTAATATCTATATTGGTAAGTCATGCAAACATTTTCGATGAGAAAAAAACAAAATAAAATCATTGTCAGAAAAATTATTCTCCCTCGGAAGTTTATGCGGCTGCTGGTCTAAATTATCAGCAGATTAATTATGGGTTTAGCAATTTGTAAAATTCTACTGATAATTAGTCGAATTTCACTAATTCAAATTTAGAGAATATTATTATTATAGGATATGTCCGACAGTATAGCTTTGGTTATCCAAACTCAACCCTCATTTGATCAACTTTATTAAAAATTTATGTGGGGCTGATTACATATTGGATATCCTATTTTCTAAATTTGAAAAATGTTGTTACTACTGTTGCATATTTTTTTCTTTTATTTAATGGAATTAAAATTTATATTCAGCGACTGTAGAATCTTCGGCAATATTTTTTGCAGAATTCAAGAGAAAATCTTTCCTTGTAACAAATACTCCATGTATTGTTTCCCGTGAATTTTAATGCGTATTCTCATGAGATAGAATATTCAAATCTTCTATTTTATCGCCTTTATTAAGTTTCATGGCTGACCAATAACTTTATAGTCATTGCTTTGGAGACTTGATGATGTATTGCTTTCACAGTAACAAAGGTTTCGCAATTCGATACTTCCTATTTAATGGTAAGATACACCGGAAGCGTTCTCTAGAGATTCGGTTGGAATACCCTCTGATTTCCGTTTTTCATCGGAATTTCATCAGGCATCAGTTGGATGATTCAGAAAAGTTAACGATTTTGTGATTTTAATTCTTACAATTTCGCACAACTTAATTATAATAATGGTTGTGAATGTTATAATACGAGTATTTATTTTTATAAACTTTGACTGGTATTAAATAGCACTTTTATAAAAAATTTAGTGGTTTATTAGAAAAAAATTTCTTGAAAAAGTCGTTTTTCACTTTACAATTGGTGTGCTGTAGCCCGTTTAAAATTCTGTCTGTTAATTGGTCCTTTATCATGTCAATTACGTAATTCATTTGTGTTTGTCGAACCCGGATTTGATTCTCCTTCCTCCAAATTTATTTACAGCACTTTGATTCTATTTCACTTTTTGTTAAAAACTTTACTTGAATTTATTAGTTTTTTGAAAATTATAATAAGAACGAATATTTTATATTGGAAAAAATTCTGTTGGATGTAATTAATTACTATTAAACCGGAGTTAACTCGGAGTTAGTGCCAAAAACAGCGTAGAGTATAAATTCTCTCTTTACACCTACGAACTCTTGCGTATAGTATGGCAAATAATTTACAATTTGTTTTCTGCCTAGAGGGTGATTTTTAAAACCAATTGTGAACTGGATTTTTAGTGCGGACATAAAGTATCTTGGAAATTTGTTACATAGTTCCTCTTCCTACTTTATCTGCTTCGCTTACTCCTGAGGTAACCAGTGATCTCCGTACACTTATTAAAGAGGAACTGCAAGTAATCAGCAATCTGTTTTCATCTGAAATAATTTTATTACTAATCAATGCAACGATGTTTTAGAAAATATATTCAAGGATATAATTGGAGGCAATTTTGATTCACAGATTTCCATTGCGACATATGACAGAAGTTTGAAGACTTTTTAAGAAGACTTAAAAATTTTATAATTTACAGATTAAATGATTAAATTTCATCACTCGTTAAAGTTAATATGTCAAATTATTTATCTTCATATATCCAGTTATTTTTTGTTCGTCTCAAAAAGAAAAATCTACTATCTCAGGAGTTTCCATGATATCAATAACTCCCGACAGAACGAGACATCAACAATTGGAATACCAAAGTGTCAAAAAGGAGCTCACAGCGAGAAATGCACATGGAGAAACAAATCTGAACCTAGTTTATCGACACGGTGCTCCCTTCATCATAACAATTTATTCAACATATCAAAATCCCTGGAACTATAGTTGAGTGGCAATTCTAGCAGCACGTTTATTGATGTTAATCCATTCTTTCAAAATTCCTCTTTGTCATCGCGACGTATTTATATTTTATATTTAGAAATAATATTTTTTTCAAAGTTAAAAAACTGAATCCTTATTTTCTTGGAATCTAAACTATATTGATCCAAGTCTTCACCTGGATAGCAGATACCAAATATGGTCATCTGTATTTTGTCACCCTTCTATATTGGGTCCTCACCTGTCAGGAGTTAAAATAACTTCTTGACTCCAAAAGTAATAAAAGTGAGTGGTATGACGTATTCCTTTGCAAAAGGAACCTGTGAAAGGTGACACCATTGCCGAATTAATCAGTCCAGGCAACGCCTTCAAGTTAGTTAGTCCAGAAGTCACCACAGAATCAACTTAGGGTCTTCTTCGTGTCAATCCAGCAACCGTGACTAAGTTAACTAGTTGTGTACTGTCATCGAGTTTGTTCTTCGACTCCAGTCCAGAAATTCTCTTCAAGCACCAAGTGCATTCCTCGATTCTCGTCTTAGTCAAGTTCATTCAAGGAGATAATTTCTACGAGGCACATTTATATTTTTCTAAGGACTGCATTACTTCGACATCAGCGTCAAATCAATAATTCAGTGACTCCTAGGCTGTAGGGTGTTTTATCTAATTTACAACGACACCTGGACTCCGGACCTTTTAGTCTGGCTGGCCCGAAAACAATTTGAGGAAAATCTACTGCATTCTCTGTTTCCGCTAGACTAAGTCATTTCCTTAAAAATATCATTAAGGATATGTTGGTTTCGTTCTGAGACATAACAGACTGGCCCTAGATTTCGGACGTAGGGTTAATTATTATTGATTTCTAATTAATATCAATAAAAGTTATTGTGACAGTAGTAAAAATTTGAAGAATAATGTACGCAACCTAAGTAATTACAGAATTTGATTTTTGAATCCTAAATTTAGGACAACAACTGTAGAGAAGAAAATTGATTTTCCGCAAACGGAAATATGAATAAAGCTTATAAATGTTCTTTTATTTTTATTAGAAAAGAAATAAAATTTACTGCGTGAGCTAAATAAATAATATAGAAAAGTTTGAATGACCCTATCAGAAACATAATACCATTCAATATTATATCGGCTTTAATATGATAAAAAAGTATCATAAGAGAGATGATCTAAAATGCGGTATACACCAATATTCCAGGGAATATATCCACAGAGTAGATTGAATGGATCATCGAGAAATCTGAATGAAATGGACCGGAAAGGCGTTATCGAAAGTCGCTTATAATCGAGTAAGCAGGCAGCAAGGATCATGTGTGTGATGAACTGGAAACAAGGATATCAGGGCGTGGTTTCTAATTCACGTGTTCAACGGTGCCACTATCACGGAAGATGGGTCATGGTGTAAGCGACTTAACGTCCAAGGGTAAAACGACAAGGCTATATCGATTTAGCCCTGAACTTTCTATCCAGTAAAGTACAATGTCGTGATAGTAGTGTATATAAATAAAGGTCGGCCTGTCGTTCAACGTTCAATTCGAAGGGCTGAAAATAGTCACAGACTTGGCGGGCGAGGGGGGACAAGAGTAAAAGTCGACAACACTCTAGGTACACT